GCCTGGACTCCTCCTTCCATCACAGCTGCGGCTGCCTCAGGTCTAACCAGGGAGGCCGAGTAGCACCGCGGGCACGCAGGAAGTCCTTGGGTTTCATCTAAGGCACAGTGTTCCAGGGACTATCGAGCTCTTGATTGAAAATTGACCCCCTGACTGTTTCTGCAGAACTTTAGCCAACAGGGTGAAGTATGCATGGATTAGGAAGCTCTCTGCAATGGCTGCTTCACTGAGCTTTCATGAGACAGTGTGAAGGAGCTGGCTCATGGGCAAGGGGCCCAGGGAGGCCAGAGGTCCTCAGCTACCAAGAGCCCAACACCTAAAAGGCAGAGAAGTCACAGGGACACACTCAGGGCCCCTCCCTGCTGGCCCATAGGGCGCCTTTGGGTGAATTAAAGTTAGACACCCTTTCCTCAACACACTTTATTGCCATCTGCTGGGCAGCTGTTGTAATCAATATACAGATTCACGACAGCTGTGTATGAGTAGCAGCTCCTTAGCCATGGTTCTGGCCACCACGTGCCCGCTGGGCCAGGCAAAGATGCCCAGATGCCTATGTTCACATTTGGTTTTGTTTACCAAATAGGGGATATAAAATTTGAATTTTTTTCTCTTTGAACTTTTTATTTATAAAGTTAGTTATTTAAGTAAAGGCTTTGGTTTTAATCACAGTTATTAGCATAAGAAACTATTTTTCTAGCCTAGCATCTCAATGAGAAAAGTAGGATTGGTGGATTCAGACATTTCTTCATTTATCTTTGGATTATAATAAATATTTTTAGGTAAGCCACAAAACCAGCAAGTTTCAATAAAAGGTGAAACAGGGCCGGGCACGGTGGCTCAAGCCTGTAATCCCAGCACTTTGGGAGGCTGAGGCAGGTGGATCATGAGGTCAAGAGATCGAGACCATCCTGGTCAACATGGTGAAACCCCGTCTCTACTAAAAATACAAAAAATTAGCTGGGCACGGTGGCTAATTTTGTAATCCCAGCTACTCAGGAGGCTGAGGCAGGAGAATTGCCTGAACCCAGGAGGCGGAGGTTGTGGTGAGCCAAGATCGCGCCATTGCACTCCAGCCTGGGTAACAAGAGCAAAACTCGTCTCAAAAAAAGAAAAAAAAGGTGAAACAGACCCAGTCTACTAGTGATTTCATTACAAGGCTTTAGGATTACCTCAAGTGCCATCCCTGTTCTTCCTGTTCTACTTTAGATGAAAACACCCAAGACCTTGAACTAGAAGTAACTGGTCTTCAAACTTGTAGAGAACTGGATTTTTATTTTTCAGCTTCAGGCAGGGTTTAGAATGGTGAAGGTAATTGGGGTTTATTCATTCTTTGGGTTTGTGATCAATTTATGCAGGTTTTCAATTGTAAAAATGCCAATTGAATCTTTAAAAGTCCTTTCTATACTTAGGAATTTGGTTGTAAACTTGGCCTGAAATGCACCACAAGGCAGGGATTCAAAAGGGCTGAGTTTCTGAATTCTCCGAAGACCTTCATTCATTTTGGGGTGGATTTACTTGCAAGACGATGCCAGATGTAGCAGCCTTCTTCGGAGCAAGGCTTCAGACTGCTTTGCGTAGTGGTTTTTGAAAGTGTGCTTTTTCAGGATTCATTTTCTTTTTTTTTCTTTTTTATTTTTTATTGCATTTTAGGTTTGGGGGTACATGAGCAGAGCATGCAAGACTGTTGCGTAGGTACACACATGGCAGTGTGTTTTGCTTCCTTTCTCCCCTTCACCCACATTTGGCATTTCTCCCCAGGCTATCCCTCCCCACCTCCCCCTCCCACTGGCCCTCCCCTTTTCCCCCAAATAGACCCCAGTGTTTAGTACTCCCCTCCCTGTGTCCATGTGTTCTCATTTTTCATCACCCGCCTATGAGTGAGAATATGCGGTGTTTCATTTTCTGTTCTTGTGTCAGTTTGCTGAGAATGATGTTCTCCAGATTCATCCATGTCCCTACAAACGACACAAACTCATCATTTCTGATTGCTGCATAATATTCCATGGTGTATATATGCCACATTTTTCCAATCCAGTCTATTATCAATGGGCATTTGGGTTGATTCCAGGTCTTTGCTATTGTAAACAGTGCTGCAATGAACATTCGTGTACATGTGTCCTTATAGTAGAACGATTTATAGTCTTTTGGATATATACCCAGTAATGGGATTGCTGGGTCAAATGGAATTTCTATTTCTAAGGCCTTGAGGATTCATTTTCTTTACATGTTTACAGCATTACTGGGGACAGTGATGATGCAGGCCTCAAGTCATCACAGCGATTCCCCAGAGTTCGTGGATTTGAGATGTGGATCTGTCTTTTTGGACCCTTGCTTGGGCCACCTGGTGCAGTTCACAGCCCAACCCATGGGGTTTCCCACCCTGACCTCATTGGAAGACACCTTCTTAGGCTTTGCTTAGAAATCAGACCAATGGCCAGGCATGGTGATGCAGGCCTGTAGCCCTGGCTCCCCAGGGGCTGAGCAGGAAGATCACCTAAGCTCAGTAGGTCGAGGCTGCAGTGAGCTATGATGGCGCCACTGCACTGCAGCCTGAGGGACAGAACAAGACCCTGTCTCAAAAAAATGAAAAAGAAATTAGACCAATGTTAATATTGAAGATCCAGAACATTTTGTTTGTTATCAAAATTTCTGGATAGGATTTCTAGAAAATCCCAACCTGTGGAGTTGTTTTGTTCAATTTGATAAGAGGCCTGGACTGTTGTGGACTTCTCCCTCAAGCGAATAAACCGTTCCAAAGCTGAAGAAAAGAGGCTTTTGTTTGAGAACCTGGTAGCATTCCGGGTGTTGGAGCCCATCGCCCCCAGCTAGGATAAAATGGCCCTGCAGCTTGCTAGTGATCTCCTTCTCCAGCCTCCTCTCCTTTCTCCTCCCCACCTCCTCTTTTTATGCACACATTCCCTTCTTTTTTTTTAGTCCAGCCAAGTTAATTGCCAGCCTTGATTATAGAATAAATGAATGACTAGAAAATCATCTCAATTTTTAAAATTCAACAAAAAATTTATCAACAGCTAAGTGTCCAAGAAGACAGAATTTACATGCAAGGACCTCTTAGCCTTGTGTAAACACAACACTGTCTTGTACTCTCATGCAGGGCTGTGTCACCTGGGTACTTGTGGATATGTGAGCCACCTGGAGCTGATACACACAGTTGTTAGTATTAAGATATGCATACAAAGTGCTTGCCACCAAGTGACAGCATGCCTGCCTACTCACCCTGCATCTATAGAACCAGTGAGTGCTACCCCAAACCTTAAAAACTATTGACTTTGAACTGAAATAAATGAAATAAGCAAACCCGTGCCTAAGTAAAGATTAATTTTCCAACTTCTAGCTTTTATATTCCATTAGAACTAAATTCTCACGGGCCAGATATCTCTAAAACTTCTGATGGATTAAAAAAATTTTTTTTATTTCTTTAATGAAGTTGTTCCGCTTTGTTGCTAAAAGCCATCTTTGAAAGAGGGTTCAAATTCCACATTGTGTCAAACAAGCATCCATGTGCCAGGTATAGTGCCAGATGCCTTATGTGCATTACGTCCTATAGTCCTATGAGCTGGGAATTGTTACCTCACTCCTTGTGCATACAGAGCAAGCTCAGAAGTATAGAAATGTGCTCAAGGTCACTTGTTCTTGACTAGCCTCCAAGCTCTCTCCTCTTCTCCACCCACTGTGACAAGGAACCTGCTAGACAGAGGGCAAGCAGGTGAGCATGGTTCCAGCCAGTCAGTGCCTACTGGGCACTCCCTGTGTGCAGGCACTGGGCCAGGCTCTGGGAGCCATAGGCAAATAAGGCATGGCCTCTGCTTGGCCTTCAAGGTCCCCGCCTGCCTTGTCTGACTTTCCTCTGGCTGTTTCCCAGTCCCCATCCTGGAATCCAGCCAGGATATGCAGCCAGCACCTCTACAGCTGTGTCACTGTGTGCTGGACCACAAGACAGAGACATGGAGGCGGGACATGAGGAATGTTTTGTTCAGAGAGCCGTGAAGTCCCAGTAATTGGGGCCCTGCATCAAAACATGTTAGCAAGTTAGCTTGTGGCCAGGTGGAAAAGGGCGTTATCTACCTTATGAGGGAGGCTTTGGGCTTTATCTGGAGATCACTGTGAGCGCTTGGGAGCATAACTAGTATTTCCCCAGACCTTGGCAGCCGACAGACCCAAATAATGTCCTGAAAACTTGAATTCCTCCACACTCTCATGGAACACACTTTGTAATGGCAGGACCCTTGCCCATCTCCCCTGACAGTCATGCCTCTGACAGTTATTTCTGGGGGCCCCCAGGGACACTTCCTGCTTGCATCCACAGCCCTTTCATGAGCTGGGCTCCTGGCAAATTCAGAGCTGAATCCTAGTGTGTCTGCAGGTTCAGTATATGGCAGGGGCTGTGGCTCTGCTCCCTGGGGCTACAGGGAATGTATTGAAAGCTTAGGATTCTGGGGGAACAGGGCACAACGGGAGGCTGCACCCCCAAGGACCAGGCCTGAGCCCTGGCATGAATGAAAACTAAATATTAGAAGCTTATTGATTGTGTGTGTGTGTGTGTGTGTGTGTGTGTGTGTGTGCGCGTGGTGTGTGAGGGGAGTTGAAAGAGACTGTGGCTGTCATGTCAGCATTAGCCGGAGCACTCCTGGGCTAAGATCTCCAAACCTAGGGGCAGTAGAACAAGGTTGGTGGCATTGTAGGTGGCAGGTTGTGGGACTAGAGATGGGAGGTAGGGAAACTGTTAGGGGGCTATTGGAGAAGTTCTAGGAGAACAGAACAGTCCTCTAAACAGTGGGGATAGATAACAGAATCAGGAATTTCTTTTCTTTCTTTTTTTTTTTGGGCGGGGGGATGGAGTCTCGCTCTGTAACCCAGGCCAGAGTGCAATGGTATGATCTCGGCTCACTGCAATCTCCGCCTCCTGGGTCCCAGTTCAAGCAATTCTCCTACCTCAGCCTCCCAAGTAGTTGGGATTACAGGCACGAGCCACCATGCCGAGCTAATTTTTGTATTTTTTTATTATAGATGGGATTTCACCATGTTGGCCAGTCTAGTCTTGAACTCCTGACCTCGTGATCCGCCCTCCCCCCTGCCCCCAGCCTCCCAAAGTGCTGGGATTACAGGAATGAGCCACCGTGCCTGGGCAGAATCAGAAATTTCTTAACCAATGGAAGCTGATCTTGAGGGTTCTAGTTCGGGTAATAATGAGGACAGAAGAGATGCCAGTGACTGGGGAAAAGGGTGAGATCAGGCTTTGCAAAGGGGATGAATTCAATTTATCCATATTGACATCTGAGCTCCAACACGGATTCCAGTAAATATCCCTACCAGGCGCCAACCCTAAGGGCTGGAGATAGAGATCTGGTCATTGTCAGTACATTTCAAAAGACTCTGACCTCTGCCTCCAGCCCTGGCCCCCTCCAGCCCATTGCTCTCACTGAAGCCAGATTGATCTCTCTAAAAGCATCTTTTTTGTATACCTGTGGCCTTCCCAGGCAAAAGTTTTAGTGACTGACTTTCTGAAGTGTGATGGTCTAAACCCTCAGCCACCAATGTTGGGCTGCCCTCAGCCAGTCCCTGCCTTTCTGGATCAGGACTGCTTTGATCACAAGTGACAGGGATCCCACTCATACTAGCCTAGGTCACAAGAAGAGTCTTCTGGCTGATGTAATCAGATGGGGCTTAGGGATGTACATGCCAGGGGTCACTTTCCATCTCTTGCTCCTCTTCTCTTTGTTTTCTGGTTTGATTCTCTCAGCACTTTGTTCTACCTGGCAGGAAACACAGGGGTGATGCAGCTTCCATGCTTCAAGTCTCATGGTGTTTTCACTGGAGACGCATAGAGTATCTTCTTTGCTCAGTTCCATCTAGAAATATCCCAGGAAGAACTCTGATTGGACCAACTTGGGACGGGGCCCTTCCTAAGCCAACCAGCAATGACCAGGAAGGTGGGGTCAGAACCACATGCTCAGAGTGAAGATGGGGCTCTCCTGGAGAACCGTGGGGTTGCTGGATCTATATAAAATACATAACATATCATTGTTGTGTCTTCACATGCTTTAGCCCTTTCCCCCTAGCCAGAACCTTCCGGCCAAGGCCAGCCCTTTTTGTCTTCCTTAGTTCAAATGTCCCAGATCTGATCCTCACCGTCCAACCCTGGTTCTCCAGACCTCTGTCCTCCTCCCATCCCCATGAAGCTGTTTCCAGGACACTCACTCCTGGCCACAGTGACTTTTCTCATTTTTCCATGGGGAAAACCAAAGGACAAAGAGGTGGAGTAACTTGCCTTGGCGGCATTGCAGGGAGGGACAGGGAGCAGACGGCAGGACAAGCAGTGTGTTTCTAGAGCTTGGGTTGTGTTAAATTGTTCTTTGTGTGCTGTCTTCCAAGGAGACTGTGCCTTCCTTGAGGACAGGGAGGAGGGCATCCATCCCCTGTGGGCAGCCAGATGCTGGGCAACTGTTTGGTCATGATGGATGGCCATGGCCAGCAACAACCTCTTTTCACCCTCAGTTCCTAGGCCTGGGGATGGAGTCTTTCCTGGTGATTTGCACAATTTAAAATCCTGTGGGAACTAGGAAACCTTTCTTACAGGCAGGGATCAAGTAAAATAATTATTAATTATAATGTAGATGCCATCTTTTTAAAAATTCTGCTGTCTCTTACATGTGAATGAGTGTCCTCAGCCTCCTCTGGGGCTTTCTGACAGATCCTCCAAGTGCATCCCTACCCTTCCCCCGTCTTGAGAACTGGAATCTCCTGGGCATCCAGAGCCCATTGTTGTGCCTGATTTGAAATGCAGGCTCTGATGCTCACACAGGAGACCCTGAGCTCAATTCCTCCCATGCCAGAATGGCTTTTCTTCCTTGGAGAGCTGCTGAAATGTGGGTTTCTGTGTTAATCAAGGTTCCCAGCACGTCCGCTGAGCTGGCTCTGTGCCTCCAGACGTGTTTTCCAATGATCTCCCAGGCCCTGCTATTCCAGCCTGTCAAGACTGGACTTGCCGGGGCCATATGGGGCTGCCGAGATGTGCTTTCCAGATTCAGAGTGATATTTATGATTTCTCTGAGCCAGCCCCAGCAAGCTAGGACGAGCCCCCTCCATGTAACAGAGCAGAGGTGCTGGGGCAGGCGAGCAGTGAGTGAGTATTGAAGAAACCTGCAGCAGGCAGCCTCCAGGCACTCGGCAAGCTCCAGGCTGCTTCCCTTCACTGCTTCCCTCCCAAACACTGGCCTCCCTCAGCGTCCTGTATCAGACCCCGAACACGAAGTCTGCTTATTTTATGGAAACAGATTAGTAGCATCCTGATATGAATCTGTAATGATACCAGTACTGACTGCATGCCAGGGATGTTCTTGATGCTTTCCAGGTGCTGACCCATTTAATCCTTATTAACACCTCATGACGCATTATCCTGCCCATTTTGTAGATGAAGAGCCTCAGGCTCTACAGTTATTGTCACTTGCCCAAGGCCACATAGCAGGTCCGTGGCACAGTGGCCTGTGGATTGAGGTGGATCTTAAACACCTTGCTGTAACAGCTTTTGATATGAGTTGAGGTCTACTAAAATGCTGGGGATAGGAAAGTTGTCACTAGACTCAGATTTTCATGAAAAGCATCAATTATAGTAACTTACTAGTTTTTGAACTATACTGCAATTTGGTTGGAGAAGAGAGGGCCTCATCCACCCCCTCCATTTGCCCTGTTTGTCAGTTTACCTACATCTCATCTGAGACTCCAGTGCTAATGACTGGGACAAACATGAACATTTCCAAATAGGGCCATGTACAGTAGTTACTTACTCTCCCTCCCTTCTTCTCTTTCTTTCCTGCTGAAGGCATGCCTATTCTTTATGTACATAGTACGTTTTCTCACTCTCCCTATTCCCCCAAAAGGACTACCCTTAAATTTCTTGAAGCAGAAGATATGGGCCCTGCCTGCATGTTTGTCTCATCATGGTCGTGGGTGGATTTGGTCCCTGGAATGAACCTAGCAAGACCTGTGGGCACAATGTTCTTGATCCAAAGCCCAGCAGCATCCCTTCCTCCGGCGGCTGAGCCCACAGCTGCTGTGCCGAGGCAGTGAAAACCAACCTTGCCTCTCCAACTCCTCCCCTCCTGCCACCTTCTTCCCCCGAAGACAAAAAGCTGAAAAAACCAGGAATCAGATGCCTTCTAGGAATGAGGTTCAAACTCAGGGGCAAATGTTAGAGAATTTGATCTTGGAGAGAAAGTTGTATTACCAGATAATGTGATCATTATTAATGTTTATTGTATTTATGTAAGCGAGTGATTATTCACAAGGCTTGCTCTCTTTGCCTGGCAGTTGAAGAACGACAGTCCAGAGGGCCAGAGTCCTGCATTCATACTCAGTGTCAACTTTCTAAGAGAGCACAGCTGTGTTACTCATTTTGGGTGCCACAATGGCTGCTGTCCCTTGCTGACAGAGGGACTGAGGATGATCTGAGTCCAGCCAGTCTTTGAAGCACATTGAGTTCAGAAGATGTCTACAAATGTGGTAGGGTTGGAAAAGAGCTAGGAGAAAAGGCTGTAGGAACTGGGGCGGATTTGAATGATGCTTGTCTTCTTTATTTTCCCAAGATTGGAAACAATTGGAATGCCTATGGCCTGACACCTTATTCTGTCTCTTCCTTATGCATAATTCTGGGCTATGCAGTTATAACAGTGCATGTGAATATTATGTGAATGAATACAGTACTTACCTCTTCTGCCCTTCCCTTAGAAAGGTAGTCTAAGGAAGGGCAGGAGGATTCTTAGGGCATTCGTAGAATAAATTAGAGCTTAGATCAATTAGAGGATACCAGTAGCCACACAGATGGGATGAAACCTTTGCTGAAGGCAGAGGCTCTGTTGTGTTACCCTAAAGTGTTAAGAGTTTGCTTCATAGCCATGTCCTAAAAACTAGCCCAGGCCATGAACAAAATGGTTGCATTCAGGGAAAAATCCAAATTCTTCCCACATGCAGCAGAAAAGTGGAAGGATACACTGTTACCAGTAATTCAGTTGCATGTGGGAAGCCTACAGGAATTTTGCCAAATATTGCAGACACACATGACCAGTCCTATGAAGGAGAAATCTCATTTCTGGTCCCCAAGAAGCACAGCTATCAATCAAGGTGTTCTCAGGAATACAGATGGATACATTTTGCTACAATTTGTTATATGGTCACCTCTCACCTTGGGGCTTACAGTCCATCTATGGTGGCAAAATCATAGTTCTCATAAAATACAGACAGCTGGGAAAAATAACTGCATTAATATATGTGATGAAAGCAGTAGTGAAAGTTCTAGAAGGCATCCACTCCCAAAATAACCACTATTTAATCATGAGGTGGCCATATGGGGTGATTCTTTTGAATTGCTTTCTTAAGTTATCTGGGAGACGTTGTCCACATCATCTGCTGAGGCAGAGGCTCCCAGCAGCAAACCTGGCTCTGCAGCATATTCGAACCAGTCCTTACTGGCTAGATATGAAAAGCCTTTTGCAATTGCTTCTTCACTCTGGGTCTCGCTCTCTCTCTCCCTCTCTCTTTTCTCCCTTTCCCTTTCCCTCTTTCCCTTTTAAAATACAAGTCTAGGCAGTTGTGTAACCTTCAAACTTTTCATAAATTATGCAAGAGCTTAAGGGCATAGTTTTTGAAGTCTGGTCTTTCATCCCAAATTATTTGAGAGCGTTAATATCTTCATTTCTCTCTCTCGGTACTTCCCTGTAGTGCCCTACCTCCTATAGTACCCTATAATTCCCTCTCTGGAGTCTACAGGGGGAGAGTGCAATAATTTAGGATTTTCCTGTTCTTCTCTTAGTCGTTAGGAAGATAGCTGATTTTATATCTTTTTTATAACCAGTTTATAACAGCATTATCTCAAAACCTGGAATAAAAGATTGATGCATATAAAGAAAAACCCCCTTGCTGTTATGAGCAGGGCTGAGAAAGGAGCCAGGGAGAAGGAGAGGTGGCTGAGTGTTAGGGCATCAGGGAGGAGGGAAAATGCAAAGATAAATATGGAAAAAGCTTCTTGGATATAAGCAAATAAATTTTCAGCAAAGAACTATGCAAGACCTGCTGTATGTTTTCAGATCTCTGCATTTTCAGAGCTCAGACCAAGAAGTGGGTCCAGGGTGCAGTTCAAGGGATTTAGGCTCAGCCTGCAGACTGCCTATCAGGGTGACTAAATGGCAATCAGGTCACGATATGGGTTAGGACTTAGTTCAGCCACCAGTGACTGGAACACCCATAAATCCCAGGCTTACCTAAGATAGATCACCTAGGAGATCTGGAAGCTGGTAGTCGAGGGCTGGTGTGTTGGCCCCACAGTCATCAGGGACCCAGCCTCAATCAGGCCTTCCACCCAGCCATTCCTAGTTATGGCTCCCCACTCAGAGTCCAGAATCGTGTTGAGGCTCCAGCCATCACATCTCAACTCCTTGGTCAGAACCGAGTCCTGTGGCCACATCTCCCTGGAAGAGACAGAGATTGAGGAATGTGGTCTTTTGGCTGAATGGCAGCATGCCCAGTGAAAACAGGGCTTCACGTAACTTGAGGGAGAAAGGGAGTATCTCCATTACTAAGCAAAGTCATCATCTTTTCTCATCCTGGGTATTTGTTTACTAAATACCCAATGCCTGATGTTTTCAGGCATTGCTCAAGGGCAGTGAGGAAACAGTAGATTGATTTCTGTTTTCATAAAACTTACAGTCTAGTGGGAGGCAAGACAGACAATAAATGAAAAATAAGTGTGGCCGGGTTGACAACCCGCATTCCACACTCGAGCTATCTTCAGATACAACTGTACAATATTAATGATGGGAGCGGATCATGTCAAACATCACCATCTAAAGCCTGTGGGCATCCTGGACAGCCAGTGTCAGCATATCTTGATGCGAATTCCATCCTTCAAACACTCCCGGGTGAGTACCTGCCCAGTAAGAAGAGAAGGAGGGAGAAGTACACAGGTAGTAAGCTGGTGCCCCATCTAAAAATCAGCCTGAGTCAGTATTCAGCTAGTGCTCTTCATGGGCCAACATGCAAAGAAACACTAGAGGATAAGAATCTAGTCCTAAAATATCAGGGCTCTTTTTTTTTTGGTGGAAAAGGATTTGGAGAGGTTTTTTTTTTTTTTTTTTGCTGAGGTGCAAAGTAGTCTAATAGGCCAGGCACAGTGGCTCACACCTGTAATCCCAGCACTTGGAGAGGCCAAGGTGGTGGATGGATCACTTGAGCCCAGGAGTTTGAACCAGCCTGGGCAACATGGTGAAATGCTATCTCTAAAAAAAAAAAAAAAAAAAAAAACTACAAAAACTAGCCAGGTGTGGTGGCACATGCCTGTAGTCCCAGCTACCAGGAAGGCTGAGGTGGGAGGATCGCTTGAATCAAGGAGGCCAAGGCTGCAGTGAGCTGAGATTGCGCCACTGTGCTCTAACCTGGGCAACAGTGAAACCCTGTCTCAAAAAATAAATAAATAAAATAAATAAAGAGTAGTGTTAAAAAGTAGTTGTTAAAACGTAGTATGATAAGTAATAATTTTGTGGCTCTCATGGGGGTTTGAAGGGCAAGCTGGGAAACGGGAAAATCACAGGGACACAGCCTTTTCTGCTCATGGGACCTTCAGCAAGTGGTTCCTGAGCCTGGTCTTGCTGGAAACTGGGCAGGTTTCCAGGTTCAGTTCACATGTTGTAAGTGGGCTTGGTTTTAAATTAAACCTGGAGCCACTGCTAGCCACCCAGCACTCCCTGCCAGGGCCACTGTGCAATGCCTCAGACCATCTGGGGTGAAGGACCAGGGTTGCCTTTTAAAATTTGTTTCAGTTTCCTATCTGTCACAAAAATGAAATATTAGAAAAGCGAAATAAAGACATAGACTTCTGTTATTAGATTCAAGAGACATAAAATTGCTCTGTCCATTTGCCCTAAAAGTTTCTAAAGACTGACTCAATTCCTGAACTTGAGTTTGCCAACAGCAAAGAAGCCAGGGCTATCGCTACCAGCCCAGGGACTGTGATTTGGGCCAGGATCTAGAGCCAGAAGGGAACTGCTGCCCTCCCCACTCTGTGTCAGGACAGTCCTGAAGGAGAATGCAGAAGCTCCCCCGGGAAGAGAGTAGCCTGGGCAGCATGTGTCTTGCTGTCTGCACGTCTCTCTGGCCCTTCCCGCCCAGCTGCTTGGGTAGACTGGTAAAGGGAACTTCTTGGTGGACTCTCCCACCATAGTCTCCATGTGCAGGTAAAAATTTTATTACACACTTGTGGCCAGGGAAACGAAAGGTCACAGCTCTTTGTAATCATTATCCAGGCTCCCCTACCTGAATGCAGGCTTTAGCAAAACTGGTCGGATTAGTGAAGCAGGCGGTCACCTCAGCTGGCATGGCCTGGCGTGGGCTGGGCAGGGGAGCTCATGGTTGACTCTGTGTTACAGTTCTCCAAGGAGAGGCACATGATGGACAGGACCCCCGAGAGGCTGAAGAAGGAGCTGGAGGAGGAGCTGCTGCTGAGCAGCGAGGACCTGCGCAGCCATGCCTGGTACCACGGCCGCATTCCCCGACAGGTACCTGGTCTCGTTCCCTCCAGCGCACACGCAGCTACTCTCAGGCAGTGTAGATTGATGACCTGCAGGGTCCCACTCTGAGGCCATGTGGGAGCAAGCTCCTGTATAACCAAAAACAAATACTCTAAAAATGACCTCATTTAGACCCTTACCTCAGAAGACCATGGCAAGAGCTGAGGTCAAGAACCCAGAGCACACATCCACATGTTCAGGAAGTGAAGGGACAGCCAGCGCTCCTGTTGTCTGCAAGCAGAATTTCGGGAGGCAGCAGCCACAGGGTCAGTAACCGGAAGAACTAGGAGGGAGGGCTGTGGCCCAGGTAATTGAACCCTTGGCCAGCTGCCAGCAGCCTCAAACCATTTGCAACCCCTCCCTTTCAAGGCAGCAGCTTAGCTTCAGGAGGAGAGAGGGCGGGTGGCCCAGACCAACAAGGCTGCCTGTGCCCCAGTGGAGCCAGCCGTTATTCACCCTCTCCATCGCTTCCATACTGGATACCATGACCCAGAGGTGGGGAAGAAGGGAATTAAACCCATGACCACAGACTCGTGGCCCAGAATATACTGTGTGATCGTCATTTGGATAATTGCCATGAATAATGTTTTTTAATGTAATACTGTAAAAATGGAAAAATAGAATAAGTCTGCAGAATTGAGGCATAGTATTTCCCTTGGGTTTTTATTGTAAACCTGATCTGGCCAATCATTAATCAAGGACAACATGACAGGAAATGTGTGGGCAGGGGCTGGGGGGAAGGGCATCATGTCGTAAGTTGTTTTTTTTTGTTTTTGTTTTTTGGGGGTTTTTTTGAGGCAAGAGTCTTGCTCTATCGCCCAGGCTGGAGTGCAGTGGCATGATCTCAGCTTACTGCAGCCTCTACCTCCTGAGTTCAAGTGATTCTCCTGCCTCAGCCTCTCCAATAGCTGGGATTGCAGGCACCCACCACCATGCCCAGCTAATTTTTATGTTTTTAGTAGAGATGGGGTTTCACCTTGTTGACCAGGCTGGTCTCGAATCCCTGACCTCAAGCGATCCACCCACTTTGGCCTCCCAAAATGCTGGCATTACAGGCGTGAGTCACTACACCTGGGCTTTTTTTTTTTTTTAATGTAGCAGATTTCTTGGCACAATCAAATAAATAATTCTTATTCTGACTTTGTTCTTTTAAGTTGAAAATTGATGGTAGAAAATATAGATAGCAAAAATAAGGAAATTAACTCTTATCTGTAATTCTCCTCATAATTCTCCTGAAGATAACCACCGTGAACACTTTTGTGTACATATATTCTCCGGGGCTTTTCAAAATCACGTATGAGATTGTACTGCATATACTTTTTTGGTAGCCCATTCTACTCACTTCCTGGAAATTTTCACCCACTATAAAATATTCTTCTGTACCAGCCTATGTTGTATGCCTGTCCATGGTATGCATGCATCACAATTTACTGGACACATAGGGTGTTTCTAACACTGTGACCAACATCCTTTAAGAGTACTATGTTCATACCTGTAATTATTTTCACAGACTCAACAGGCCCAATTCTGGTTTTTTTGTTTTTTGTTTTTGTTTTGAGACAGAGTCTTGCTCTGTCACCAGGCTGAAGTGCAGTGGCTCAATCTTAGCTCACTGCAATCTCCACCTCACGAGTTCAAGCGATTCTCCTGCCTCAGCCTTCTGAGTAGCTGGAACTACAGGCGTGCACCACCACACCCAGCTAATTTTTGCATTTTTAGTAGAGACAGGGTTTCACCATGTTGGCCAGGATGGTCTCGATCTCTTGACCTTGTGATCCACCTGCCTTGGCCTCCCAAAATGTTGGGATTACCGGCGTGAGCCGCCATGCCCGGCCTTCACAGGCTCAATTCTAAGAAATGGAATTTCTAAGTGAAAACATTTTTAAGGCAAAGATGCAATTTCGAAGTAACCATGGTAGCCTACTGTTTTAAGCTAACAGAAGTATACTGTTGATCAAATGATGGAATGTCTCAGAAAAATTGTCAGAGTTATAAAACTGGTGACTGTCACCACTGTCCTTCTCCTTATCATGGTCATTAAATTTGTTTAGTACTTGCCATGAGTATGAGTATAAATTTTCAGCGATAAATCATTCCAAACTGGGTAACTGGACACTATAACCATAACCATCATAACAAGAGTTATTGCTAACATTTTAGCTCCTTAAATTTTTTTAGTCATCCTGTAGGTAATATTATCATTTGTGTTTTTCAGATAATGTAAATTAGCCACAAGGAGATTATGTAATTTGTCCAGAGTCTTACAGCTGAGCCAGGATGCGAACCCAGGTGGTTGAGGCTACAGGAACAGCCAGACTGCACCACAGTCTAAATTCTCCAGTTGCTGTAAGCAGCAGCATCATGCGAGTTATTTTTGAGCATCCACTGTGTTCCAGCGCTTGCATGTATTATGTATACAAATGCATAACCCTTATAGTAACTGTGAGATGAGGGACCCCAGCCTGCCGGCCTGACTTAGTTCCAAGCCTTCTAGCCAGTAGTCGGTGTGTCCTGCACACGGACTCCTCCTCTGAGAGGGCTCCGAGGACGACTTCTAGACACCAACAAACACCTTCTTTCTCCTCACTCCACCTGTTGGGGAAGGAAAATCAGGCCTGCCCGACAGTTTCTAATTTCCTGTTTCCTGGTGCATTACGTCATTCAAGTCTATATACACATCATGTTCTTGTGACACTTCCCCACCCACCCTATTTTACTGGACAGCCCTCATCCCCTGCCCAGCACTTCCTGTCTCCTTTCCTGATTTACTTTTTCCCTGACGTTACATCTGACATACCATAGCCATTGGTTATTTATCCTCACTAAAACAGAAGCTCCCCACCAAACACAGGAGCTCCATGAGGTGGGCTCTTGTGTGCCACTGTCACCCCTGCAGCAGTGCTTGGTGCAAGTAGGTGGTCAGTCAGTAGTTCCTGAATGAATGATTGGATCTTCTATGAATTTGACCTTTGAAAAACGAAACAGCTGACCCAAGAAGAAATAGTAGCATTGCCTTCCATTGGCCCAGAGAAGTGGGTAGCCATAAGCTTTTAGAAGGAATGTGATTTTGCCTTTCCTACTCCTCACTCACCTTTTTGTCCCAAAGGTGTCTGAAAACCTTGTGCAGCGAGATGGCGACTTCCTAGTTCGTGACTCTCTGTCCAGCCCTGGGAACTTCGTCCTAACCTGTCAGTGGAAGAACCTTGCTCAGCACTTCAAAATCAACCGGACAGTTCTGCGGCTCAGCGAGGCATATAGCCGCGTACAGTACCAGTTCGAGATGGAGAGCTTCGACTCCATCCCCGGCCTGGTGCGCTGCTATGTGGGCAACCGCCGGCCCATCTCCCAGCACAGTGGTGCCATCATCTTCCAGCCCATCAACAGGACGGTGCCCCTGCGGTGCCTGGAGGAGCGTTATGGCACCTCCTCAGGCCGGGCCCAGGAGGGCAGCCTCACCGAGGGACGGCCGGATGTGGCCAAGAGGTTGAGCCTCACCATGGGTGGCGTCCAGACCCGAGAGCAGAATTTGCCCAGGGGAAACCTCCTCAGGTGGGTCAAGGCCTCCTCTGCAGTTGGCATAGGACCATGAAAGGCACCAGAGGTGCCCAGACATAGGGAGATGAAGAATTCATCATGGAACAGAGAAATAAGTGATATTAATAGGAATGCCGACTGTTCATGGAATAGCTGTTACGAGGCATTGCACTATTAGCTCCCATCTGAGCAGTGCCAGCGATAAATGTTACAGGAGCTGAGGAAGGACAGAGGGGGTGGCGACTCCCTCTTCACAAGAGACCTTGTGAAGGGGGGTTAAGCTTGGGCTGGTCTGATGGTTGGGGAAAATTTGGATAGATGCTGCAAAGCGGGGGAGGTGGGAGGCGCAGCCTGGGCATAAGTCTGGGGATGGAAAATGGCATGATCTTGGAGTGAGTGTGCTGGTGGGGCTGGAAGAGAAGGTCTGTGCAAGGTACCTGTAGCAGTGGGCTTAGGGAGTTAGCCCCAGCCAGATCGTGGGGGCCTTAATGCCAGGTGCAGGGCTTTGAGGGAGCTGCACAGACTCAGCAGAGTGAACGCAGATGTCCTAAGAATAGAAATGGACAGCAACATACTGGGGGCAAGGAGTGAGACACGAACACGAAAGCCAGTTAGTGAATCATGGAGGGGCCTGGCCTCCCAGGCCTCTAATGCACGTGGCGGAGTAGGAGGAAGGCACATTGGAGGCAACAGGAGTGACCAGGAGGGAGGGGACTCTGGAGGAGAAACATACTTTTTCATCTGAGCTGGAAGACTATGGACTTGAATGCCAGAGTCCAGCAGGAGTTTTGGGGTCCAGGAGGCCATTAGGGCTGAAGACAAATTAGGGCTTGGTCCACGTGGAAAGGGTAGTTGACTTGGTGAAAACAAATGAGATTTCTAAGACAGGAGATGCAGAGAGCATGGGGGCTATAGTGTGAACCTTGGGGAATGGGGGCAGAGAAGGATTTAGAGCACTCGGTGGAAAATCAGGGCTTCAGAACATCGCTGAGCCTCGGCGCCCAGCTGTTAAATGTCAGCAGTGGTGACCTGCATTTGTTTAGGGCCTGTCTTTCACAGAGCTCAGGGTCCTTGTGCACATCATCTAAATGCACTGGGAAAGGAAAGGAGGGAAAAGGCAGGTGTCAGGGACACAGACCCAGTCCAGCCCTCAGTCACATAGCAGCCCTGCCCTGGCTCCCAGCTTCTAATCTTATGCACGTAAACCAACATATTGTATTCTACTCACTGGTTTTCTTTTTGGTCCATGAGGAAATGTCATAAACTGTCATTTCTATGCTACAGAAATTGGGGAGGAAAATACAGGACTCTGTGGAATGCAAATGGCATCTGTGTGCTGCCTGGGGGCTCCAGCAAACGCTAGTCAGCCTCTGGCTGTGGACCCGGTAGCCAGGCACAAAGGCCCACTCTGCACTGGGCAACTGTTCAACCAGGGTCAAGTGACTCGACCTTCCTGGGCCTTAGCTTCTTCATCTAGAAAGATGGAGCTTGTGAGGTATACATGATTTAATATATGCAAAGTGCTCAGAGCAGGGCAGGCCCATAGGAGCTCTAGGGAAGTACTAATGGTAATTATTATCTGGAGGGGAGTAGAATGTCAGACTCAGACCCAGCACAGTGGCTCACAACTGTAATTCCAGCACTTTGTGAGGCTAAGGTGGGAGGACTGCTTGAGCTCCGGAGTTCGAGACCTGCTTGGGCAACATGGCATAACCCTATCTCTACAAAAAATAATAAAATTAATATAAGGAGCTCAAACAATTCTATAGGAAAAAAATCTGATAATGTGATTAAAAAAAATAAAACTGGGTAAAAGATTTGCTCTTTTGAGAAATAGGCATTTCTCAAAAGAAGACATACACATGGGCCCAGCGCAGTGGCTCATGCCTGTAGTCGCAGCACTTTGGGAGGCCAAGGCAGGTGGAATACCTGAGGTCAGGAGTTCAAGACCAACCTGGCCAACATGGTGAAACCCCATCTCTACTAAAAATGCAAAAATGAGCCAGGTGTGGTCATTCCTGTAGTCCTAGCTACTGGGGAGGCTGAGGCAGGAGAATCGCTTGAACCTGGGGGTGGAGGTTGCACTGAGCCAAGATCGAACCACTGCAGTGACACAGGCAGATGAAAAGGCACTCAACATGACTGGTTATCAGAAAAATATAAATCAAAACTATAACAGATATCATCTTACCCCAGTTAAAAAAGGCCTATATCTAAAAGACAGGTAATAACAAATGCTGGTGAGGGTTGTGGAGGAAAGGGAACCCTCCTGTACTGTTGGTGGGAATGTATGTTACTACAACCACCATGGAGGACAGTTAGCAGGTTCCTCAGAAAACTAAAAGTTGAGCTACCGTATGATCCAACATTCCCACTGCTGGTATATACCCAAAAGAGAGGAAGTCGGTATATCAAAGAGCTATCTGCATTATGTTTGTTGCAGCACTGTTTACAATAGCTCGGCTTTGCAAGCAGCCCAAGTGTCCATCAGCAGATGGATGGATAATGGAGTACTACTCAGCCATAAAAAGAATGAGATCCTGTCATTTGCAACAACATGGATGGAACTGGAGATCGTTATGCTAAGTGAAATAAGCCAGGTGCAGAAAGACAAACATCAAGTGTTCTCACTTACTTGTGGGATCAAAAAGTCAAAACAGTTGAATTATTGGACAGAGAAAGTAGAAGAATGGTTATCAGAGCCTGGGAAGGATAGTAGTGGGTGGGGGTTGGGAGGGAGGTGGGGATGGTTAATGGGTACAAAAACATTTAGAAAGAATGAATAAGACCTATTTGATAATACAATAGGGTGACTATAATCAAAACAATTATATATTTTAAAATAAAGATTGTAATTGGATTGTCTGTAACTCAAAAGATAAATACCCCATTCTCCATGATGTGCTTATTTCACATTGCATACCTGTATCAAAACATTTCATGTACCCCATAAGTGTAGACACCTATGTAGCCATAATTTTTTCTAATAATTAAAAAAAAATTTTTAATACAAAAATTAGCTGGGCACGGTGGTGTGTGCCTGTGGTCCCAGCTACTTGAGAGGCTGAGGTGGGAGGACTGCTTGAGCCTGGGAGGTCAAAGCTGCAGTGAGCCATGGCAGTGCCACTACTCTCCAGCCTGGGCAACAGAGCAAGACCCTGTCTCAAAACAAGCAAAAACAAACAAAAAAAACTCAGGGCAATTACAAGGAGGGAGGCAAGGCCCGATATTTAGAAATGCTGCTTTTCATACTAATAGGATCGAACTTGAGATCCCTTACAATGTTACAGGGGTACCTTTTCTGTTCGCTTTGGGAGGTATTGGCTGCTGAATGGTTGAAGCAGGGAGTTAACGTCATATACAGAGTGGGAGTGTATTCGGCCAGATGACAGGACCTCTGCTGTGGGGAAGGCCTCCTCGTTGGCCCTGAATGATCCTGGTTTAAAAACATTTTAAGATAAGAAAGGAAAAAAAGACTAAGAAAGTCTCTAAGTCAACAAGTCAGGCCTAATAGAGCCACTTTTCTGTTTGCCCTTTGGAATCCAGATCCTCCCAGGACGTGTCACCACTTTGCACAGGCAGCACACCCAGAAATGTTTAAGTGGGAGGAAGGGAAAAGGCGGCCCTGTGGCCTGCTGCCCTGCCCCAATGCCCTTCAGTGGCTCCCTCACGTCAGCTCTGGCCAGATGCCCCCTGTCCTGACGTCGGGCCTGCTAGTTGGCTGGCTGGTGGCCTGCCCTGGGCAAAGGTGTGTGCTCACAGGCAGGTTGCATTCCAAGCCCTTCGGTTCTGGCCCTTGGAGTCCAGCCGCAGTGGTCATTACTTAAATATCACTTCTTGGGAGCCATTTCCTTTTGCGATTTGCCCTCGTTCTTGCCTTATCTTCGAAAGGTTGCTGGAATTTCTCTGTTGCTCGGAGTTTGGGGTTTTTTTGATTTGTTTGTTTTTTCTTTGGTGCTTGTAAAGGTAGGAAAGAACTTCGTGATTTCTGTAACGTAACAATGTTTTATGCTTATGGGAAGGCCAACTAAAATTCATAACAACTTGGCTGGTGCAGTGCCTCCGTCTCTAGCTAGGGAGATTCTGGTGCTTGGTGCTAATTAGAGAAATTCCCAATTTGAATTGGAAAGGGACAGAAGGAATAACGGAGAGCGTGTTAAAGTTACCTCCACCTTTACCCTGAGTGGTTACCCAGTGTGCCTCCCGGCTGCTGCTTGGGGACCATGCGGTGCCTTTTCCCAGCTCAGCAGGAGGAGGCCATATGGGGGGTTCCCGCAGGGCAGCCTCCTTGGGCAGTCCTGCAGGTTATTTGGGGGATGCTGAGATTTGCACCAGAACGTAAATTGCCCCACAGCTTCCTTCCTAACTGCAACACTGTGGAGCATGTGGAAAATGCGTGTTAGTTAGACAAGCCATTCCCTCTGGGCCTGTAAGTCATTTTGGGCTCTGTTAAAAGTACACATTCCAGTTCATCAGATTTTCCTGGGAGTATCGTAAAACTTTTACCCTACTCTGTTGAACAGGATGGAACGGCCCAGAGGAGACATCCTAGAACTTAGCTGCATTGGTCACGAGGACAGGGGGACAGAGCACACAACACAGTCACGTATTAATTGTCCCATCAGTAATTTTTTCTGCCAGTGGACATTCTTTTACTTTTAGGGTATGCTGTAGCACTCTCGTTCTGAGCAGTCTTCTTTCTTGTTTCTTTTTAAGTTTCCATGCCTAAAGGTTTTACACTTCAATGACATGTTTCTGTCCTATCTGTCTTTTGCTTCAGAAATAAAGAAAAGAGTGGTAGCCAGCCAGCCTGTCTGGATCACATGCAGGACAGAAGAGCCTTGTCCCTCAAAGCCCACCAGTCGGAGAGTTACCTGCCAATTGGTATGTTTCGGGGAATTTTTAGGGCGAAGAATGTCAGCATGACCCTGGTTTCCTTTAGGCTTTTACCCCGCCCCATCTAGTCGTCTCATTTGGAGACGACTTGGAAGGCTTCAGGCCTGCAGCCTGGAGGGGAATGGGTTTGCAGAATTATCCAGTGGTGAGGCACTGAGCTAGACTCTGTATGCCAGCTTTTAAGCCTCACAACAAGCCTTCAAGGTGGGCGTGATTATCGCCATTTCACAGCTGATGAAACTGAGGCACAGGTAGGTTAAGTAACTTCTTTAGAATCACCTAGCATTTGAACCCAGGTTTTCTGATTCAAGCCCATTTGAAAACTCGTGGTCTTCATGACAAGCCTACTCCCTTAGTCCTTTTCCTGGGCGGGTGGCCTTTTGACAGAACTGTCCAGGCCGACTCCCCTTCCTCTCCATCCTCCATTCAAGGCCAGAAGCGTGATAAGATTTGGGTGTGGGCACACCTCCTAAGCAGTTACACTAGTAGAACCGGGGGTTGTTTTTCATTATTTTCATAACTGACTTTCCCTGGGACCACAAAGGGGTTTTGCTAACGCCCCTGTGTAAACTACTTCCACATGGGTTACCTGTCTCTTCTCCCTTCTCTGTCTCCAGCTCTCCCTTGGAGTCATTACGTGGCTAATGACTCCTGTTTCTTAGGGCAAGATTACATTATTCATGGCTTCCACGCTCATAGATTTCCTCATTCTGACTGTCCCAGCCTTCTAGGACCATACAACGTTTGTAGCCCAGGTGTCAGTAGTCCCCGGGATTTAGAATTACACGCAGGAGTGTGGGATGGGGCAAGCCCAGCCCAGCCCTCACAATGCTGTAGACTCCCTGAGATTAGGCATGGTGCAGTCACACTGCATTTTCTTTTGGAAATGAAAATGAAAATTGAAACCTGAGGGCATGAACAGAGGGCTGGGGAGCTGCCACTCTGGTTTTGTTTGTTTTATATTCTCCACACAGATGAGCTTTTTCTGACCTTTTCTTATCCCCCACAGGCTGCAAGCTGCCACCTCAGTCCTCAGGTGTGGACACAAGCCCCTGCCCAAACTCACCCGTGTTCAGGACAGGAAGCGAGCCAGCCCTGAGCCCAGCAGTGGTTCGGAGGGTCTCCTCGGACGCCAGGGCTGGGGAGGCACTGAGGGGATCAGACAGCCAGCTGTGCCCTAAGCCACCCCCTAAGCCCTGCAAGGTACCCCTCCTCAAGGCTCCCTCATCTCCTTCTGCCTGGCTCAACTCAGAGGCCAACTACTGTGAACTGAACCCAGCATTTGCCACAGGCTGCAGCAGGGCAGCCAAGCTTCCCTTATGTGCCCAGGGCAGCCGCACAGAACTGCTCACAGCCAGGCAGAATGGGGTGCCAGGTCCCCGGAACTCTGGCATCAACTACTTGATCCTTGATGGTGATGACAGGGAAAGACCTTGGGAACCTGTGGCAACTCAGATGGAGGAGGGGCAGTGGGACAAGGGCAAGTTTGTGACACCCCTCCTGGAGACTGTCTCCTCCTTCAGGCCCAATGACTTTGAGTCAAAGCTCCTTCCCCCTGAGAATAAGCCCCTGGAAACAGCAATGCTGAAACGTGCAAAAGAAGTGTTCACCAACAGTAACCCCAAGATCATCGCCCAGCACATACTGAGCATGGACTGCAAGGTAAGAGCTGGGGGTCCAGGTGTTGTTCTGGCTTTGGAAAGTTTGGAAGGAGGGGATCCATCTGGCCTCACTCTGCCCCACCCATTAGGTGCTTTGTCCATAGGAGGGTCTGAAGGTAACACCAGCATGGGGATTTATTTAATGGGTGGGAACCACAAGCTGGGCAACCTTTGCCCAAGCAGGAAGCTTATAAAATTCATCTCAGACAGAGGGATGGCAGCCTGCTGCCGGGGGTGGGGCTGCCCTGTCTACCCACCCACCCACCCCTGCTGGTGTCAACAGCTGCAACAGAATCCTCCTCCTCCTACCTGGTGCTATTTAAAAACTCCCCCTTGGCCTCAGCTCCGTCAGAACTGGTAAAGCCAAAGCTACAGGAGAGTAGATTATAGATGAAAACGTTTCTGGAGTAGCAGACCTTAGTTATTTTTATTACATTATATTTATGCATGATAGACTTATTTTATTACTAAAGTGGTCTTTAGTATAAATAAACATCTTTAAAGCTACCTTGATTTTTAAAATAATCCCTCTTCAGTTTAGAAAAAATCTAAAATACAGATTAAAAGATAAAATCCGTTAATTTCAGCTTCCGGGTGGCCCTGTCCGGGGCCCCAAGGGCTGCTCTCAACGGAAGAAGGCAGTCGGCCCCGGCTTGCACAGATGAAAACACCACATGCAGTTTCCTGGAGATTACCGGTGTCAGAATTTGGTTTATGCAAAAACATTATCATTTCTCCACAGAAATGGCACTGCTCTATACACACTATTCCAAACCCTGAATCTTTCATTGACCAACATGACTGTCTTTCCACATGATTAAATATTTACATTGTCGCTTTTTTTTTTTTTTTTTTTTTTTTGGAGACAAAGTCTCACTGTCACCTAGGCTGGAATGCAGAGGTGCATTCACAGCTCATGGCAGCCTTTGTCTCCCAGGCTCAAGTGATCCTCCCACCTCAGCTTCCTGAGTAGCTGGGACCACAGCCACATGCCACCACACCTGGTTAACTTTTGTATTTTTTGTAGAGATGGGATTTTGCCATGTTGCTCAGGCCGGTCTCGAACTCCTGAGCTCAAGTGATCTGCTTGCCTTAGCCTCTCAAAGTGCTGGGATTATAGGCATGAGCTACCGCTCCCAGCCCATCACCATTTTTTATAGGAAACATTTATTTTAGATGTGAGTGACTTTTGTTCCTTCCCAAAAGCAATCTCATCCAGTGGCTACCAAAATCCATGGAAGCTCCCATTCCTTATATAAAATGGAGTAGTATTTGCACATAACCTATGCAACCCTCGTGTATACTTCAGATCATCTCTAGATTACTTATAACACCTAACACAACAGATATGCTTCGTAAATAGCTGTTACACTGTATCATTCAGAGAATAATGACAAGGAAAAAGTCTACATGTTTCATACAGATGCAGTTTTTTTTCTGAATAGTTTTGATCCTTGGTTGGTTGAATCTACTGCTGCAGAAGCCATGGATAAAGAGAGCTGACTGTATTCTAGACACCAGGCACCATCTCAGGCAATGGTGGTCTCAGTCCACCTTCTCAACATAAAGAGGCTGGTTCCTGGGCATTCAAAGCCCTTTTTTATTCGTAGCTCAGTGAAGTCAATTAGCTTCCAATGTCAGAGCTTATTTAGGAACTGGGTTTTCCTCCCTATGTGTTGGATCATGACAAGAAGTCCAGTCTTGGAGCACTCCTGCAGGAAGTGCCAGCATTGATGGAGGGCTCACAAGGCCCTTGCTGACCACAGAATGTGAGAGATGACTCAGAAACCAGAATAACTCATTGCCCAGGACTGGGAGGTGGGGCTGAGGGTGCACTTCTGCTGGGCAGGCCCTGAGAGGAGAGCCAGGGAACCAGCTGCATTGGAAGAACAAGGTTGTGCTGCACATTTGGCCGAATGGCCTTGGGCAGTGCTCACAGGTGGTCACGCAGTTTGCGGAGTTATTGGACCTCACTTTAAATAAGCGAGCTTAACCTGTTTTGGAGGTGAGAGGAGTGAGCATTTCTGTTCTAATCAGTCAAGCACTCTGGGCCCTGGATCTGAGAGCAGAACCGTGTCAGTGGGCCAGGAGGGAGACTCTGGCCTGGTGTGAACCTGCACGGGTTTTCCACAGAGGAAGCTCCTTGTAGAAATAGGCCTGGGTTTACAGAGCAGCCCAGTTCTCAAGGGAACGAATCCCTCCTGAGGCTCTGGGCAGGGCTTAATGATCATCTAGGTAGAGGCGAGATGCCTACATTCCCACCCTTGGCAGGAGGTCTGGGACCCGCCCAGTACTTTTGGTAGCCGTGAAACTAGACCCTGGGGATGTTCTCAACTGAAGAACACAGTCTGCCCTGGCTTGCTGTGGTGCGTTTTGTCCTCCTAGTGGGGCCTCACTCTCATGTCTGCCTGCAGGCACCCCTGGACAAGGGGCTGGACAAGGGGCTCCTGCTCAGGCAGTGAGCAGGAGCCAGCCTGGACTCTGCCCACCCAGCCCCAGGGCCGGGCTGTGTTGAAAATTCCTCCTTCCCTGTCTCTGGAGTCTACCACCATTTCCATATTCTCTTCTGGAATCACTGACTTCCAAGGAGGCACAATCAACAACTCTAAGAGGGAAATACAACAAGATCTGTTGTTTCCCACCCCAAATGCAGTGGCAGTGCAGACAGGGCCACCCGGAAACTGAGAGCAGCGTCTGGCTAGCATCTGGGACTCGCATGCTGGTTCCCAGCCATGCGGGCAGATGCCCAGATAGACCATCAGGACAGTGGGTGGTCCTAAGAGCCCTCCAGGCTCCCTGCCCAGCTGTGTCCATCTCCCTATCCCCCAAGGGTCTGGTTAGGAGCCACTGAGCCTCTCCTCCCGTGCACAAGGTCTTTGACTGTAGCTAGAAACGAGGTCCAGTAGTGAAGGGCTTGGCCTCTGCCTGAGCCTGAGTCCCACCTCTGCCACATCAGCTGAAGCACCTCCCCTTCTCTCCCTATCTGTAAGGAATACCAACTACACAGGTGGTTGGCAAGGACTAAATGAGATAATATATTAAAAGCCCTGGGCACCTTGGCAAAAGCATCTTGCAGGCGGCAGGCAATGCACATGCACAGAGGATCAGTTGTCAAAAGCGACCGAGAGGGTTGGTTTACAGCAGATTCATTCCGTTGAGTGGAAGAAGATGAGGTTAGGAGTGCGGTGTGAGAGGGCTTCACAGGTCTTTCCTTCAACATTTCTAAGTCTCTACTTCTGGGCTTATACCACGTTCCTGCCTGCAAGGCACTTTACAGTCGAGTGTAGTACAGATCTGCCCCTCTATGCCAAGGGCAACAGAACCAGTGAGTGAGCCAGGCAGTCTCATGGTGTTTTAGAAGGGCCTTTGCGCCTGGGAGAGGGCTGGGCTGGGCCCCAATAGGGGCTCTCCTGGGTCAGTGCAGCAGCCTCCAAGGCAGTGGGAGAAGGAGCAATGGGCAGAGTCCAGAGATGCGGCAGAGTAGGCCAGCTGAGATTTAGAGGGCCTCTGCCACCCTGCCCTGAGGAGTCGGCTCACAGTAAATGCTCTAGACCTGTTTATCCTTCCTCTGTGTCTGTGAGCTGTACAGCCTTGGGCATTTGTCAGGGAACCTAATCCAGGCCCGGTTGTGTGAGCTTGGGACCCCCTCAGCCCTCAGGCAAGCAGGTGTATCTCCAGTGAAGTGACCCAAGGATGCCATATACATGCTGAAGAAACACAGGCTGGAGAGCAGGGACCGCCGCCTGTCTGCCAGGTCTTCCAGAGCAAAACTAAATTAGTCACAGGCCTTCCAGTCTCGCCACCCAGAGTGTGGGGGACACCCTTCAGAAGTACAGGGTTTGGGACCTCTGACAGAGGGCAGCTGATGAGGAAGTGTGCATGGCATGTGTCTGGGCTACCTTGCCAAGGTCAAGGTATAAATCTCTTTCCCAAGATCTGGCCAGAATTCTTCCCCTTTCCACATGGCTGATGATTCACAACTTCTATTTTCAGGGGCTCTTGGGGGTTCTAAAGTTATCTGAATCCCTTGCAAAGTCCTTGAGAAAGGCAAACTTAGCAGTTAAGTTAGAAAAGGGGAAACTGAGGCCCAGAGAGCACAGGTAGGAGCACAATAGGAATACTGCATCCCGTTCTGGCGTCTGCCACTGGAGAACTAATTCCATAGGCTCATCCCCTAAGGGTTGACAGTGGGTTGAACCACAGAAGTTACAGGGCAGGGTTAGTAATAACACCCAAATGACCAGATGTGTTTTGATAGCCTAGAGTAATTATGGTTGAGGACAAGTGCACGAGATCAAGGGAAGAAACCATCCCGTGCCTGCCGTGTGTTTAGGTGGCTGGACTTGCTGCATATGTTAGTTCCACTCTTAGTACATCATTATGCTGTGAGGTGTCATTAACTGCATTTAGTTTTTTTTTGTTTTGTTTTTAGGGACATTGTCTTGCTCTGTCACCCAGGCTGAAGTGCAGTGGCATGATCATAGCTCACTGTAACCTCAAACTCCTGTACTCAAGTGGTCTTCCTGTCTTAGCCTCCCAAGTAGCTAGGACTGCAGGCGCATATCACCATGCATAGCTCATTTTTAATTTTTTGTAAAGATGGGGTCTCACTATATTTCCCGGCTGGTCTCAAACTTCTGGCCTCAAGCAGTACCCTACCTCAGCCTCCCAAAACGTTGGTGTAACAGACATAAGCCCCCCTGCCTGGCCTATTAGCCCCATTTTAGAGACACGCTGGCTCGTTGTAACATTTCTCCATGACAATGTAATAACTAATACCTGATTCTAATAAACTGAGAATTACATACTAGAATTGAGATGGGTTGAGAGCCGTCTGGGACAAAGATTTTCTTTAAGAAAGGCCTCTCAGGAGAAAGAAGCGTGTTTGAGATCTCAGGTTTCCAATCACTGTACACATTTTTAATAGCTTCCAGACGTATAGAGCATTTACTGAGCCCAGGAGAAGCATAATTAAGGGTAATAGCAGCCAGCTGTGGCTGTTAAGTGAGAACATGAATGGCAAAGCCCACAGCAGAGAGGCACTTGAATGAGATTCTGCTTTTCCACTGCAGGGGATCAGCCAGCTCCGCACACATGCAGCCCTGCTGTTGGCAGCAAAACGTCACAGCAGGATCCTGTGTTAGACAAAAGCTCAGAGAACTGAACTGTTCTCTGGCTGGGCAGAAACACTTAACAAATCTGTAGATCTGCAGAGCAGTGTAGGCATCTCCCACCAGTCTTTCTTTTCCCCCTAAGTTTTATACTATACTGTGTGTATTAAAACACCCTAAACATAAGAACAGTATTGTCAGCTGCTGCTTATAAAGAAATGCAACACAGAAAGTGTGTCCACGCCATTCTGGTTCAGTGTGTTTCTTCTCATATGCTGAATTCGTGATCAGGCAAGCCCACTTCCTGACCTAGTATATTTCAACTTTGGCTCTTGACAGGTTGCTAGGATACTTGAAGTCTCTGAAGAGATGAAAAGGAACATGGGGGTGAGCTCAGGCCTGGAACTCATTACCTTGCCTCACGGACACCAGCTGCGCCTGGACATAATTGAAAGGTGAGCAGCGCCGTTCTCTGCACTTCTGATGCTCCCAGCTCCTTGCAGGTATCAGAGCAGCAGGTTTTAGAACGGAGAGAGGCCCAGCACCAGCCCAGCCCTAGGGCAGCAGCGCTTCAGGGTGCATGGCCTGTGGCGACTCTTCCCAGAAGCCTGAGCCAGAGAATTCCTGGAGTTGCACACGAAGACAGCACAACTCAGGAACAAAGAACATCTTCCCCTCCCTGATCCTGGAGGGTCGGATGGAGAGAACAGATGGTCTGAAGCCAGTGACCCAGTTGGCCTGTGTGAGCAGGAGTCACAGATCCTGCAGCCTGGGGCGGGACTGGGGTGACCAGAGCACCGCGGGGTCTCCTGGGTCTCCTGCCCTACAGCCCTACAGCCCTGCCTAGTGAGCTGCGCCTTTGTCTCTTTGGGGATTAAGATTGCTTGAGGAATTATGAGGAGTTTGTGGGAAATGCTGGGAAGAGCAGGGTCTAGACAGTGTTTTCTTTGAGGGGTGGACAAATAGGGTCAGAGGTCAGGGGATGACGGCACTCACCCAGGGCCTCCAAGCCATCCCTGCCCTCTTATGAAAAGCCAGGGCCCTGGGTGTCCATTGAAATGGAATGTTTAGGAATTAGAAAAACACCAACAGTGAGGTATGTTTTTAAGAAAAGAAGCACTAGACTAGATATCCATAATGCCACAAAAGCTGGCCTTTTTGACACATTTTTTAAAAATTGATTTGGGCAAGACTATCTTGTGAAGTTTTCTGTCTGTCCCACCCATGTCCTAGTTGCCATGACTGCCAGGGCTGTCCAGGGCAGCTTTCTGTGGTAACAGACGAGTTCTGCACTGGCTATTACAGCAGCCACCAGCCACGTCACTCTCAGACACCTGAAATATGACTGATGTGATTGAGGGATGACGTTTGTTAGAATTTACTATTTTCAGGGTAAACAGCATCTGTGGGGGCATGAGCGTTGCTGCTTTGGCATTTCCGTGGGCGTAAAGCAGATAAAACGACTCCCATGCTGCTGCTGTTTTGGCCTCACAGCCATAGATACATCCCATAGAAAATACCCAGAACGCTGAGTTGAAGCCGTGTGGGAGGGAGGCCGGAGGTGAAGAAGTGCCTGCCCCTGCTGACTTTGTTCGGGAACACCCATTGTTCAGGCCTTTGGGGAAGTCTAGGTTCTGCTTCTGAATTTCCCTGCTTTTCCTGATGAGACTTTTCTAGGTTCCAGCTTCTCTCGGGTGTCCCCTTTTTGCCTCCTGCCCCAGGGCCCTGGCCCCCCGGCTCCACTATCTTCCATTCTATCAGCAGAGGTGAGCTGTGACGCCATACTTTGCCATTTCTCCCATGAGACATTTCAGCCTGAAACCCTCCAGGTTCCAGGACTAATGAATCTAGCCCTATTTTATCAGTATCATTTGGTGTGCTGGGACAGGACAAGGGTGACAGGTTTGGGGCTTCTCTCTTGGCTGTTTTCTGACTCTCCCCTTCATTTCTCTTTTCTCCTGACTGCCTCTTGGCTGGGGTCTTGTTCCTTCACTTGTTTCTTGTCCAAGGCCGACCTGTGAGATCTTCTTTTTAGAGCTGGGGGAGTCGTTTCATTAATTACAATTTGTTTATTCAATAAAGGCCAAGGTTATAGAGGTCCTGATGTGTCACATGACATCACCTTCTTGCATTTGACAATCAAATACAAAACCACCCTTTAATTTACCACTTCACCCATTCCAGGCATCCTAGGCTGGAAGTGTCCTTCATGTGACATATGAGTGCCACCCCTCGCCAACTACGGGAGCTTTTGCTGCAGACTTGCCAGCCTGAGTTGTTTTCCCATAGTGGGTGTATCCAGGTTTCAGGCAAATGCTGGTTGAGTGAATGGATATAACCATTCTGATAACCATTGATATAACACTAGAGGGCCATTAAAACATACAGGGAGAAAACACTGAATAAAGAATCAGTTGAATGCAGCATGGGAAGTGAGTTTATAGTTAGTTAAAGGCAACATCTAAGATGTTCTGTCAATGTTAACATTTTGCAAATGGATAATAAAACTCTTCCAAAAATATACCAAATAACAGCCAGGTGTGGTGGCTCATGCCTGTAATCCCAGCACTTTGAGAGGCCAAGGCATGTGGATCACTTGAACCCAGGAATTCGAGACTAGCTGGGCAATGTGGCAAAACCCTATTTCTACAAAAAATAGAAAAATTAGCTGGGCATGGTGGCATATGCCTGTGGTTCCAGCTACTTAGGAGGCTGAGGCAGGAGGATCCCTTGAGCCAGGAGGTCAAAGCTGCAGTGAGCCATGATCACGCCACTACACTTCAGCCTGGGCAGCAGAGCAAAACCCTGTCGCAAAAACAATACAACAAATAATAAAAATATATTTTAGGTCTATGATTGGATCCATTGAGAAAGATAAATCAGGAAGAGGAGATAAATGGAGAAAAGAGGAAAGATGGACAAAGAGGCACAATGGACCAAGATACAGAGGGAGAGAAGTGCAGACACACTGTAGTAACAGCTGCTATTTATCAGGCACCTGCCAGTGCCAGGCACTTTAATCATTATTATTATTACTTTTTTTTAAAATAGTCTCTCTTGTCCTCCAGACTGGAGTGCAGCGGCGCAATCTCTGCTCACTCCAACCTCCACCTCCAGGGTTCAAGAGATTCTTATCCCTCAGCCACTAGAGTAGCTGGAACTACAGGCATGTGCCACCATGCCTAATTTTTGTTATTTTTAGTCGAGATGGGGTTGTGCCCTTGTTGCCCAGGCTGGTCTCGAACTCCTGGGCTCAAGCAATCTGCCTGCCTTGGCCTCCCAAAGTGCTGGGATTACAGGTGTGAGCCATGTCACCTGGCTCACTTTAATTATCTTTACACCCAAACACAGTCTCTATTTCTCACAACCCTTGCTCCTGTTTTACAGATAAAGCAGCTGAGGGGTAGAGCAGTTAGGCACCAGCCTAAGCTTACACTGCAAGTGAGCCCCATACACGCATATATGTGCAAACACACTTGGAGGCAGAGCTCATTGGCTGTTTAACAAACATTAGAGAGATGAGTAATGGTAAAGCACTCGATGAATCCCTGCTGCCCTTTGTTCAAGGAGAGCAAGACGGAGACCAGCACAGCTGGAACAGGGAGAACACCACATGGAGTAACACCCTAAGCTGTGAACACTCAGGACAGAGTGGCCTTGGCGTTCGAATGCATGTTGTGTTTTAATAACTATAGCTATAAACTGGGGCTTCATCTCCAGCACTTGTACCACAGCCTAGAAGAAACTGAGGCAATTCTGGTCTAAAGCAGTTAATTCCAGGGTCCTGATTTACAGTGGGAAGGACAGGGGGTCACGGTCTATGCTTTCTGCCACAGACTGACCCCATTCATATTAGACCGATTGTCATGCAGCGAAAAGATCACCGTTTCCTGTTCTGGGTCTCTGAGGTTGACCCATGTAGTTTAGGATGAGAAAAGGGAGGATTGTTGGGGAACATGAGATTTCAATTTTATTAGGGTCTGGCCTTGTAGGCACATTCTAGCCCATCAACTATTCCATCTTTATGCTCTTCTCCATTCATTTCCCGGCTTCTGGAGTGAGGCTACAGAACACCATTCTTATCTCTTCTTTCCAGCTTTTGTTCTAATAACTGTGTTATTGTCCTGCCTAAAACATATCCTCTCATTTCTCTGTCCCTTTCATCCCCAAGTCCAGGGGCTCAGTGGAGGTGGCCCTGGGCTTCCCCGAGGAGAGATTCTCAGAGTGTGTTGGGGGACCTGCTGTCTCCATGGACCTCTCATGGTACAGTGTACTAGCAGCCACATGTACTTCTGAGCAGCTTTGCCCCAGGAGCACCCTCTTTGTGCCCCCAGGTCCAGGGTTCAATGTGGCCCTGTCCGGGGGCTTCTTGCTTTCTGACTGCAAAGTGCACCCTCTGTGGCCCAGCTTGGCCCTCCGCAGTCAGCCTGCTAAGGGGCGTTCTCTGTTGAGACTGGCGTCTAAACTGTGCTGCTGGCACATTTCAGAGCAATAGCAGCAAGTGGCACAAACACAGCCCTGTTCTTGGCTGATTTGGTTTAGTTTTTTTCTAGTCCCCATTGGCCCTGAACCTGACCGCTGATCTCGCTTTCAGACACAACACAATGGCCATGGGCATTGCAGTGGACATTCTGGGCTGCACGAGCACTTTGGACGAGCGAGCAGCCACTCTCAGTAAGATCATCCAGGTGGCGGTGGAACTGAAGGATTCCATGGGGGACCTCTATTCCTTCTCAGCTCTCATGAAGGCCCTGGAAATGCCACAGGTAAATTTCCAATTACTTTATGTGTGCTTATGGTCTGTAGAGAGAGCTGCATGCTGTGCTTGGCAAATGAGACTGTATTAGTCAATCTCAAAAGTAAATTGAATCTTAGTGAAAGCTGCTTCAGTTGGGGGCAGTGTCCTAAGTGTTTAGGGTCTTTTTTTTCCTTTTTTGAGACAGGATCTCACTCTGCCACCTAGGCTATCTCTGCAATCTCAGCTCACTGCAACTTCCACTTCCAAGGCTTAAGTGATTTTCCTGCCTCAGCCTCCTGAGTAGTTGGAACTACAGACACGTGCCACCACACCCGCTTTGTATTTTTAGTAGGGACAGTGTTTTACCATGTTGGCAAGGCTGGCCTCAAACTCCTGACTTCAAATGATCCACCCATCTCAGCCTCCCATTTTTTTTTTTTTTTTTTAATGGAGTCTCACTCTCTTATCCAGGCTGGAGTAAAGTGGCGTGATCTTGGTTCATTGCAACCGCTGTCTCCCGAGTTCAAACTATTCTCCTGCCTTAGCCCCCTGAGTAGCTGTGATAACAGGCATGGGCCACCATACCCGGCTAATTTTTGTATTTTTGGTAGAGATGGGGTTTTGCCATGTTAGCCAGGCTGGTCTTGAACTCCTGGCCTCAGATGATCTGCCCACCTCGGCCTCCCAAAGTGTTGGGATTACAGGCGTGCACCACCATGCCCGACCTCTAGGGTCTATTTTTTAAAAGCAGTAGATAATTTCTGACAGTCCATGCTTTCTCTTTGATGTACAGTAGCAAGTGTTAGCCTCATGAACAGTAGGGATTCACGGAGAATCAATTAGGATGAGACATCTGGGTACAGTGTGGTGTTTGAGAGAGGGTCACCATGTGGGCAGTTTAGGATAATCACTGGGAAATGAGACATTTGTGGAGCTTCTATCAGAGAATCCTTAGACTATTTTATCTCAGGTCATCTAAAACAGACTGTCCTAATAACAAGTTCAGGTTCCTGGTCCACCTGCGATAGAACTCCCTAATTACCGTTTCTAAAATTGGGCATTTGCATTTATCGGCTGTGCCAGGGGTTTGTTAGGATGAGTGTCAAACATAAAAACCTGTATTAAAGTCAAACAGGCCTCATAGAGGAAAGTATGCTGCCACCTTTATCACTCGGGATCAGCGTTCCCACTTCTGTTCTCTCAAGCCCTGGGTGCTTGGAGGACTTGAGTATGAGTTTACAGTCCGGCCAGCAAAACCCGCAGCTAGTAACACCAAAGCTGCTGGTCACTCAGCGTGGCTGTTTCATAGCCACAGATTATCTCTGAAGTCCTGCCAGGTGCTCACTGAAAATCCATCATTGCCACTGAGAAAGACAGCCACAGCCACATGTCCCGCAAGTCAGATCGTGGCTGGAATAGAATTTACTTGCATTAAAGCAAGGTCTTAAAAATAAAAGGTTGAACAACGTAGTGCCTTCATCGGGGATTTTTGGGGGGTCAATTCCAATTATATTTCAGAAGCTTTCAAAAGTCTTCAGGTAGTTTGGAATTTTGTAGGATTGGTATTTGAAATAAGCAACTGATAAATTCTGCCAGATTTTCATGATATACTGATTTCTACTATCACATTTTTCATTCAGGTATTTAAATTTGCATTATGTTTATTTCATGTCATCTAAAGCTGCCTAGAATTTTGACAGCTGAACCAACAGGCCAGGCTGTGGGTAAAGCCTTCCAGCCCAGAGCTTCCCCTGAGAGTGGTAAAGGGGATGTTTTGTGGGATCGCATGGTTGCCATCCATGACATCAAACTCAGCGGTTAGGGACTTGTCCCCAACCACATTACCATGCTTTGTAGGTGGTTCCCTGCCTTCTGACACTGTCATACCTTTCTTTCTGGAGCACATCAGCAGTGAGAGGACACAGTCCTCTGGAGCATTTAGTGGCCTGGAAGGGAAGTGGCATACCCAGAGAAAGCCCAAAAGGAGAGTCACGTCACTTTGCATGTCACTATCCAACCCAACCTTTACACTATGGCCACATGTGCCACCTTTTCTTCTCAGCTTCTAGTATCGAGAGAGTTCGTCCATGAGATGGGCCTAGCCCAGACCCAGAGGCTTCTTTCAGAAAGGCAATGCCTCAGGGAGTGGGTAGGGAGCAGGGGTCTCCAGAAGGGAGAGCAACATGGTGCACTGCAGGAGGAAGGCCAGCACAGCCTTTTCTTCACAGCACATCTGCTGGTGCTGAGCCTACTCACCTTCCTTTTGGATACAGGAGCTCTTCAGGGCCAAGTAAATGAATCTCAGTTCTGCCACATTCCAGCTGGGAAGCCTTGGGCACTTACCTAATCTCTTCTGTTTTCTGATCTGTAAAACGAAGCCAAAATACCTGCCTTAAAGGACATTGTGAAGATTAAATGAAATTCTTCAAATATTTGACACAAAGCTGACTCTTATTCCATAAATACTAATGTCCTTCCTTGTTTCACATAGAAAACTTAACACAGCCTTGCTGATATGAGTTGGGGACCATTTATCTTAGGACAGTTAGTCAGTGGTATATGCTGCTACTGACTAAATTATTCCAGAAGAAAACTGAGGCCGAGTTATCTGCAGAAGAAAAGAAGTGAGTAGCAGGCATGGTGTCTCATGCCTGTTGTCCCAGCTACTCAGGAGGCTGAGGTGGGAGGATCACTGAGCCTGGGAGGTTGAGGCTGCAGTGAGCCATGATTGCACCACTGCACCTCTTCCTGGGCAACAGAGTGAGACCCTGTCTCAAAAAGGCATAAAACTCTTAACTGTAAAAGACTAGTTAAACTATAGCTTATCCATACAGTGGAATATTATTCAGAAGTTTAACAAAATAAGGCTGTTCTGTATGTACTTATACTGAATGCTTCTGAGGCAAGGAATAGATGTGGTTTACATAGTATAATATGCATATATATGTGTCTTTAAAAGGGTTGTGTGTATAGATAGGAATTTTTGGGAGGTCACTTCCAGTTATATTTCAAGAGGTTTCAAAACTCCTCAGCTATACTAGAATCTTCTGGGATCAATATTTGAAATAAGCAACTTATCAATTCTGCCATATTTTCATGATACGCTGATTTCTATTATAATAGGAGTTACAATGTTTCATTCAGCTGTTTTACTTTGTATCATGTTTATTTCCTCTCATCCAATACTGCCTTGAATTTTGACAGTGGCCTGGCCAGCAGGCCAGGCTGTATGTGAAGCACACATGCACAGGCAGTTGAGAGTCATCTCTGGGATGGACTAACAGCAATGCAGATGGGGCGGATGGGGGTTACTTTTTCTCTCTACCCTGCTTTCAACCACTTTGACATTTTTACCATAAGTATCTTTCACCTTTTCTAAAATTTAAGCAAAAAGGTAATTTTATTTGTTTATTTATTTCGAGACAGGGTCTTGCTCTGTCACCCAGGCTGGTGTGCAGTGGTGCAATCTTGGCTTACTGCAACCTCTGCCTCCTGGGTTCAAGCGATTCTCCTGCCTCAGCCTCTTGAGTAGCTGGGAGTACAGGTGCATGCCACCATGCCTGGCTAATTTTTGTATTTTGAGTAGAGATGGGGTGTCACCGTGTTGTCCAGGATGGTCTCAAACTCCTGGCCTCAAGTGATCCACCCGCCTCGGCCTTCCAAAGTACTGGGATTATGCAAAAAGGTAATTTTAAAAAGAACCTTTTCCAGGCTGGGCGTGGTGGCTCATGCCTATAATCCCAGCACTTTGGGAGGCCGAGGCGGGTGGATCACGAGGTCGAGATCGAGACCATCCTGGTCAACAAGGTGAAACCCCATCTCTACTAAAAATATGAAAATTAGCTGGGCATGGTGGTGCGCGCCTGTAGTCCCAGCTACTTGGGAGGCTGAGGCAGGAGAATTGCTTGAACCTGGGAGGCGGAGGTTGCGGTGAGCCAAGATCATGCCATTGCACTCCAGTCTGGGTAACAGCAGCGAAACCCCGTCTTAAAAAAAAAAAAAAAAAAAAAAAAACCCTTTTCCAAAACAGTAACGTCTTTCTTCCAGATCACAAGGTTAGAAAAGATGTGGACTGCCCTGCGGCACCAGTACACCCAAACTGCCATCCTCTATGAGAAACAGCTGAAGCCCTTCAGCAAAATCCTGCATGAAGGAAGAGGTGAGCATGGGGCAGAGCAAGCACGGAGCCACCTCACTGGGGAGTGGAGTACAAGTACGCAGGGCATGTTATGAGGCCCTGAGGTATCTGCAGCACTGTGGATGGCTCATCAGGGCTTTTATCAGATGACAGCGTTGCTTGTAGAAGGCTACAGCTGACCTAACCTGGCAAGGGCTACTAGTCACCTCATTCTGTGCTTAGCTTTGGAAAGCATCTGATACGGAAAACTCTTACTCCTTATTCTTCAGAGTCCACGTGTGTTCCCCCAAGCAATGTATCAGTCCCACTGCTGATGCCCCTTGTGACCTTAATGGAGCGTCAGGCTGTCACTTTTGAAGGAACCGACATGTGGGAAAAAAACGACCAAAGCTGTGAAATCATGCTCAACCATTTGGCAACAGCACGATTCATGGCCCAGACTGCGGACAGCTACCGGATGAATGCTGAGATGAACCTGGCAGGTAAGAGCTGGTTTTTGTAAGCTGTTCTCTAACGCAGCGTAGTAATTGAAATGAAGGAATGGAAGAACATGGCTGACTTCACTTAGAAAAACACCAAAGAGGAAGGATTAAAGGATAGAATTCCATTTCCTATATGGCTGGTTACTACTTCCTCTTAACTCCAGAATGACTCAAGTGCCCTGTTTCACCTTTCTTCTTGTTTGTTCTGTTGTTCAATGGTATAGAATTAACAGAGAGGAGGGGTCAAGAAAGAATTGGGGCCAGGTCTGGTGGCTCACACTGTAATCCCAGCACTCTGGGAGGCTGAGGCAGGTAGATCACTTGAGGTCAGGAGTTTAAGACCTGGCCAACATGGTGAAACCCTGTCTCTATGAAAAATACAAAAATTAGCCGGGCATACTGGTGCATGCCTGCAATCCCAGCTACTCAGGAAGCTGAGGCAGGAGAATCACTTGAACCTGTGAGGTAGAGGTTACAGTGAGCCGAGATCGCACCACTGCACTCCAGCCTGGGTTCTGGGTGACAGAGCGAGACTCCATCTGAAAGAAAAGAGAAAAGAAAGAAAAGAGGAAAGGAAGAAAGAAGAAAGGAAAGAATTGGCCAACTTGTCTACCACTTATTAATAGTACCTCTAATAGGTGAGATTAGAAAAGGTGACATGCCAAGATGAGGAGGTGGAGTTTTATCCAGGCCTCATTTATCTGCATTCCTGTTCCTTCCCAGTCACAGTGGGAAGTGAGGTCCCCTGCTCTTAGCATCAGACACATCCTGGAAAGTGTGGGGCAGTGTTGTGTAAATGAATCTTTCTTATAAGTGCTATGGTGACAGAAAGCAGCCTCCTCAGTCAGCCCGACCAACATGTATCACAGATGTGGCATGTGCGCAGCACCGTGCTAACTGGACGTCCTGAGGAATTGAAGCAGGTATCTTGGCACGCAGCGAAAAGTGCAGTGTGTACTGTGGGAGCACTTGGGGAAGGGACTGATTTGGTCAGAGATGCTAGGAAAGAGGAAGCACCTGGGGACAGCTTCTCAGAAAACACTGCCATTGATTGTTAAAGGACAAAAGTAGTTACCAGCAAGCAGGGCTGGGAATTCCACTCAGACCGCACAACCAACCAAAGGCTCTGAGAGCGCCCAGGAAAAACTGGGATCCACAAGTGCTCGGTTTTAGATTCGTGCAAAGTATGACCTAAGGAATGGCCGACAAGGCTGCAGAGGGAGGTGCAGCTGGGAAGGCCCTTCCAGACAGGACCGTGGCTGAGGAAGAGCGAGTGAAGGGTTTAACCAGGGGAGGGTGTCACATGGTCAGATTTCTGTTTTAAAGTAAATTACTCTGGTGCCTGTGTGGAGGAAGGCTGGAGGGCTGAATGTTTGTTGGCAGAAAGACCAAGAAGGAGGGCTTTGCCAAGACAGTCAGCGGGGATGACTATTTTGTTACTGTGTAATTTTTTAAATTCTTCAAGGGCCCACAGTTTGATTCACAAGGTTAAGAACTATGTGGGGGCAGGAGACTCCATTCATTTCATTCTAAAAGGAAGCTGCTTCAGAACCAGAATGTGGGACTCAGTCATTTGCACCATCTACTGTGGGTACAAGCACCACATACCTGTTTCATTTTCTTCCTCAAAACGTTCTCCAGGATTGGCTGTATGTGACTCAAACCATAAAAGTACACAAGTCAACGAATATCAGAGGAGTGCCTCTTAGACAAAGCCAGTGAATATCAGAGTGCCTCTTAGACAAAGCCAGTGAATATCAGAGTGCCTCTTAGACAAAGCCAGTGAATATCAGAGTGCCTCTTAGACAAAGCCAATGAATACATTACAATGGTTGTTGCATATACATCAGGGTGGGTTTTGAGGAAACTGTGCCATGAGCCGCTCTACAGCTTTAAATCACCTTAAAGGCCACGGATGAAATATTTCAGTTGATCCTAATGCAGGTTTACATAGTAAGTTCCCATTGCCTTAAGTGACTGTGAACCCAGGAAAGGCAGAGATCTGCTCACCAGCATAGACCAGCCCAGGTGATACGGGAAGGGACTTAATGCATGTTAACCGGATGAACAGAAGTCACCATCTGGGGGCTGGGTGGTGGCTCATGCCTGTATCCCCAGCACTTTGGGAGGCCGAGGCAGGACTTAAGAGACCAGCCTGGCCAACATGGCAAAAACCTGCTTCTGCTAAACATATAAAAATTAGCTGGGCATGGTGGTGGGCGCCTGCAATCCCAGCTACTTGAGAGGCTGAGACAGGCGAATCACTTGACTTCAGGAGACAGGTTGCAGTGAGCCAGCATCATGCCACTGCACTCCAGCCTGGTATCAAAAAAACAAAACAAAAGTCGCCATCAGCTGGCCTTTGGTTGATTATCCATCAAGGATATTCTGGCATCATCAGGAAGAAAATATTCCTATTGTCCTTTCTACCGCGAGGACCCTATGATCTAGATGGTGGGTATATTTAACGACAAAACAGACTATCCCAGCAATAATCAAGGATGAGAAGCAAACACACGACTCTGGCTAACAGCTTCTCCCTCTTTAATAGAGTTGTCTGAACATCTTTGGCCTTAAGTAGACCAGATCCTCTCTTAGATGGAATAGAGAGTTAGGAAATAATGGGCCCACACAAGTGGCTGGCTGTTTATTTTCAACAAAGGTGCCAAAGTAATTCACTGGATAAAGTACGGTCCTTCTACAAATGGTGCTGGAACTACGGGATATCCATATGCAAAAAAGTGAATCTCGAGCCTTAATTCCTACTGTAAACAGTAACCCAAGATGGATCAGACCCAAAATGTAAGAGTTCAAGTGTAACCTCCTGCAAGAAATTATGGGAGAAATTCTTTGTGCCCTTGAGCTAAAGATTTCTTAGGACACAAAAAGCATGAACCATAGCAGAAAACATTGAGTACACATATATCTGATAAAGGACTTACAGCTAGAATATACAAAGAACTCTTACAACTCAATGAGAAGACAAAATTTAAATAGACAAAAATTTGAACAGACACTACATCAGAGAAGGCATACAAATGACAACTACATGAAAAGATGTTCAAAGCATTCAGCATTAGGGAAATGTAAATTTAAACCAACCACAGTGAGATACTACCACACTATCTAGAATGGCTACAACTAAAAAGAATGATAGGCCAGGCACAGGCACGGTGGCTCACATCTGTAATCCCAGCACTTTTTGAGAGGTTGAGGTGGGTGAACCACCTGAAGTCAGAAGTTCAAGACCAGCCTGGCCAACATGGCAGAACCCATCTCTACTAAAAATACAAAAAATTAGCCGAGTGTGGTGGCACATGACTGTAGTCCCAGCTACTCAGGGGGCTGAGGCAGGAGAACTGCTTGAACCAGTGAGGCAGAGGTTGTGGTGAGCCCAGGTCGAGCCACTACACTCCAGCCTCGGTGACAGAGCAAGACTACTTCTCAAAAAAAATAAAAATGATAAAGGGTTGGCAGCATGTGGAAAAACTTAGAATCTTCTTATGTTGCTGGTGTGAATCTAAAATGGTACAGCCATTTTGGAATAGCACTTAACAGTTTCTTTAAAAATAAACATACACTTTTACCATATGACCCAATAATTCCTTTCCTAGAGAAATGAAAACACATGTCCACACAAGATTTGTAAACAAATGTTCACAACCACTTACTCATAATAGCCAGAAACTAGAAACATCCAAAAGTCATCAATTAGTGAACAGATAAACAAAATGTGGGATGTCCATAAGACTGAATACTGCTGATCAGTAAAATGAATCATGAATATGCGACATATGTAATACTCTCAGAAACATCATGCTAAGTGAAAGAAGTCAGACATTAAAGAGTCCATAGTGGATGATTCAGTTTATCCCAAATTTCTAGAAAAGGCAAAACAGTAGCAACAGAAAGTAGATCAGTGGTTGACTGAGGTCTGCAGTATGAACAGGAATTGACCGCGAAGAGGTAGTAGGGTGATGGGAATGTAAAAACGTCTAAAACTGGTGGTGCTATTTTAGGTAGAAACTTACTATCATACAACTGCACAGCCAAAAACAGGTGAATCATATGAGCGTAAACTATACATCAGTAAAGTTAGCAAAAACAAGTAACAGACTCCTATAGGTACCGTGAACCTGCCTTCCCACAGCACTACTTCCCACAGTGGTTTGTACAAACCAATGTCACTCTATCATGTTTTAATCAGTTTACCTGTTATTTCTTCTCTGAAGGTGCTCAGGTTCTGCAGGGTGGGTCTCTGCCCTCCCTTGTATAGAATAGATTCTCTGTTTTTCTTTGGGGACATTTTTTAAAGTTCTGAGAGAGAAAAGATGAAGTTCATCTTGATTCTACTTTAAGCAAGCTTTCAGTCTGTATTTAACACTACATCTTAGGCTGAACTGAAGTAACTTTTCGGTTGTTTTATTTTGATTAGGTTTTCAACCAGATGAAGAAATGAATGAAATCTGCAAGACTGAATTTCAAATGCGATTGCTATGGGGCAGCAAAGGTGCACAAGTCAATCAGACAGAGAGATATGAGAAATTCAACCAGATTTTAACTGCCCTCTCCCGTAAACTGGAACCTCCTCCTGTAAAGCAGGCAGAGCTTTGATAACTCTCCAGAGAATCTTTAGAGTATCTTTTCAAGTTTCCCCAGCTGCTTCTTTGGGAAAGCCAACCATTTGATAAAGTCATAATGTGCAAACCTGACAGTATACAAGCTTTTAGTATCCACAGGATATTAAACATGTAAATTGCACAGAGCACACTTATTTATGAATTGTCTAAAATTACTACTGATTTTAAAATGAATAATTTATTATTAAGGTAACTACTGCTAATGTTGATCAGCACACTCAAGAGAAGACCTAGCTATGTTGGCTGGTTGCTTTCTATGGTATTTGACGATTTTAGTTTTCATTCCATGTCAGATAAGTGTAAATAGAAGTTTAAAAGCATGAAACATTTCAGAAGGTATCAGTTATATGATATTCTTTAAACAAGAAAAATGTAAATAGTCATGAATAAAAAATATATCTTTTTGCGAAACAGTTGTATCCAGTCTCTTTCATTTTAAACAACTCATCTTAGTACGATAATTCTACCTCTTAGCTGCCTCAGGTGTGCTCTTCCCTAGGCACTGTACCCTGATAGTAAACCAAAATGAATGAAAGTGGTATGAAAAGTTAAAGATTTCTGGATTGGGAGACAGAGTGCTAATGACAGCTCCATGGGATCTGGGTTCAAACTCAAGCCACGGTGCTTGCCAGCGGTGGAGTTAGGCCAAGTTTACCTCATTGGATCCCATGTGCAGCATAGCAGCCTGTACAAACTGGGCACCCAGATCTTAGTTATGATTAACATCTCTTCACATATTTCAAAGTAATCAACTGTTACCTTTTCCTCTGGCTGATGAGTACAACAGTGAGTTACCTGGGTTGGTTTTCTAGGTTTCTCACTTTGCAAAGGGGATACTTTCTCATTTCTTTCTAGTTTATCAGTATCGCCCTCAACTTTTCCTATTGTACAAAATTTGGAATACAAGACTTTAAAATATTCTGTCACTCTGCCACCGTCAAACATTTAATAGTTTTCCTTCTTCTCGTTTAAATAACATTAGGCCCATATCCACTTTTATATTCATCTTAAACTGGCTGTGAAAATTTCTCCTTGTTAAATAGCCTTTAAAAAATATTATTTATTGGTTCCAGAAGTTACACTGTAACTTAACCATCACCCTGTGATGGTTTTTTAAAATGGGCCACATTATGTTATTTTTTGTTGAAAAAAACCAAAGCACATTTCTACTTCTGGCAATATGATGGTTCAGATGCTCTTAGAAAGCCTCTTACCATAAGAAAATCCTGAATAAATTTTAATAAACATACCTTTTAGTGTATGATCAACCTTGATTGATAGAACTTCCCAAGGAACAGACTTCTCCCCCCACCACACCTGAAAAAGGTACAGCAAATCTGAATCAGCTCCATATGAGAACCTAGAGGCAAAGAGTAACATCAGCAGCTCAGTGAATGAGAGAGTGTGTCTTGGGGAAACTTAAAATGCCTTCATTAAGCAGGAATCCTTAAAGGGTCCCTGTTAACAGGATGGAAAAAATCTACCGCCAAAGAGAGGTTGCCAGGAAACATGACTGTCTTCACATACCACTCTGGAAAGAAAATAATTATAACAACAATAGTCTTTGGTGAGGATTTGTAACCACGCCTGTGCTCATATACGTCTGGAGTAAGCAAAATCCAAAACCAAGAAATTGATTTACAGTGGTCCCAGGTTGGTGGTGCCTATCAGATATAAAAGCTCATTACTAAGCTACAGTAATTAAGCTATTATCAGAAACTTAACATGACAGAGTGATACTGTTGATCAGTGGGGGCAAGGATGATTTTAAAATCTTGAACAATTGGTTAAGCAAATGAAAGGGGGAAAATGGTCTCTTTTATCATACACACAAAAATAAAATCTAGATGAGTTAAGAATCTACATGTGAAAAGCAAAATCATAATACTTTTAGAAGAAAATATCTTTTACTCTGAATCAAGAATTCTTAAATTAGAAAAGCATTAACTATAAAATAATGATTAATCTGCATTAAAATGAAGAACTTCCATTCAAAAGACACCATAGACAACCTGAAAAAAGAAAAGATATTGGCAACATATACAGTGGACAACAGATTGGTATGGTAGGCAGCCTCCAAGATGGCCCCCTATGTTCTCTGCCTCCTGGTGCTCACACTGTGTTGTCCCTTCCCACATTGTACCAGGCTTTGTGCAACCAAGCACACAGGGCAGAAGTAATGGTATGTTGCATCTGAGATAGATAGGTTATGAGAAGACTGTAACTTCTGTCTTGGGTCTTGAATCACTCACTCTGGGGAAAGCAAGATGCTACCTTATGAGTATCCCTATGGAACTGAAGGGATCCACATGGCAAGGAACTGAAGCCTCTAGCCAACAGCCAGCAAGTAACAGAGGCTGAGCAGCAACCACATGGATAATCTTAGAAGTGGACTCTCCAGCCCCAAAGCCTTGAAGATACTGCAACCTCAGCCAGCAGTTGGACTGCCACCTCATGAGAAACCCTGAGCCAAAATCAGCTAGCTATGTTACACAGTAAAAGATAACTAGCAAAATTAGCATCCACAATACATAAAGAGCTTCCATGAATAAATATAAAGACAATCAACCCCACCCCCCCCAAAAAAAATGAAGATAAAACAGGGTTTTTACAAGAAGGAGAAACATAGTAAACACGTAGATGCCCATCAATAATCAGAACAACACAATTTAAGCCTACAATGAAATGCTCTTTTATATCCTTTGAACTGACAAAAACTGAAGTCTGACTCCTAAATGCTGGCCAGGATATGGAATACAAATAACCCTTGTAATAACCATTTATTGTAAAAATGTTACAATAACTTTGGGAGGAAAATGTGGCATTATATTTTAAAACTGAAAATTAAGGAAGTCCTAGCCAGAGCAGTCAGGCAAGAGAAAGAAAGAAAAGGCACCCAAATAGGAAAAAGGGAAGTCATATTTTTCTCTTTGCTGGTGATATGATTCTATACCTAGAAAACCCTAAAGATTCCACCAAAAGACTCCCAGACCTCATAAATGATTTCAGCAAAGTCTCAGGATACAAAATCAACATACAAAAATCAGAAGCATTTCTACATCCAATAACATTCAAGCGGAGAAGCAAACCAAGAATATAATCTCATTTATAGTAGGCACCATAAAAAACCCCAAATCAAACCAAAACAAAACTAGGACTACTTCTAACCAAGGAGACCTACAAAACACTGCTGAAAGAAATCATAGATGACACAAATAAACAGAAAAGCAATCCATGTTCATGGATTGGAAGAATCAATATCATTAAAATGTCCATGCTGCCCAAAGCTATATATATGACACTATTCCTATAAAATTACCAATGTCACTTTTCACAGAATTAGAAAAAACTATTTTAAAATTCATATGGAATGAAAAAAGAGCTAAGGAATAGCTAAGGCAATCCTAAGCATAAAGAATACAGTGGAAGGTATCATATTACCTGACTTCAAACTATACTACAAGGCAACACTAACCAAAACAGCAAGGTACTGGTACAAAAATAGACACAATAGACCAATGGAACAGAGTAGGGACCCCTGAAATAAAGCTGCACACCTACAACCAACTGATCTTGAACAAAGTCGACAAAATAAATAATGGGGAAAGGATACCCTGTTCAATACATCGTGCTGGGAAAACTAACCATATGCAGAAGAATGAAACTGGACCCTTATCTCTCACCATATACAAAAATTAAGATGAATTAAAGACTTAACTGAAAGACCTCAAACTACAAAAAGTCTAGAAGAAAACTTAGAAAATACTTTTCTAGATATTGGCCTAGGCAAATAATTTATGACTAAGTCCTCAAAAGCAAATGCAACAAGAACAAAAACTGACAACTGAGACTCAACTAAACTAAGGAGCTTCTGCAGAGCAAAAGAAACTATCAACAGAGTTAACAGACAACTTACAGAATGGGAGCAAATATTTGCACACTACACATCTGACCAAGGACTAATATCCAGAATCTATAAGGAACTTAAATCAGCAAGAAATAAACAACTACTTTAAAAAGTGGGCAATAGACATGAACAGACACTTCTCAGAAGACATACAAGCAGCCAATAAACATGAAAAAATGCTTACGATCAGTCATTAGAGAGACGCAAATAAAAAAACCACGATATACCAGTTCACACCAGTAAGAATGGCTATTGAAAAGTAAAAAAAATAACAGATACTGGCAAGGTTGTGAAAAAACGGGAATGCTTATGCCCTATTTATGGGAATACAAATTAGTTCAGCCCCCATGGAAAGCAGTTTGGAGGTTTCTCAAAGAACTAAAACTAGAATTACACCATTTGACCCAGAATTACACCATTTGACACATTACTGCGTATATACCCAGAGGAAAAGAAATCATTCTACAAAAAGATATCTGCACTCATATATTTATCATAGCACTATTCACAACAGCAAAGACATAGAATCAACCCAGGTGCCCATTAATGGCTGACTGGATAAGGAAAATGCGGTGACTGGGCACGGTGGCTTACACCTGCAATCCTAGCACTTTGGGAGGCCAAGATGGGTGGATCACCGAGGTCAGGAGTTCGAGACCAGCCTGGCCAACATGGTGAAAACCTTTCTCTACAAAAAATACAAAAATTAGCCAGGTGTGGTGGTGGGCATCAGTAATCCCAGGTACTCAGGAGGCTGAGGCAGGAGAATCACTTGAACCCGGGAAGCAGTGGTTGCAGTGAGTCAAGATCGTCCCACTGCACTCCAACCTGGGTGACAAGAGTGAAACTATCTCAAAAAAAAAAAAAAAGAAAGAAAATGTGATACATACATACCATGGAATACTACACAGAATATAAATGAAATCATACTCTTTGCAGTAACACGGATGCAGCTGGAGGCCATTATCTTAAACGAATTAATGCAGAAACAGAAAACCAAATACTGTATGCCTTCATTTATAAGTGGGAGCAGAACACTGGATAAAAATGTACACAAAGATGGGGACAACAGACACTGGCGATCCCAAAAAGGGGGAGCAAGGGAGGGGAGAAAGGCTTGAAAAAATACCTATTGGTTACAATGTTCACTACTTGGGCAAAAGGATCATTGGAAGTCCAAATCTCAGCAGCACACAATATATCCCTATAATAAACCTGTACATGTGCCCCTTGGATCTAAAATTTTAATGAAAATTAAAACCATAATCTAGCAATTCTACTCCTTGGTACAGATTTTAAAGAAACTCATATCAAGAAACATGTGGATATGCATAAGCAGCACATTTTACTAACAAAACAGCCCAAATGTCCATCAACAAGAGGATGGAATACTGTATTAGGCATAAACACAGATAAATCTTAGAAACAATGTTGAGTGAAAAAGCTAAGTCTCAAGATACAATGGAATATTTAAGATATTTGATAAGTGGGATATTACTAAATATAAAATTCATAAACTCTGTACAAATGAATTCATTTTATCTTTAAACTACATAAAACTTTATCAAGTTATAAAAATAGCACAAACCATTTATCAATCACTAATAATTTTCAAATTGTTTAAACAAATGAGTTGGTATAATCTTTTGATAAGGCTGTCACCAGGTAAAAAATGCCCCTGTGATTTGATGCAAGGAACTGCAAACTCTTCCAGTGACTTCCCCCATTCCACTGATCGTCACTGGTTTACCAACCACTGTCTAGCACCTGAAGAGAGGGGATAAGCAATGGATCCTCATCTCACTTCCTACCCTCGTCAGATAACAGCACCAAATGGGTGCTGGCTATATGCCAAGAGTCAGTGGCAGGAGCTCCCAGCCATAGAAAAGAATGGAGAAAAGGCCGAAAAAGGGAGTGAAGTTTTTGTCTGTCTCATTCCACACTCAGACTGTGCTTCTTCTGTGCCCACCTGGTAATATTCTATTTGTTAAACTGGGTGATGTGTTTATCTTTTAATGGTTCATAACATATACATATTATCCACAAAAAACTCCTCAGGGTGGAGATTCTGGGTTTACCAAATGAGGCCGTCAAATGCTCCCATTCTCCTTAACAGTGTTGACACAATTCACAAAAACACTGAGAAATCTTGTCAAACTGAAATTGTGTTGAAAGCAAGACACTAATTGTGTCCTAGAATTCTCCCCTTTGTATCAAAAGAAAGAAATCAGGCTATTTTGACATGACTTACTCTTAAGAACCTCAGTCAGTTGCCCAATACACTGTCCCCTAAATGCCAACATTATCTAATACTTTCAAGCATTGTTTTCCAACTTCTCAGAATTCCCTCTTCAAAATACATGTTAGCCAATTCCCCAGTCTTTTGGCGCCTCTTCTGTTTTCTGCAGTTTCCCTAATTCCTGGCAGTGACTATGCTCAGGAATACAGTGATCTTAGGTATATGAGCTCATTGAAATTAGATTCCATGTTTCTTGTGCATTTTTTTTAACCTAAGCTAATACAAGTTGAGTATCCCAAATTCAAAAATCTAAAATCTGAAACCTGAGCACTGACATGATGCTCTAAGGAAATGCTCAGTGGAGAATTTTGGATTTGGAAATTAAGGATCCTCAACTACTAAGTATGTAATGCAAAATATTCCCCCCCTCCCCCCCAAAAAAAATCTGAAACACTTCTGGTCCCAAGCATTTCAGACAAGGAATATTCAACCTGTACATTCTTCAAAATAGAATCCTTTTCAATGAGCCTGGAGAGACTTTTCATTTGTTTTTATTGTTTTAAGGACATTATTTTTTCCTCTCACAATAGGATGTGATTTCCCTGATCTTAGTTTTGATAATAAAAGCCTTTTTCATTGTTTTGAACTCCCCACCCCAAACCTCTATCTGATGCTGTAACAACTGACACTATTTTCCTGCTATTTGCACTGTTTTGTGTGTTCCTACTTCCAAGCTTGGCACTGATCTCTAAATTTTCATCTCAACAATCGTAACCTCTCATTGTTCAGCATCTACCCTGAATTTTATTCCCTTTTAGTTTCTAAAAGTTTGTAGTCATAGTTTCACATTTGCATCTTTTAAAAGGCGAATCTTCTGAAATTAGACTTCCTGAAATTACAGATAATGTGTCACTAATTATGGCAAATGTTCTTTCCATGCTTTGAAATGCCAGGAAGACTTGGGTGTTGTCAACTGATCAGGAATCAAGCCAGGGCACAGGAAATGCTGGCTAGCGTGTAGCGGCTAGATGAGGCTATGTGGTACAGGGACAGTTCTTATGCATGCAGTGGATAGATGGTGTAAAAAGAAAGTCTATGCAACACAGCTACTGGAGAAGAAAGATAAATCCAAATTATTGCATGCCATTTAAATTTACTCTAAAGAAACAACAAACTTTTTTTTCCTTTAGGAATGCTTAGAGAAACCAAAATTAGAATAAAATTTCCAAACTGCTTTGCAAAAGTAAAGTTGTCCTATGTATGGAACTTGTTATCTACTCTTTATTATCTGAAACTTGGCACATTCAAGAACAACATCATGACACCTCTGGTTTACACAGCAATGAGAGACCACACACGAAACACCTTAACAGGCCATGAAAAGATTGTTTTATTCCATGAAAATATTCTCAACAGAGAACACTATCTTTAAAAGAAGGATTTACCATTAAGAAATCAACATGTGCACAAAAAGAGTAAAAATTACCAAAAAATTAAAGATTTTTTGGGACAATTCACATGTTCAAAATTTAAGAATGATTTAAACTGTGCAAGTACAAATGTCTTTCCTATTATAATAACCCATATGCAGGTTGCACTATTCCACGTCAAGGAACTTGCCTCCTACGGAAGCAAATCCTGCTTTTAGAAAAACAAACAGTAGCTTTAAAAGAACAGTTAGTCCTTACAAGAACTTTGCCCTCTGTGGCTGTTAGCCAAAGAACCATAAGCACTTCAGGCTTTGTACAGAAGACAAACACAGCCAGATCACATTTCCTCCTCATTGCTAACCTTTAAAATAAAAATAGCACTAGATTTTAAAACTACTTCATGTAGTCTGTCAGCATTGAATAATGTCACATTATATAAATAACCCTGTTACGAGATTTAATATCTAAACTTTATAGTTTACTAGCCACAAAGGTAATACACTATATGTCAGCTGTGTAACAGTGGTGACTTGATCTTATGAAGGTAGTAACTTTCACACAATTGTCATTCAGCTTTAGTATAACTGGTAGTATGATTCAAATAACACTGGGAAAAAGTTATTAAAGCAGTCACACAGCTTCTAAAATATTGCTTAAAATCCAATAATACACAAACCATTTCATGTTCCTTCTCCCCTTGAAACAGTAAAGAACCAAAGTAATGGAGATTCAGTGGTACAAATAACCCCCCACCCGCTCCCATCTCCCTATTACAACACCACTAAGAAATTAGTTAAGATACAAGCCATCAACAGAATCACAAATGCGAGGCAGGACACCATAAGCAACAGGAGCACTAACAACAATCATATTTACAAGTATAAACATACAGAAATTCCATTTTACAAGTAAAAGTGCACATAGATAATTACAAAGTTTCACTAAATTTTATCAGGTTCAAACAAAAGCATCACATGGAAACAGACTATCATTGTAATAATCAAACATGACTGTGATAACCCCAAATAAAAAGATAGCTGGGGGAGGTCCATAAAACTTCTCATAAAAACACTGAGGAAAGTAAAATGGACTTGGACAGTCTGATGCATAAATTTGAAGATGCACCATTGTACATAGTAGAGCTCTAATAGCCACCTACCGAGGCTACATCGGCAGCTGCAGCCATGCTGCAGAGTTAAAGGAGGTCGCACTGAGCTGACACATAAAGCCCTTTGTGGGATACTGTAGTGGTAGTGTTGGCAATCAACAGATTTAGGCACTCTAGTTTAAGGCAGCATTTGAATGGAAGCAGCTGACTTTTGACAATAGTCCTTTGTCTTGAGGTGGTGAGTATCTTCTGTGTTTATTATGCCAGGATTTCAGTGCTGACTAGATTCTTCCCAGACTGAGGTGCTGAAGATGTATCACGTTTCAAAGAGTTCTTTCAACTGGGCTGTAGGCTAGAGCAGAGACGTTTTCTTTTTCTTATCATAAATACTTCAGGTTCACAGTCTACTTCTTTGTAATGCCAAAACTGGAATGTTTGCAGTGGGGAAGTTATAGCAGTGCACACAAATACTAGGATGGAAACATTAGTGCTGGAGATGTCTGACAATGGGATATGCACTACAAATGTAAAACAAAACAGAGGCTTTGACAAGAACAAGGGAATCTAAAGACATGCCTGAAAAATCTAGCCCAATCACTCTAGACATGCAACGGGATGTTAAGCAAGCACGGAGGTGGCGCAGGCAGACACTGACAGATGGCAAATATCTGACAGACAGTGGGTCTAAAAGCCAATTAAAACAGAGCTGGGAGGGAGACAATCCTGTTGGGACAGCTAATGTAAGACAAATTTTTTGATAGCTCTGCATTCTTTATTGATTAGACAACAATAAAATAAACAGAAAAATGGTAAGCCATTGTTGGCTTTTTCTTTTGTGGGAGTAAGTGAACTAGAAACTTAAGGGTTGGTATTACGATTTTTAAAAACGATGTATGGAAATGCTAATGAAGTTAGTAAAAAATAATCATGTCTGCATGCACTCATGCAACTTGCTTCTCTCACTCTCTTTGAGCCTGACAACTCTAATACCCTCCCCCCAAAAGCAGCTGCATGTAACCTCCTTCAACATCTTGCCCATTTCCTCAGAAACCCTCTTCAGGAACCTGCAGTCCAGGAGGAAAAAGAAAAGAACAATTACTGAAGACCTTTGGTAAAACCAAAAGGGGTGTTCAGTTTAAAGTGCCTGTCTCAAATGTCTCTAAAATCATTTTATAGACAGCTACTGAAAACACCAGGAAATTTAAAAACATGGGCAAAATCAAAACCAATCTTACTGCTTCTTCATTTTACTTCCCCACACCACTGACTCAGGGTGTGATCACACAATCAGCACTGCACAATCCTGGACTGCACAGTGTTTCCAACAATGCTTGCTGAAATTAATTGGAAACATTTATCTATCCTCATAACTAATGATTCAGCTGAAATAACAAAATGCCCTAAATGGTGGTACACATATTTTCCTCTAACCCAGATAGTAAAAAGTTCCTCCTTTAAAATTAAAATTTGTCAACACTTCCCCTCCAAGGTTTTCTCTATCTTCAAATGCGTATTTTTCTATATAACTATGTATTTTCCTATATGTAACTGCTAAATGCTAAATAATCACTAAAGTGGTATTTCCCAAAAGATATTTTCAAGATGAAATACACAAGCATAAGATTAGTTTGGAAGGAAACTTGTAAATTATTGAAAATTAACAGCAAACCTCAAAATATGTTGAGGTCTCTCGAACAAAATGCTTTATTCACCTAAGAGCTAGACCAGGAGATTTACTGTGCAACTCTCTTTAAATCTATTTAAATAGATTACTGTGCCAAGTGCTTATTTTCTTCCTTTAGGAAACCAAAGTTAAGAAAAGGGAATAAAATGAAAATGATATTATTATTTTACTCAATTATCCATCTATTATTTTTCTTCCTGGAAACTGTAGCTACAAATCCAAACTCCTGGAAGAAACCACTCTGGGGAGTTGGCTTTCCATAGCATTTCAGAGCAGTTTCACTTATTCAAATTCACTAGAGTCACTGTGTTTTCTGAAGTAAAGGGGGCAGAGAGCATTACTAACCATGAATTCCTGCCCAATAAATCAAATTCTACTTGTAAGGCAGAAAAACACAAATCCTTCACACAGACTTAAGCAGGACATAAAGCAAAAGGCATCAATTAAGCTTCACACCAACATTACTCAAACAGTAAAGTGCCACAAAAAGTTTCTTGTGGTAACATTCACAAGATCAAGCCTAACTCAGCTCACATAGTGAACAATTAATCTTGGATGCCCTTTAAATTTCCTTATTCTTTTCAACCTCTTGAATGTGTTTTCATTTTATGTTACTCTTCCTGTGTCACACATGGCACAAAGCTGCCTGGTTAGTTTAGATATAAGTTACTGCACCTTTACTGTTTTTCTCTAGGGTTACATCTATGTATGACGTGGGAACGTAGCCTTCTTCACCGTTCTGTCTCCGAGCTCTTGTCCATCCATCACCTTTGTCCTCCTCTATAATGTAGAGAACTTCACCTTCTTTCATTGCCAGAGTACCTTCATTATGTCCTAGATGAGAGTTTTCACAAGCATAATTTAAGCACAGTGATACATTTTTTTTTAAATTACAAATACAACACACAAAATAAATTATAGATTTCAATGTGCCTGGAACCACTGACTCTCCTTAGCAACATCTCTATAGTGCTTTGTGGCTTATCCAGCACCTTTATTTATATTCTCTCATTTGAGCTGCATAATAAGCCTGTAAGGCTGGATAACATCACCCCCATGTAACAGATGAAGTTAACTGAGCAACAGTGACATTACATGATTTGACAGGGTATTCTAATTCCTATTTCACTATTCCAACTTCTTTCCCAAATTTTAGTAGTCAATCAAAAAAAGTTAATCACATATGGATTAGGAAAACAGTAACTAGACAGTCAAAGAGAGGGAAGAAAGAAGGAAAAAATATAGTTTGAAGGGAGAGCAAAGAAAAATATAGGTGTGACTCTAGTGATGGTAGAAGCAGAATGGCCATACATAACTCTTTTATTCTCCATCCCCAACCACCCCCAACCTGCTTAGCAGTAACAATTTCACAACTGAATCTTCATTTAACACAATAAATTATTTCCCTACTCTCTAGATAACATCATAGTAAGTTTTTTTGTTTTTTTAAAGAGATAGAGTCTTACTGCCTAGGCTGGATTCGAACTTCTGGGTTCAAGTGATCCTTCTGCTGCAGTCCCCCAGGTGATTAAGACTGCAGGGGCACATCACTACACTTGGCTACAAGGTCTTAAATTTAATATATTTTCTAATAGGAGGTTACTAGAGACTTTGCTCAATTTTAAATCAACACAAAGGGGGGAAAATACCTTAAATCATGCACCATTTCATAACAGTTTATTTATGAAAGTGTTACTTAGCTCTCTCCTATTAGTCGAGGAAAAGTATTTTTCAGAGTCCAAGAGAAAGAAGAACTAAAACTCTACAGAAGAGGGCCTCAGTGCCTTACTTACTTCCCTCCCAGAGTTTGTTCAACTTTCATAGGGTAAGAGATGGCATAGTCTTACTACATTCTCAGAAGCTACTACATTCTCTCCCACTTTCATCTAAATGGGTGGCCTACAGACTCAGGATCTGATGATGGCATTCAGCTAGCTATGCCTCAGACCTGTCTCTCAACGTTAGTAAGCTACAAGGAAGAACATGAAGTGACATCCACCGGCATCTGCTTCCTGGGTTGGGCTAATGCTCAAGCTGCCTCAACTTTGTTTTGTACATGTATGCATTAGTAAGAACTCTGGGGAAAATTCTGCACTGACCAAAGCTGATAATTAATAAACTGTATTAGGATGCTAGCAACATGAGTAATTTCTTTTCATTCCATGTATGGAAGAAAAATCCCTATATTTGTAATAGTTATAACAAAACTATACATACTAAAGAAATGGAATTATAATAATTTTCTGATGTGTATTACTTAAATAAGGACACTATAGTGAATGACTTGATGTAAATACTTTTAAAGAACCAATTTTTTTTTTTAGACGGAGTTTCCTTCTTGTTGCCCAGGCTGGAGTGCAATGGCGCGTACTTGGCTCACCACAACCTCCACCTCCTGGGTTCAAGCGATTCTCCTGTCTCAGCCTCCCAAGAAGCTGGGATTACAGGCATGTGCCACAATGCCCACCTAATTTTTTGTATTTTAAGTAGAGACAGGGTTTCACCATGTTGGCCAGGATGGTCTCTATCTCTTGACCTCGTGATCCACCCATCTTAGCCTCCCAAAGTGCTGGGATTACAGGCATGAGCCACCATGCCCAGCCTACAAAACCAATATTATCAAATACAATATTATTAAGAAAATCATACCATCAAAAGGGTAGATAGCTTTGCAGTGTCCAATAGCAGGCAAGGGATCATCATCCTCAAATTCATCATCAAACTCACTGTGATGGCCATGCTGCTGGGGTGGCCCACGGACTTCCTGGTTTGCATCATCAGTGTAACTTCCCTCAGGACTATAAAACAAAAAATTATCTCTGATCAAGTATCATAAACATGAGAATTCTATATATATTATTTATAAATTGATCTCCTCAGGATCAATTCCCAAAATTAAATATTAATGGCATGGTTTCCAGCTAAGCCCTCTTTTTTTCAAACATCTAGCATACAAATTAATTCTAACATAGAATGCTACTTTGCTGAATTTCCTGAAATAAAAAAAAATTACAAGATTACAATATTCTAAGCACAAAGCATTATTCAGTAAAGACATCTCACTATCACTGGGTCTAGAGATAAAATCAGAAAAATGTTCTAGACACTTGTCTTCCATCATCCCAAAGTTATCACCCTAAAATTCCTTAGGGGACCCATGCAGACCCAAGTTTAGTTCACATGCCTCAGGTGGGGTTGTTTCTATTCTGGACCTGGAGTAGCCATCAGAGCAAGCATTTGCATGACCAGAGTAAATAAGTAGTTCATAAGTAGTCCTGTAACCCAATCAGATGTAAGAAATGCACAGGGACTTTTGTTTGGGACTCTTGGAAGAGAATTCACTCTGTCCCTTTTCTACTGGACTTGAACCCAGAGGAATAATGGCCTAGAGTTTTGGACCCTTAAAATGAAGCCAACACAATAGAAGGCAAAGCTGTGAGGTAGAGAGAAATTGAGTCCTGAGGACAACACGTGAGCTCCCAGACCAAGCTCTCCCTAAAGTCAGCCAATGAAGTGCATTTTTAGTTTAAGCGAGCACGAATAAAGTGTTCACTCTGTCACTGAAAATTAAAAGATTCTCAACTAAAATAAAAAGTAAAGTTAATTTCCAACTAACCACGGTAACACGGAAGTTGGTAACAAAACAAAAAAATGGCAGGTAATACAAATATATTTTTCTTAAAATTTTTTAAATCAGAGAAAATTGTGAATAATTTTGCTGAAGAATCAAACAATAAATTAGATTGAATAGAAAATTTTACAGAATTAGATATTGTTTGTTTTTTTGAGACAGAGACTTGCTCTGTCGCTCAGGCTAGAGTGCAGTGGTGTGATCTTGGCTCACTACAACCTCCACCTTCCGGGTTCAAATGATTCTCCTACCTCAGCCTCCTAAGCAGCTGGGATTACAGGCATACGCCACTGCACCTGACTAATTTTTGTATTTTTAGTAGAGACAAGGTTTCACCATGTTGGTCAGGCTGGTATCAAACTCCTGACCTCGTGATCCACCTGCCTCAGCCCCTCAAAGTGCTGAGATTAGAGGCGAGAGCCACCACACCCGGCCAGAATTAGATTTTAACAGTACTTTCAGTAAGCCTAGAAGCCAGAGAAATAACACATGCCAAAGAAATTAGATCCTTTTAATCTGAGTTTTACCTAAAAAGAAAAAGCAGCAATTTGTGGATATCTCTTGATATATTAAAGATATGTACTCTTGGGACAGGCGCGGTGGCTCAAGCCTGTAATCCCAGCACTTTGGGAGGCCGAGGCGGGTGGATCACGAGGTCAAGAGATCGAGACCATCCTGGTCAACATGGTGAAACCCAGTCTCTACTAAAAATACAAAAAATTAGCTGGGCATGGTGGTGCGTGCCTGTAATCCCAACTACTCAGGAGGCTGAGGCAGGAGAATTGCCCGAACCCAGGAGGCGGAGGTTGCGGTGAGCCGAGATCGCGCCATTGCACTCCAGCCTGGGTAACAAGAGCGAAACTCCGTCTCAAAAAAAAAAGATATGTACTCTTTCAAGAAGTGATACTATTATTACCGCTATTCGCTACTAGGTGCTTTATGTGCATAATTTACTTTTTTACTAACAAACTTGAAGGATGGATATTTTAAGCTCCATTTGTATTTCAGAAAATTGAGACTCAGGGAGCATTAAAAATGAACCTGCTTAGATTACACTGTAATTAAGTAGAAAACTAAGAGTTATTACTAGATCTCTCACATTCTTCGTTAAGGCAAATCCTAATTTGTGGACTTTTATTATGGAAAAAAAACATATAAAGAAAAAAACGTCACAAGTGGCACAGAACTTAGCAAAAGTCTTTTGGAAGCTCTGGTCTAGAATAACAATATGTGGTTTTTTTCCTTCACAAAACTTTGAGCTATTTGATAGTAAAATTTTTCTTTGGCAGAAGTGACCCTAACTTCACCTGAACCTTAGGAAAGCTTCCCATGCCTGAGGAGCCTATGCCCTCAGACTGCAGCTCCAAGAATTTTCTATGTTCCTAGCTCTGTGTTTGGAAGCACAATAAACTAGGATTGATTGAATAGCAAGATGAACTTTCCTACTTCACCTGTAATTATCACTAAAGAAAATTACTTAGGTTCAAAAGACTGAGGTTATTGAAAGCTGAACTTGTTAAATTTGGGAGAAAACAAATTGTATAAAGTTTAGCACAAAAGGGTGAGAAAACTTTGGGGAGAAGGAATACAAATAAAATACAAAAAATGACCTTTCTCGTCCCTGTGTTACAAGATGATTTATGTCACTGCTATGTCTTCTGTCTCCTCTCCCACCTGTTTTGCCTTCAACTTCAGAAAGCCAAGCCTTAGGAAAAAAATAAGCAAACAACTGAGCTCAGTAAATACGTTTAAAAGCTTGTTAAGATATTCTGCATTTAAAATGTGCTTGAAGTTTTTATAATTACATAATTCTTAGAGATGTGAAAACTTTATTCCAAACTGGTCAAATGATCAACTTTACAGCTGATTCAAAACATAGTATAAATGTTTAGTTTTATATAAAGGTTTAAATAAAAAAAATTTCAATGAGATTAAAAAATACACATCACAATCCTTTTAGATCATAAACCCTAAAATTAAATATAAACATCTGAAGATAATTCTAATAAAAACCAATCTATCACAATGAAGTTTATAAAAATAATTTATCTTGACAACTGCTGAATAAAAAATCTACCTCATTCTTGTGGATTTCCATTCGTAGGCGGTCAATGTTATTCATGGTCTCTGCCAATTTAGGCTGCAAACTCCCTGGATCCCCCATTTGTGGATTCTTCTCATATACATCTTTCATTTTGTTGAGGGCATCTCTGAAAAAGAGAAGGAAACCACATAATTAAATATTAACTTCATATGCTTCCAGATAAAAGAGTTTTATTTGATTCTGGGGACTTGTATGCAGCTTAATCTTAAATAGAGCCATATCTTTTTAAGTTTGTCTAACATGACCTGATTAAAGACAATCTGCATAAAGGTGATAACATATATAGTGTTAGTAATTTATGAAGAAATTGGAATAGCAAAAGAGAACAGAGTTCATTTCTTATTTCCTGCTTTATAAACAAGGAATTTTATTTGTATCTATACACACACACACACACATGCATGCACGCGCGCGCACACACACACACACACACACACACACAAGGGCTGGAAGAATATTTTTCAATATCCTTCAGCTCATCATGTCCCAAATCAAACTCATTATATTCCCACCCAGCCACAGTATTCCACAGTGTTCCGTAGCTCATACATCATCATTGTCCTCCCACTCATCTCTGCTAGAAATAGGAATGGCAGCTTTAACTTGCCCCCACCCAAAGTCAGTCATTTGCCAATTCCTCTCAACCTACCTCCTATTCTCTAATCATATTAGAATTGGTTATGCCTCCATTAGCTGTCCTTGACTCTAACATCCAACACTATTGCCTAACACTCCTTAATATTCTTTTCCTTCATGACTTCCTGGAGGTTACATTTTCTTCTTCCTCCTCCTCACCTCTGCTTTCTCACAATTTTCTTCACTGGCTTCTTCTCCTTCTTTGTTCAATCTTAAATGCACACTACACAAAATGACAAAGGTTTCCTCTCATCTCTTCTTACAGTCCTGTTGATGATCTCTTACTGTTTTAATATCATCCATCTTCAGATGATTTTCAAATGCATATCTCCAGACCCCTTTCTCTCCTGAATTCTAGATTCACATTTCCAAACCCAACTGGACACTTCTAATACGGGTTTTTCACATTTCAAAAATCAACATCAAAATCTTTTTCTTTGTCCTAAACCTTTTCCTTATTATTGCAATTTAATCTATAGCTGCAAGCCCCCACTTTATAAAGCTTCCTCCATTGTTTCCTGCAGCATCCAATCAGGTTAAAAGTACAACCTACTCTGGCTTTGAAATCACTCTTTTATCTATTCCTCCTTTCTGTTCCCATAGTCATGCCTTAATTTAGGCCCTCAGCATTTCTCACCTCGACTGTTAAAGTCTTCTACCTCCAATCTCTTTCCTATACTATTTACTCTTCATACAGCTTTCTATTATCTTGTAGCACACACAGCTAACAATGTTACCCCTTCTCTCAATAACTGGGGATTGTAATACCTACAGAACTCAAAAGAAAAGCATTCAGGGAAGTCCTATACTTCTTCATCCTCAACTTCTGTTATTATGCTCCATATTATTTTTAACCAAGCCTCTCTGGATTAGCACTTATTCCAGACCATGGCAAGAACATTCACATTTCTATGTCTTTATTCTTGTTTTGGATATGGAGAGATCAGTCAAAAACCTGAGTCACCAGAGTTCCAAGCTGAGGTCAAACCAGGTGATACTCTGGCCTTCTTGCTTGTATTCTCATATTGTGGACATGTATTCTTTTTGCAATCTACTCATTTAGTGCAATATTTCTCATATTTTTGTGCTTTTTGTTGATCTTGGTGTTTGAAATAGCCCCAAAGCACAGCAATGAAGTGCTGTCTACTGTTCTTAAGTACAAGAAGGCTGTAATATTATTATGAGAAAATCATGTCTTAGATAAGCTTTGTTCAAGCACAAGTTACAGTGCTATTAGAAAAATTCAAAGTTAATAAATCAACATCATATATAAAATAAGGTGTCTTTACACAGAAACATAAATAAAACAAGGTTATGTGTCAATTAGCTGATGGAAACATTGTACCAGAGGTTACCTAGAGCCCAACATTGTATCACCCTAAGAGCAATGTTTCCATATTCCATAATTCAATGTTCACAGTGATTTTATAGAATATAGCTACTGTAAATTAGAATCAAAGGTACTGCAGTATTTCATTATTAAGTGCCACATCATACCTGATACATTAATTCTTAACATCAAAACTTCAATCTTTCATGCTACAATTTAAGCCCCAATTTTATCCTCAGTGAAGATATAGCAAGTCACCAACTCACTGTAATAACACTTTAATGATCATAAATAATTTTGTCCATTTTTTAAAAATTAAAGTAGAGAAAACTTTTTGTAAAAATGAAAAAAAAAAGGTAAACCTATGTGTGAACAAATATGAAGTCATAAGTAATCAAGCAATGTTTGCCAAAGGTTTTGCTACAAAAAAAAATAGCCTCAGGTTGCTACTGAAATCAATTTATATATAGAAGCAAAATAAAAAATGTATCAAAGTATAAGAAGTGATTAGTGCTGGTGAAACTAGTCTTGATAATAAAACATCAAGAAATTTTTTGCAAATTAATGAAGGCATAAATATATACTATTAGCATCCAATAAAAATCTGCAACCAAGGAAATTCTCTAACATTTCATTTTTACCTATGACAGGAAAACCACAAAAATTTCCAGTGTAGGAGTATAATTTTCTCTCAGAAGATTTCAATTAGGATATATGACTTTTAAACCTTCTGTATATCACATTTAAGGGTGTCACTCAATGTAAATCCTAAAATAATAATGATAGAGAAGACTTAAAGGAATAATACTTTTGGTCTGATTCTTTCTGTAGCTCTCTATTAAGTTCATCAATGCGCTGCTGTAGTTTTTTACGTCTCTGTTCTGGTGGCAGATGACTGAAATCTTCCAATGCTGGGCCCTGAAAAGAGAATCTAAATCAATATAATAGACATTTTTGGGAAATGTTGTTTTTAAAATATACCTGCTACAAAATAAGAATACATACCAATCTTGTTTAATTTCAAATTTGCCTCAAGCAACCCCTTAAAAAAAATCTACATAGATGTATGCGTTTTGTGTTTATGCATATGTTAATGAAAACAACTGAACTGAAGAAAGCTCAAATTCCTGTCATTTTATAAAGCCATGAAACAAAATATGTTAAAATTATACCCAGATACAGATAACTGGTAGGCAGTAAAACATCACTTTCAAATCCTGGCAGTTGTGATGAATACATATAAACCTTCTTACAGCAACAACAACAAAATGGAAACACGTAACATCTCGTCTATACAGGGTATTGTTTTATATATAACATATCACAACAGTTCCAAATCAAACCCATTGCTATGACATTCAGAATGTTATACATGTTCAAACTAAAAATATGAATATAATTAAGAAACTTACCTCACAAGGACAATCTAATGAAATATACTTTAATACTACATATAGGGCTTGGCGGCTTGGCATGGTGGCTCATATCTGTAATCCCAGCACTTTGGGAGTCCAAGGTAGGTGGATCGCCTGAGGTCAGGAGTTCTAGACCAGTCTGACCTACATGGAGAAACCCCATCTACTAAAAGTACAAAAATTAGCTAGGTGTGGTGGTGCATGCCTAGTAATCCCAGGTACTTGGGACGCTGAAGCAGGAGAATCCCTTGAACCTGAGAGGCGGAGGCTGCAGTGAGCCGAGATCACACCATTGCACTCCAGCCTGGGCAACAAGAGCAAAACTCTGTCTCAAAAAAAAAAAAAAAAAAAAAATACTACAGATAACCTTTCAACAATTAAACCATTCAAAACATACCTGGTCATTAAAAAAACAAAAGATAGAACTGTCTAGTGAGCAGAAATTATATTCCAACAAGAAGTATGTTTTCTATTATCCTTTTGTAAACTAAATAACATACATCAGTTGAGAAAGATAGATAAAATGCTTCTTTAGGAAAGATGCTTAATGTCTGAAAATTTTTTAAAGTTCTGATATTCAAGAAACTATGCAATTTAAGAAAAAGTGCTACTATTTAAATGTAAACATTGGATCCAAATGATGTCTTTCCCCTTAAATGTTATTTTAATCACTGTTACTTATGTTATTAGAGATTACAACAGAACCAATATTAGCAGCTATTGAATCTATTTAATATAAACCTATATTACTTAAGTCTTTATATATATACTCCAGAAACTGATGATGCTTGTCACTATTCATTCTTTCCAAAATGGTTATTTTAAGAATATAAATATGAGCCCAGGTGGGGTGGCTCATACCTCTAATCCTAGCACTTTGGGAGGCCGAGGCGGGTGGATCACCTGAGGTCAGGAGTTTGAGACCAGCCTGGAGTCTGGCCAACAAGGTGAAACCCTGTCTCCACTAAAAATACAAAAAATTAGCCAGGCATGGTGGCAGAAATCTGTAATCCCAGCTACCTGGGAAGCTGAGGCAGGAGAATTGCTTGAACCCAGGGGGCAGAGGTTGCAATGAGCTGAGACTGTGTCATCGCACTCCAGCCTGGGTGACAAGAGTAAGACTCCGTCTAAAACAACAAACAAAAGAATATAAATATGATTCCATTTGTTAAAGTGATGCTAAAAGGAGCTCTCAAAACAAAGACATTCCTGCTCTTCGGACCTCTTATGCCTGTAACATATGCTAAATAGCTTTATTTCACCCTGTGTAAGAATGATTCATTTACTTTTAGAAAAGAAAAAATTCACTCCTAGGATGAGCTATGATCAAATGTAGTTTAATTAATAACAGAATCCCTAGCATCTTTCTCCAGTGGCCTGCACATTATGGATATTCAACGAGCTTGCTGGAAAAAAGTAGGGCACCCTAAGTGGTTTTTTTTTTTTTTTTTCATTTACCAGTCACTAGAAACAAGGATATCAATCAACCCAATCTGACCTAAATAAATCAAGGTGAAACTTCCTATATGAAATTCCTTTAGATTTATTGGTTAATTCTCAACATAAATTTGTCATGTTTAATCTAATTTGGAGTCGAGGGTTTTTTTACAGGGTCTCACTCTGTTGCCCATGATGGAATGCAGCTGAGTGATCATAGCTCTCATGGCTCACTACAGCCTCGAACTCCTGGGCTCAATCAATCCTCCCATTTTAGCCTCCCAAATAGCTGGAATTATAGGCAAGGAGTATAAGTTTTGAAAACTAGTGTGTGTGTGTATACGCACACACATATATATACATATACACACACATATATATGCCAAAAATAAACTTCCTAATTTAAATTTTAAAAATATTTCCGGCCAGGCGCAGTGGCTCAAGCCTGTAATCCCAGCACTTTGGGAGGCCGAGGCGGGTGGATCACGAGGTCGAGAGATCAAGACCATCCTGGTCAACATGGTGAAACCCCGTCTCTACTAAAAATACAAAAAATTAGCTGGGCATGGTGGCACGTGCCTGTAATCCCAGCTACTCAGGAGGCTGAGGCAGGAGAATTGCCTGAACCCAGGAGGCGGAGGTTGCGGTGAGCCGAGATCGCGCCACTGCACTCCAGCCTGGGTAACAAGAGCGAAACTCCGTTTAAAAAAAAAATTTTTTTCCAAAAATCTTGAAAAATTATTTAGTAAAATGAAGAAATGCAGTTCAACATACTGTGGGGTTTCTGTTTTTAAAATTATAATAAAATTACAATAACCTAGAAGTAAATCCACCAAAATTCCACTTAGCCCTTATCAAACCTTCTTCTCAAATTTATGAACAGTAAATACTGAGGTACTTACATTTCTAATATCCCTTTTGCCATTAGAACCCTATTCTTATATGGAATACAAGAATTAAACTCGGCTCTATTTCCTATGATGTTCAGAAGACCTCTGAGGCATTTAACAACCTCTCTTCCTACAAAGGAAATTCATAAAAGGCTGATTCCAACAGGGTAAAAAAGAGTAGTCTATTTTCCAATATCTTTCTATACAATAATTTTGGAGTTAGTTCCTAATGTAGCTCCATTAATTTGTTTGAAAAAAATAAACATACATCTGAAACACACACACCATGCCCCCACAACACACACTCACGATATTTAGATCATCCGTGCTTCTGTTCTCCTTAAACAGTACAGAAGAACCAAGCACTAACTCCATAATGATACTAGAAGGAAATTTTTCTTTCTTTTTTGAAAAATCGAATGATTCTGGTGACAAAACTACAAATCAAATGTATATGATTTTTAAAGGATATAAGTAAAATAATATTTGCTAAATTTTCCTTCTGCATAACAAACTGTGGCTCCACCATGTAATATTTTAAAATGTTTAACCATTTAAAAATGTTTAATTTTATACTCCTATGTAACATGACAAGGACTCCATTCAATGACATTTAAGAACTTAATGGGTTGATGACAATTAACCACACTATTTTCTAATCTTATGACATCAAGAGTACTGGCATATGCTGGACTATGAATTAAACTATAAAAAGAAAAAACACACAAGGTGAAAACGTGGGATGTAATTTACCACTTGTTTTGAATTAAACAAAACAATGTTTTGAGATTACTTAATGTTGGCACAGTATATAGATCAGCACATAAGGCTTACCATCTTCACCGACCACTGAATAGTTCAATGGAAAACAGAAAGAAATGGTAAATTATTCACAGGAAACCATAATACAGAAGATGCAATAGCCTATTCTTTTTTTTTTTTTACAATACTAAAATAAATCATGTACATTTTACAATCCAAACAGATATGCCAGAAAACCCATTTTAAGCACATTTTGGGAAAGTAAATTACTTGCAAAAAAAGAAAAAAAAAAAGCATACACTGATGATAATGGGCAGATATTTTCTATGTTTAACTAAAACTTAAAAGTAATCATTCTATCTGTAATCATGCATTTTCTTTTAAAGTGAATTTTATGTAAGTGAATTTAACTTCTATAGCTCTTTATTCTCAAATTACTAACATTTGAAAAGTTGAATATGAGCTCCAAGATTAGACATTTAAAAAGAAATCTTACATGAAATATTAAAAAATAGAATGTTCATCCCAGTGCATTAAAGAAAATACTATTATCTGCATTTTGATGCTTCAAAGTACTGCTTGAATTTAAATATACCATGGTTAGGTGAGGGGAACATTTTTACTTTCATCTTAAGATCTTTTTAAACATACAGATACATTAAAAACATTATTATCAAAATAATGAGTTATCTAGATTCAAGTTTCCCATACACATTTCCAAATACATACAAATATATAGGTTGAATTTTGCTTTAAAAATATAGCTTCTATTTTTCAGGTTTTATTTTAAAATCCATATGCTTGAAGAACACTTAAAACTTAACTTCAATTTTTAGAAAATTGATTAGAATATATTCTTTCTGAAAATACACAATGACAGAGATTCTGGAGAGACCAACTGTAGTGTTCTTATACTTTATATATATGTATATACGTGTGTGTGTGTGTGTGTGTATATATATAGACACAGATACGAATATGGATATGGATATATTTCCCACATTCTCTGCAACTGGCATGGAATCTATCTAGCATCCCAACTACACACATACATACACACACACACACACACACACACACACACACACACGGTGACCCAGAATATGCAACAGAGCTTTATAAAGTTAATCTTCACATTCATCTCAATTGGTTAGCAGCTTCTAAAATTTTTACTTTTCCCTGTTTTCTAAATCATGATATTTTAAGAGAAGGTGTTAGGGAGAGGTCAGGTAAAAATTCACATTAAAAATATGAATGAATTTTAATAAATAATCTGATAAAAATATCTACCCCTTATCTCTGATGAGTTGGTCACCACTATGCATTATCTTTTCAAATTAAGCTTAACATTCTTTAGACTGTCAGTATTTTTTGAGAAATAAAAAACACAATTTATTTGGCTATGAAAAAACTCCTGGCAAGGAAATAAAAAGGTTTAAAGAAAGATGTTCACAGTCTTTAAAAAATGTTATTAAATGAAATTATATATAGGACAAGCAACAAAATAAAGAATTTGAATCTGACTTATCTTTTATAATTTTCACCAGCAAAATTTCTAAGTGATGCAAATTATCTTAATTTCTATGTTAATCTTTGAGAGAAAACATTAAGATAATTATAGCTGAAATATCAAATGTTTCGGTTTTTTGTTAATCTAGTCTTACTAAATTATCACTTGGAAATTTCATCATTAGATTTGGGGATACACAAAACTCAAGTTCTTTGTAAAATTATTAGACATATACTCTTTGTAAGGTTTTAAAGTAATACATGTTCCATACAAAAATACCTTATTCTCATATACAATTATCATATACTTATATACTAGAAAATTTCATATACTCAACTATATTTAATAAATATAAGAGAGCTAAACAGGATACCATTTAGGCAACTAAAATTATTAGGTGTATTTCATTTTAAATAGGACAAAATCTCATGAGAACTACTCTGGAAAGATAAAAGCTTAGAAAAATGTCTCTGAAAGTCTATAAAGTCATAAATAATTTAGACAAAAAACCTGAACTCATTGCTAAATAACTTAAAAAACGGTATCCAATAAAGCTCAAATAAAATAGCAACAGAGTAAAAATTATTAGTTTATATTTTAAGTAGTTAAAGTTTGGGTATATCCTCAAATATCCATTAACAGTTAAAACTTAATGTCACAGAAGGAAATTTTAGACCTTTCTCCCTCAGAAAAAAATCCACTGATACCACTGTCAAACTAAAAAACACTGTTGTAATACAACATTTTTCATATCCTTAATTTACACTGGGATCTGTACACAGCAGTTTTTCTTTAAAAAAGGAAAAGAAAAATATTTTTTTTAATTATAATTTTTTTAAAGTTACTTAGGAAAAGCAATGTGCAGCAAATATTGCACAAAACAAGTTTCTGAATTGAATGGTACAACTCGTCAGTTTTAAGAAACCTTTAGACTTATTTTGTAATCTTAGTAAGACTGAAAACTCCATAGCAGGTTTACTAAAGCTTACCTTCTTTTAGAATTTTTCTATATTGAGAAAATTCTTAAGTGGAAAAAAAATCTCTATAGGTTAGTTTTTGAGATAATATCTAGTAAATAACAAATGCTCATCAAAAGAAAGAAATTTGTCAACCTCAAAGTTGTAATCCACTTTCCTCCCTGCTCTGTCCTCTCAACCCCAGTTGTTTTGTCATATTTTCTACCTTGCACAGTTTTCTTCTTTGGAGTGGCAGCTAGTAATAAATCTGGGAGGGAATTTCAGCCTTCTAAAACTAGGCCCCATAAAAATAATTTATAATTTGTGAGAAACAAATAACAAGCAAATAGTTTTAAGTTTTACAGTTGTAAAATTCTACTTACAAACTTATTCAATAAAAATAAGATGACACAAATTTATGCTTCTCTCTCCAGGGCTCATAGCTCTCATTGCCTGAGCTTTTTTTTTTTTTTTTTTTTTTTAATAATTACACTCACCTCATACCTCTATATGTATAAAATATGACTATGACTATATTGTATAAAATATGACTATTTTAACTGGGCCTGGCAGGCTCATCATGTAGGATACACAAACGATTACAAAAACATGACTACAACATAGTTATTTCTCATGATTTATATAACAACATAATATTTAGTGTAGTCTAAATTGCCAGTGATGGTTCATGTCTATAATCCCACAACTTTGGAAGGCTGAAGTGGGAGGATTGCTTGAGCCCAGGAGTTTGAGACCAGTCTGGGCAACATAGCAAGATCAACATCTCCATAAGAAAAAATTAAAAATAAAAATAAGTAAATAAATAAACTGCCATAGGGAAGCAACATAGGAATTAGTTCTAGCCTTGTAAATCAGGCAATAGAAATCCCAAATACGATTTTTCAAGTCTTTCAAACATGTGTTCAGAGCTTTTAGAAGTGATTATAGGCATCCTGTAGTTATAATACATGGGGCCTTTTCAAAATGTCATCAATTACCTACCATCCACATATAGAATTAGGTAAGATAGATGCAAAGAAGTTCATGTCATTGGAGGAAAAAACAAGTCCAAAAAAAAGAATCACAACACCCTGGAACATTTCTGCTGCATTAGTAATATCAGTTAAGTTTGTCATAATGTTTTAAGGCAACGTAGATGTAATCTTGTCCCTAAACTAATATATCTTCTACAGGAGGCCAAAATGTAATCTGAAGACAGAAAGGAAGACAAATAGAAAGGAACAAGGGAAAAAAAGAGAGGAGAGAGGAAGGGAGGGAAGGGAAGAAGGAAGAAGGAAGAATGAAATAACCTAACTTTAGATTATTATTGTTAGACTTCTTATGACACTGATAGACTGATTTCTCATCTATGGGTTAGCAAACCTATGGTTTTCAAATGTCCAATCAAATGCTCAAACAAATCTTATAAATGAATCTAAATGACAGGCTATTAATATTAAAAGCACACCCTTTAAAATCAAACAAAAACAAGAAAAATTAGCCTCACTAACATAATACAGTAACACTAATGTGCACACCCTTAACATCAAACATGAGAAAAATTAGCCTCCCTAACATAATAAACATTAATGTATTTATTAGTACTTTAACAGTTGTTGCTAAGCAACGGTTTAGTAAACATTACTCAGTGATACCTAGTATTTTTCTAGGCTTTACAATTTACAATATCCTTCTAATATATTATCTCAATTTGATCTGCAACAATGTTGATATTTAAAATACCTATCTTTAATATTTTTTAATTATTGATACTGTGTTTCATACATCTCAAAGTAAGCAGGGCAATTATTGACATTTTATTGTCAACAAAATAATACTTTATAAAATTGGCAGGTAAAGTCAGCATTGGTGACAAATTATTTCAAGAGTAACTCCAGTGACAAATTACTGAAAGTCTTAAAAATGTAAATACATTACAAGACAATGGTGAACATATGATTTCACATAAACAAAAAAATAGCTCAAATATGATTGTACCCAGCACCCTCTTTATAATACCATTCTTTTATGGTTGAGCATTTCAAATGTTATAAAGAGGAGTTGTTTTTAACTTGAGGGCAGCTATTCTTAATTCTGTGGTGTTTTTAAACTATGTATTTATAGGAGAGAGCCTTATAATGAGGGTGGAGAGTATTAAAAGCCACACTACACACACAATAGGCCATCATGCATTTTAACCCATTATTAAACTTACCCCTCTTTTGAGGCTTCTGAAAGAAGGAATTCTGGGCTTCCCTGTTTTTATTTCATTCATACAATAATGCACGGGCTCAATGGAGAATGTGAGAAACTGGGACCCATTAGGAGTACTGGATGTGAATAAACTAGTAGGGGTTAAGGGTGGGGACTGTGGCTAATATGGAAATAAAGAAAGGAATCAATAAGCCAAATGTGCATAGTTTTTTCCTAAATGAAAATTCTATTTTTGGCAACATACTTTTCACAAAATATACCTCAAATAAAGTTTACTATAAATATACTATGAGAAAGTAAACATAGTTTTGCCCAAAGCTATCATTTTAAAAAATCAAATTTACTTTTTAAAATGTACCATTTCACTTGATTACTTTTTATAAGAGGACATTAAAAATATAGAGTACGTAAATTACACTGTCAAAGAAAGCAATATGACCTAGATTTTAAAATTCTCTTCTAATTTCTAGAATATTAGTACTACCATGGTACTTAAGAGATAAAGCTGGTAGCTACAGCTAGTTATCTAAATAGGTAATGTGACACATAAAATATTAAAACTATAACTGATTATTATCAAAAATAGGCAAAAAAAACTTCCATTACATTCATGGCTTTCCTCTGACTCTTTCAATTTCATCCTTATTTCATCTTTTCCTTTTCATTACAGTATTCCTTGTATGTCTAAGTTCTTCTAGCTACCTCGATGTGACTAAAACAGGTCTCACTTCCCAACTTCTTGACTGAACAATATTATTAAAAGCATAAATAAAGCATGAGTTAGTTATAATTGTGCTTTTAAAGATGTAAGTATGAGTTAAATTTTATCTACACTCATATGCCATGATCAAAAAAATGAATAGAAATAATCAAATATAAACATAGCACATCAGATTAAAAGTATTTCTCTATTCTCCTTGCTAATAAGACACTATTGCAACCACTTAATTGATAAGAAAGACACAGCACCCATCTATTTCATTTGCTCACATGCTGATCTAGATCTATCTAAAATGAACAGTAGTACATCAGAAGGTAGGTTCTAACAAGAAGTTAAGAGATTCTCTCAGCAAACTCGAAATTGTTTTAAACTTCAATTAACCAAGACTGAACCCTTCCCATTAAAAACATATATGGATGATAAAAATAATTTTAGTAGTGTATGATCTATAAAACCTAATCTGACATTTACTATGGCTGTGGTTAGTCATTCATTCCATTGAGAATTGCAATTTTAGTAGTATTTTAGTTAGATCATGTTTCCTTAGAAATTCTGGTGGGAAATACATACAAATGAAACTTCAAAAGCATAAAATTTAACTAGATATTAACAACTTTGTTAATACTCTTACCCATTATGCAGTAGTCAAATGTTAAATCCATAAATGACTTTTATATTAAGGTCTAAAACTATGTTTCCTAATATAATAGAAAGGTTAACTGAATCATTCAAATTGAAAACATTTATTCTCCATTAATGGTAAACCATTTTCCATTCAATACCCATATTCTTTTAATTGGTACACTTAAATTGATTAGCATATAGGAATTTTATGACTTTTACCTTTGGCTTCTTTCCAAAGAGCCACAATTTGCCCTTGGCCTTTCCTACTGTGGTTTTGGCATCCATCTTCCCACTCTCCTGTTTGGATGCACTGATAGTCCCATCAGAAATGGTTCTATATATATGTTGACTGTAATCTTCAAACGGAAAGTCTCCTGGAGGTTCAAAACCAGATTTGAAGGAGTCTACCACCATTTGAGAGTCCTATACAAAAGAAACATAAGTTTTAGAACTATTTTACTGGCTCATAATTCTACATTAGCTTTCAAAACTTTATTCAGTACAAGAAAACAACAAATATCTGTTTAAATAAATAATTCCACAGTAATCATTAAAGTAAATAATTTATTCCTATGAATGTTTAACAAACTCAAAATATTTTAATCCCAAAAGAAAAATATACTTGCAAATTACCACTTAATTTATAATATTCATAAAATATTTTTACACCTGAAATTTATCTGAAGACTAGTTAGCTGATAAGAAAGACCTAATTGACAAAAAGAATACAGAAAGAGGTAATTATCAAGTAGAAATTTTGAGAAGTTTCAAAGGAAAAAGGCTTTTTTGCTTTAAAAGATAGATGTCTACAAAGAAGCTAATCTTTGGAGTGAGGAAAGAACATCTAATTGTAAAAGATGAGTAGGAAAGGCTTTCTAACTCATCCAACATGGGAAAAGATAAATTAAATATATACTGTGGGATGTTAACAGAGTAACAGGGAAAGATCTCATAAACACTACTGAGGGCAAAAAATGTTTGAAAATACAAAGTTTAATACCATGTTCTTAAAACTTTTAAACTCAAATATTGTTTTTAGATATCCATACCTCTATCTGAATGCTTTATTGACACCTTAAACTCATTATTTTCAAACAAAATATCTCTATAAACTCCTCCCCACCCCAACAACCTCTCCTCTTTTGTTGCCTATTTCTTTTAAGAGTACATTTTGCCCTTCATTTAGTCAAAAGTCATCCTTAAGTCATAGCTTACTTTTGTCGGTAATGCTACCCTCAGCAATCCTTTGCTAAAGCATAAGAAGAGAGAAGATGGCTCTAATGATATTGTATAACGTTGCATCCAGCCATGCTGAAATATATATGCACTTTGGAATTCCCAATCAAAGAAGCCAAGAATCCTCTTTTCTAAATTTAAGAACAATTCTATTAGTTGTTACAGAAAGGATCCTCACTAATGTAATATCTACTTGATAGGTTCATGAAGACTAAAATACGTGGCACACATGTGATACCCTCCAAACACCAGTTCTCCTCTTGCTACGTACGGCCTTTTCCTCAGTTTCTGCCAACCATGCTTTTTGATCACTCAATCAACATTTACTGAGATAAAAGACCACTAGTCCTTAATCAAGATACAATGTGATTACCTATATTTCCCCAAGGGGAGGAAGGCTATGCTGTTTCATCTGCACAAAATGTCCTCCTTCCTCCTCCTCATGGGTCAGGGTCATCACTACATATGCTACCCACATTTCTTGATATAGCTCAAGTGCCAAACGCAACTCTGATCATGTCCTTCTCTAAATTTTCTCTAAACTAATAGTATAACACAATTTGTAACACATAGTTCTTAGGTTAGACTCTTTGTTAAGAACTGAAAACCTAGTGAAAGAAGAACAGAGTTAAGAAATCTTTTTTTTTTTAAAGAAAGAATTAGAAATTTTTCATTTAGAATGAACCTTAGAACCCAAAGAAATCTATTACAATACATTCTTCTACAGAATATAATTTAGAACCACCTATACATCAGATACTTTATCCCTTTCCCAACTCATTTCACTAACTTAAACTGCACACCTAAACCAAACAGACGTATTCAAAGACAATTATGAGGCACTTACTCTTCTTTCATCAACTGATTTTGCTGCAAGAATCATTCCTTCCAAACATTTTGAAATGATAGGAATAACTTTGCGTTCTGAATCGGCAAATCCTCTGTAACACTCACTGAGTTTAACAGTCCTTCGTTCGTCCATTTCTTGTAGTTGCTAATAATCAAGAATTAAAAAAAAAGAAAACAGTTTTGCAATCATTCTAAAGGAGATCAATTAGTGACTCTCCACCAAAAAAATAAAGATTTCTGCCCTCATAGTTATACGGTTGTTGTCGATACCTTTTAACAAATGCTATTGACTTATAATATATAAAACCTGAGGCATGCTAAACAGCAAAAGAAAGAAAAAAAGTTAGTAAGGCTCTTAGTATTGTTTTCCTAAAACCAGATGGCACTGGTATTCTAGTCTTCTAAAAGGATCCCTTACTGGCTATCAGCTCCCTGCCCCATACCATTCCCGCCTTTTACTCTTCAATCAGAGTAGTTCTTGTTTATGCTTCTAGGAAACATTTCATTTGAAGAAAAAATTCTAGTTTTTTTGTTTGTTTTTTTTGTTTTTTTTTTTTTTTTTAAAGTAATTGGCCCATAACATATACAAGTCTAAGACTTCTAACCTCAAGTTAATTCAGGGTACTTTGGTAAGACCTGGCTGGACCAAGAGTCTACACTCATTGTTTCTCAACAGATAACCAGACCCACCACAGTGTACAGCTCAGAGCTGGGGACAATAAGGAAAAACAGGAAGTCACAAGCTCAAAGGGGCACATATAGAATCCTTACAATTCAAAATTCACTGGCACATGCCACTAGGAAATATGTTGGAACACATAAAGGCGAACAACTTAAAGGCATTTTTTTGACATATCCTATTTGCCAGCACTGACCTTTCTGTTTTGTAGAAGCAGTTACACTGCCTGTGTCCCCAAACTCCCATAGCCTGGGACTTTGAGACCTGCATTTTCACAAAAGAATTGCTCCCATAGAAAGGTCCAAATGCAAGGATCAGGCCCAAAACATAAAAGGTAGTTTATCTCCAAGTTATGGTCTCCCCAGAATATGAAGACTTAACTACTAAGCCTAGAAAAGTACCACAGTGAAGACTGGCAGGCTTGGTCCTCTGGATTCAATGACCAGAATTTGATGCCCACTCCAGTTCACCAACTCTCACTGTGCTTCCTTTGTATTTCCAAATTGCCTTATAAAGAAGAAAAAGTATACCCGAGCTGATACTCTTCCCACATAAGCTCTGCTCTTTGAGATACTACCTCATCAACACTGTTTTACTAAATTCCTTTTCTATAATTTCTCTTCTTCCTAGAAAAAGCAATAACATAATTTAACCCTCATGAAAATTCTGAGGTCTTTTTTACCTGAGGCTGTTTGGCATCTGTTATCATCAAGTGATGACAGAAAGGATTTATAAGCAAGCTCAACATGTGAATTACATTTATCATCTAACAGAGCCAACATGATAAGCAGGCAAAAATCACGCTAGCAAATACATTTTGTAAGATTTATTTCTGCCATATGGACTGATGCCAAGGACTCTGATTTAGTATAAAAAAGCTACATCTCAATTCTAAGTGAACAAATTACAAATTCAATTAATTCTCCTTTGTCATGTCAAAATACTTAATGATACAGTATTTAAATGTATCTTACTAATGTCATTGTTCTAGTAAACTGTTTATAACACTAATAGTAACTATGTAATAAAATGTGTGACTTAAAAGTTAGAAAAAACTTATTTTCAAATCTGTAATCATAAAGGAATCTCTCATCCCTCATCTTGATGAGTAGTGAATCTAGAAAGATTCTGATGTCTAAGATTTACAAGTTAAGTTTTTATATTTAAAGACCAGATCTTCCAACTCTGAAGCGAGATTAACTCCACATCTAAAACTTACCTTGTAAATCTGAGGAATCACTACATAAAAATGTTTGTGTTGTTCTCCATTAAAGTTTTGTAATTGTGCTGCATATTCATTTTTATTTTCATCAGCCATATGCGTACGTAGATTCAACTGCTGTTTGGCCTAGGGGCAAAATGGTTAAAATTATTACCAAGAATAACAACAAAATCACAGCAATTCACTTTTCTGAAAATTATCTTAAAACTAGGTTTTATCACTGGAGAAGCCAACACGTGACATCAAAAGAATAATGAAGTGGCATGACTTTCTCAAACTATTAATATCATTTAAAATGTAAGAAGATACTTGCAGATCTTATAGTCAGAGTGGTCTCCTTATTACAATATTCTTCCCTCCCTCATTACAGTTGTATCCTCTGATAGCAATAAGTCATTCTAATATAGTCTCTCCTTATCAAATCCAGATAAAAAAACCACATAAACAAATGAAAACATTATAGCTTGAAACAGTGTGCTTTTAATCAGAAGAGAAAAACAGGTAGCTTTAGGAATATTTCAGATTGTTAAAGAAGTTAACAGTAAAACATGTCTTTATGATCCACCTATATCTAACTAAAATATGAAAATAAAATCATAGGAAAACTAACGACTTTTTAATAATACAGCATTCAATAGTGTTTCCACCTCTGTGTAAAACCACAAATACTTTAAAGAATGCTTACTTAGAATATAGTTCTGTTCCTCTTGATCTCTTGTACAAAGTCAAATTTTAATAGTTATTTTCTAACTAACTAGTTACTACCTCATCAACACATCTTAGGCTTCCTAACCTATTTTGGAATAGGACAAAAACTCAATCCCAGTAGCAACTACATCTTTCCTCTAACTTTGAATGCAGCTAAGATACTGTAATAAATTAACACATATTACTTTCTCAGACCAATTGTACAATTTAAAGTAGGCAAATATTTGTATATTTTAGACTTAGATACACGGTATCTCTTGAATAAATTCTAATACTGTACTGATGCAAATGTTGTTAACTACCTTCCTTATGCAAGTAATAGCACTTTGACATCAAAGTTGGTTTGGAGTATTTCTTACCTTTTCAACATCTGCCTTGGTTGCGTTAGTATCATTATCCAATCTTTCATAACTCTGTTGTGCCTTTTCTGCCTCTCTACATTCTCTTTCAAACTTCTTTTTACTCTGTTAAAAAAAAAATTAAAATATCACACTAAGAAAATAAAATTAGGCTAACTTCATTTAAGAAATAACTTTAGATAGCATTAGAAGAAATACCTAACATAGATGGCAGGTTGATGGGTGCAGCAAACCACCATGGCACATGTATATCTATGTAACAAAGAACGTGTATATATGCACATTCTGCACATGTGTCCCAGAACGCAAAGTATAATAAAAAAAAGAAATAACTTTAAAATGTGCCATTGTGTATTATGTGGAAATGAACTGCACACTAAGTAAAATCTGTCCTTTCTAAATTAGAAAATAAATTTTACTATTACAACCAATCCACATTCCTTAAATATGAGACATTACAGACTATGAAGAAAAAAAGTTGGCATGACTGAGTTAGTTAATATTTACTATGTATCTCACTCAAAAAATGTGTTTTATAATTTTTATTATAAAACATATAACTCATCTTCAGGAGGACTTTTTTGGTTTGTTTGGTGTTTTTTGTTCTGGTGGTTTTGTTTTAGCGTTTGTTTCATTGTTTTTTTGGTTAGCCCAATGCAGCTTGGGATGTGGAATGTCCCTCCAAAGTAGTTTTATATTGTTTCTTCCAGGTGTCCCACAAAGACCATCAAACCAGGCCCCAGATCTTTTTAAATTTTATTTAATTCAAATTATTATGACTTTGTAAAAGCTATTCACAACTGAGCCATGTAAAATATATGTCATATTATATTTCCTTTCCTACATACTTTTTTTAAATCCTGGCATTAATGTCTTCATTTTTTCAATTTGCTTAGTTTCCAATGCACTCATCTCTAATTCAACCCCAGTTTTTCCCAGTTCTTTAAATCTCTCTGCAGTTACTTCTAACACACTAGAAATTTTCTAGTGATTTTCTTGTTAAATCTCTCCCAAAGGCTTCTAAACTCGCTGAAATTTGAACTCATTACCAACTAGGCCTAATGCATAGTTAAGTTAGGATTTCCCTCCCCCAGCAACCTGTGGATTCATTTCACCTCTATCTTTGTTTGAATCTCCTATTTCCTAGTTTTATGCTTTCTCCTTTTTGATTCACTTCCTCATTTTGCTAGGCACATTCAGCAGCAGCCTCCTAAAAGGTTTGCAGGAGATAACTGAATCTCCATGGCTAAAAAAGCCTTTACCATCATTTTTAATCAATAAATTTGGCTGGATATAGAACTCTAAGGTGGAAATCATTTTCCTTCAAAAGCATTGCTCTATTATTATTCTGGCTTCCTGTGTGACTATCCTGTCTAATTCCATTCTGATTCCTGAGACACGGTATAAAGCATGTTTGTTTGCTTGGGTTTTTTCCTCCATGGAGCCTGGTAGAATCTTCTCTCTTCAAAGTGTCCTGAAATTTCAAGAGATGTGGACCCACTGTGCTGAGTACCTGGGAAACCCTTTCCATCTGGAAATTTATATCTTTTGGTTATAGGAAAACTTTGGTTATTTTTGTCCTTTTCTATGTTTTCTCTTTTCTATTATGTTTATTATTTTGAAAATGAACCTACTGGATAAGTCGTCTAATTTTCTTCCATATTTTCAATGTCTGTCATTTTGCTCTACTGAGATATTTACTGAACTTTATCTTTCATTTTTTTCCTGCTATCATAAAGTTCTTTTTCGTTCTTTATATGTTTCTTTTCAAATAATACCTTATTCTTACTTCATGGATGTAAACTTTTCTCTATTCCCTAACTAATAGCTATTGGTATTTTCGTTGTTTTTGCATTTTAATTTTCATTTCCTTTCACAGTCACATTGCCTTCTTTCCTCCCTATTAGTTCTGGTCTCTGATGTGTACATTAGATGTCTTCTTTATCTGGGGATCCTTGGATATCTGCTCTTATTTAAAAAGCCGGTTAAAAGCTCCATAGAGAGGGCTTTACAGATTATGATATTCTCCTCTAGGGTGGCATGGCCAGGTAGTTTGTTTCCTTGGAAAAACCTGGCATCCATTTTTTAAAGCTTTTTCCTCCCTAACTGATTAGATTACCCAAAAAACTCTTCCAATTTCTTGCCGGGAAAATATATACCTTGAAACCTCTACTCTGAGAATTCCTCAGAAGCAGCAAGCAGGGATCTCAACATTTTGTATTTACCCAACCTCCTTTATAGAACCAGTTACAATGTTAATTTCTTACTTTGGAGATTACAAAGCCATAAAAATAGTACAAATTTGGATCTCAAACCTCACGACTACAAGATCAAAGGTAAGAAAGATTAAATTTCTCATAGGATACGTTCTTCTCCTTTGACCTTCAGACAGAGGTAAGTTTCTCTGACGGATGTGTTGGCCAGTAGGCACAGTTCTTATAGTCCACCTTCCACTAAAAGATTTAGTCCTCTGGGGGGTTCAAATTTTTTACAAGCATCTCAGTTCTAACTCTCCACAGTATACAGAGCTTAACTCTAATCTCTATCCCTCTGTAGGTATGAAAACCCAAGCCCTTCTTAGCAAGTACCAGGTCCAGGAAATCATTATACCTCAAACACCTCTGTCCCCATTTTTCCAAATGCCACTGTATCAGCTCAGACACCCATTGCTCTAGATTTGTTTACCTATGGTTCCCTAGCAGTTAGCAATTTCCCTTTCTTTCAAGTAACTGAGTTTAAAATACAATTTAAAAATACAATAGCTGTTATCTCAAGCCATTTGTAGCCAAAAGGTTTCTTAGTTCAGTGTGTAATATAGTTACAACCAGATAGGCCTGTAACTTTTATCAAATAAATGTACTCCAAGATTTTTTACAAATTTATTTAAATGTAGGCTTTATTTTCTACAGGTATTTTAATTAGTATGAGACATCAAGTAAGATACTTGCAATTTACTCAAAACCCCTAAAATATTTAAATACTCATAACATACATAAAGTCACTTTGCTATGAAAATTAAGATTAAGTTTTCACATTTCGTTCTCTGAAGCTGAGTTCAGAGCTGTGTTTTCAAATCAAGTAACTATAGGCTACTAATTTTGGTGCAAACTGAGGCTACTTATGTACAAAAGTATTTTTATATGTGGTGTCCTATTTGTGGAAAACCACCTACCTAGTAATTCCTTGCAACAGCAAAAGAACTACTAGTACAATAATGTTAAAAATGCTTCTTCCCTGAAAATTAATGTAACATACAGTATAGAAATATACTCCAGAAAAGATTCTCTTTCCCTTCATCCTTGGTGTGGCAGACAAAGAACAGTCACTTCTACTCCCCTTCTCTTGCTTAGCAGAGCCTGTCCACCCAGTACAGAGGAAGAAAGCAGCTAATACTTGCTAACCCAGACTCCCCACAGCCAGGGCAGAGGTAAGTAATCTAATCCTGTCAAAGGCACGCAGAGGAAATTTGCTGGGGACTTTCTGAGAAAGTTTTCCTTCCCTGATAAAAAGAGATAGTTGGAAGTGAAATCCTCCCTTTTCCCCACCTCTGGATGAAGCTGAAAGAGAATATGGTGTTTGGCTGTTTAAGCCCACTGTTGACCTTAAGGAGATATGGCTGAGGAAAAGAGCACATGATCGAGACGGCAAAGTAGACAGATGAAAAGGAGACGGAGCCTGGTGACATTCTTGAGCCACTGATGAACTCTGGATCTGCTCCATTTTGGAGCTCTGCTCTTAAAAAATTGTATGCTCTGTTACTTGGAGCCTCCCAACTGATGGACCTGATATCTGATGCTTCTATCTTCTTAATCTCTGACCATTCCTTCAAGACACCCTTTATAGGCTCTTCTGTCCGGATCTTAAATGCCAGTACTGCCTATTTTATTTATCCCAGGGTTAATAACTGTCTTTTAAATTTTTTGCTCAATTTTTAATACTCTGTCACTAATTCAACCTGATTCTACCAGTTGTTTACTTCGCCTCTCCATTATTTCAAACATGTTAGGAATTTCAGAATTTCATTTTCTTAACTAAACAGGAAGACATGGAATAGGAAATAGGATCCTACAGTTGTTTCTACATATTAAACAGAAATTATATTTGTTAGTTTCCCTCACTAGACCACAGGTGCTACAAAAACAAGAACCATGTCATACTTACTTTTGTACCTCCAGAGTACATGTCAAGAATACTTCCCAATAAACACAAGTAGAGCTGAACTCCTTTTTTACAGTATTGTTAATGCCTTAAAGAAATCTCTCCTACAATTTTGATGCTTCTTTCTTACTTATGACCTCTAAAACTTTTGCTTAACAACTGTCAACTGTTCTAAAGGCAAGTTGGTGCATATTAAGAATAATTTGTGCCAACACTAATTTTTAAAGGAACCAATGACTCAGGAGTGTAGGAGTACGTTATTTTGTGCAAATGAAAACACATACACATTCATTAGCAGATACTAAGGATGATAGTTACGGCAATTTAAAACTTAATCAACATAAATAGTTCCTAAAGTCTTACTGAAACCAATTAGAAAGAAAATGAAAACAGATTATTAATATACCTAAGAACTCTCAATCAGCACTGGTGATTAGAATATTACATCAATGGTAGTTCCCAAGTCGAAATTTAATCAAAGTTTTGAATATGTGTTTTTAAAAGGGGCTGAAAACAATGGAATTATATGCATGAGATTTTTTATCTCAAAGTCCTTTTTCTAACAAGCACAGACCAAACTGACTAATTTATCATGGATAAAATCCCTTTGGCATAATTATGCAGTGTGTCCACCAAAAAAACACGTTAGTAATAATGAAACTGTTCAATAACCTGAGAGTTCAAAAAGAACATCTTATACTACAGAACATCATTTAATAGAACTTTTTTTCTTTTTTTCTCTAACCTCATGACAGATTATAGAGCATTTTACGTAAAGGCAACTGCAGTGTTCCATGTGAACATCTTGTTTTTCAAATTATTATATACTAGACCATTTAAGAAAAACCATATGAGGAAGTGCCTTGGGGAAACTTTTAAGTAAATAATTATTATGCCTTTATAATTTTGCCCTACAAAGTACTTTATGTCCTACAATGGGATGGTTTCTGATTAGCAGGCCAATATTAGGAGCATTTACAAAATTATACAATGACCAAATTGGAAGAAACACTTCATATCATCTCATTCACTCTCTTCATTTTTCACATGCTAAAAATGAAGTCAAGAGAAATCAAGTGCTAAGTTAAAGGTAGAAATAGATCTTGATTTTTCTCAGTGAAATGGTCTTCTAAGATATATCACCTTTTCCCTCTTACTTCTATCCTCTATTAATGCTTTATAGTAACTAAAGTAAGCAAAGAATTTCCTTAAATGTTCACAATGATTCAAGATTACAGAGTTCATAAATATAAAGTTATAAAGGACAAAAAGAAAAGTGACAAAATGATCTCATATCCTCCATTTACACTTTATTAACTATTATACAACAATACCAATGTCAAATTATGAATAATACACTGAGAAACATTAAACTCTATTAAATATGAAGCATAAAATAACTTAGGGCCAACCTAGTCTACAAGATTTTATGTTAATCATGAAAACAACATAACTCACATTATCCATCTGTTTCCAGCACATGTCAAGATATTGTTGAGCTTTTCGTCCTTCTTGGAGATGCTGAAGATTATAATCACCACCAAGAAAACAAAAGAAAACAGAACAAACAAAAATAATTACATTTAAACACTAAAGACTAAAGTCCTCAATGGCTTTTTACTTTATTTTTTCAAGGTACTAATTACATAGCTTTACCAAGACTTAGGAAAAAAGTAAAGCAAAACTTCCTAAAAATGCATTTTATAGGATATTGTCTTAATACTTTAAATATAACCTTGAAAACAGATATAATTTCCAGAAAAATAATGATTGTCTTGAATAGTGGATGGCAGACATTTTCTATAAAAGGTCAGGTAAATATTTTAGGCTTTTCAAGCCTCATTGTCTCTGAGACACTCATCTCTGCTGATGTATTGCAAAAGCAGTCACAGTCAATATAAAATTCAATAAGTGTGGGTCTGTTCCAATAAAATTTTATGGTATGGACACTAAATACTAAACTTCACATAACTGTCAATGCCATGAAATATTATTATTTTTCAACCATCTAAAAATATAAAAACCATTCTTAGCCTGTGGCAACTAGCAAACAAAACCAAGCAGTAGGTTCAGTTTGGCCTATAGGCTGTAGTTTGCCAAACTTAAATCCCAAAGGATCATAAATTAGCAAGAGTATTTTTAGCTAGAAGAAATGTAGTAAAATAGAAAACCACTTTATGCTGAATATGCATTTTTTAAAAAACCAAAGTATTTCTGTGCAACTATTTCATATACTATTGCAATTGGATAAAAATTTTAAGAATTACCATTTTTCTTTCAGTTTTCAGATCATGAGCATATCTCATTAATTCACCATACACTCTGTGCGCCATTTCTTCTGCTACAACTTCTCGCTGTCCTGCATAGTCATTTAACTCATTAAGGATATTAAAAAAGGCTATACACGAGGTAAACCTGGTAAAAACATTTCAAAATGGTGAGACTTACTTTTATTTCATTACAAAAATGTTGGTGAGGTATGGACTGCGTCTAACATTTCACAAATTTTAACATATTCAACCTAAATCTCAGCTACTAGTTCTAAATTAACTTCATACAGAAAAAATCCTGCATTAAGCTCAAGTCGTACATGTTTGTATATCTTCAAGTAGTCTTTCATTTATTAGTAAAGGGATATTTGGGGTCAAAAAATAATAAGAATACTACCTGCAGGCTCTTTTGGCATACTGGAATCTCTTAAGTTGCCAACTGACTGGCCTGAGCTTGGGAATGAACTTGGTTGGATTCCTAGGCTTGGCAGCTGAACCTGTTGCAGAGATGATGTGCTTGCCAAATGCATCTCGATGGCTGATCTACAGAACAATTTTGCTATCAGCTCTGGACACAGCTGCCTGTATGCCTGCCCACATCCTGAATGGAAGTGAACTGCCATTATAGTTGACACCAAAGGGGGTAGAGGGGTCAAAAATAAGGGTAAAAACGTGTGTGGAGGGAAGGAGAGAAACAAAGAGAATCACTGTATTAATGTATATATCTACTTTGAACATGCTGCGGAACACTCTCTTACAGCTGAAGATTAACAGCTCAGATAGGACTCCATTAACACTAAACCTGAGAACTCTACAACTGACAATTATATACATAGCTGTTTAAGCCTAGTCTTTCTTGTTTCTGCATCTAAACAGTCATCCACATATTCCTCTTTAAGACTACCAAAAAACTCCTAAGTGATTTCTAACCTTATTTCTAATCCAAAAACTCTCAGTGCTTTTCAATATCCCTTTATATCAATCAGTTAAATTGTTTTACTACCTATAAGAGTAAAAGCAAGAATCTAAGAAGCCAACAACTACACAACAAAGTGTGAAAAATATCCTTTACTTCTGCAGAATAAATCATTCAAGTGGAGTCCTAGTCTATGTTTTACTTGAAAACCTGTATTGGACTATTCTAGAAAACTGCTGATCAAGCCCACTGAAGTGTTTCTCTTCATAAAAGATAAACAGTAGTTGCCTCTTTCATAAACATTAATTTTTAAATTAAACTTTAGAAAATCTTTATAAAAAGCTAAGAATATGTTTATCTTACTAAATAATAAACGTTTTTTAAATGTTTAAATATGTAATAATAAACAGGTATGTAATTTACCGTGGCTCTTCATCTTTGGATGAACGTTTGGGGCAGTACTTCTTAACCAGATTTCTATAGGAAGAAGATTTTTAAAAATTTATTTAAAAAATTCAACTGTTGTTACAATTGAAATAGTCTAAGTTTTCAATTTCATTCAATCATTAATTTTATGATATAAAATAATTAAGACAGCAATATGATCATCTACTCTATTAACATCATAAAATGCAATCACTACTTACAATTTGTTCTTAAAATACTGACACAAGGAGAAAGAAAGGTTATTTCTGTATTTTTGTATGAACATAATCAGAACAATTTGGTTGATGTTGCTATCAAATAAGAAAAGAGTTAAGAGGCAGAATAGAAGAAACAAAGTACAGTTGGCCCTCTGTATCCACAACCACAGATTCAACCATAGGTCAAAAATATTCAAATAATAACAATACAACTAAAAAAGTAATATAAATTAAAAAACAAATAGAGCCTAATAAATATATACATAGCATTTATACTGTATTAGGGGTTCTAAGTAATCTAGAGATGATTTAAAGTATGAGGAGGATGTGGATAGGTGATAGGCAAATGTTATGCCTTTCACATAAGGGACTGAGCATCTTTGGATTTTGGTATTTATGGGTCTGGGAACCAATCGTCCTCAGGAACAGTTACACTCAGTATGCAAAACTGAGTCAGGGCAAAAAGAAACATTTCAAAGCAGTATCACTTCCTCTGTTTCACAAATAGCGGGGCGGGGGGCGGGGACCTTTAATACTAACTAAGGTAAAATGTAAGCTGATGCTAACTCACTTAAGGGATAAAAGAACAGTTTGTCACCATCCTCTATAACTCTACTTTTATATTAAAATAATTATGGGACTCCTTACCCTTCTCTTTTCTAGGCAAATGAATTACATTCTGACTTGTAACTGTTTTTTGCCTTCATCCATGTCTCTTCCTAACATTCTTTATTTATTTTATTTTTTTTTATCAGTGATGCAGGCATGTTCCTAACATTCTTACAGTAGAATGCTACCTTATTTCACCTTTTAAAAAATCAGAAAGAGACTTGCATATGGCCTATGGAGCCAGACTGGACTACTTATGTTTGAACCCTGGTTTGTTTATTGAGATAGAGTCTCGCTCTGTCCCCAGGCTGAACTGCAGTGGCGCAATCTCAGCTCACTGCAACCTCCGCCTCCCAGGTTCAGGTGATTCTCTTGCCTCAGCCTCCTGAATAGCTGGAATTACAGGCGCATACCACCATACCCAGCTGATTTTTGTATTTTTTAGTAGAGACAGGGTTTCACCATATTGGCCAGGTTGGTCTTGAACTCCTGACCTCAGGTGATCCACTCGCCTCAGCCTCCCAAAGTGCTGGGAATACAGACATGAGCCACCACACCCAACCTGAATCCTGGCTATTTTATGTAGTACTTATGTGACCTTGAATAATTTCACCTAATTTCTCTGTCCCCTTATTTCCTATAAATGGTGCAAATAGTACCTACCCCATACAGTTAGAAGAATTAAATGACATAAGGGCTTTATACCCTAACTCTCAAAGTGTGGTACCTGGGTCCAGCAAGGATCCATATACTCTTTGGTAACAATCTACAATGAGATAAGTGTAGAAGTTGGGAATCATTTTCTCTCTTTCCAACCTAATAATTAAAAATTAGGGTCTATATTTTGTCTCTCTTACGTCGTTTTTCTAGTATTTAATTTTTATTGTATTTTACAAAAGCATCAGTACACAATGAATTGGAAACTAAAAGCAACTGGTTTATCATCACAAACAATTTGAGATGCACTGCTTTAAACTATAAGCAGTTTTAAAATAAGTGGCTCTACTATCTTTCAATCCTGTAAGAGAATCACTGTCTTAATTATTTTCAGATTAGTATCAATTCATTCCACTTGAATCAATTTATTCACTCTACAAATTGTCTATTATGAGCTAAGCACCATGCAAACAACTAGGAGCATCATCACATAAAGAGGACCCATGAGCAAGAGACTTATACTCTCTAGTGAAAGGAAACAAGTATATACCAATAATTATAATATACAGCTTGGTAAGTGCTATGATAAAGATACACAAAGAAAAGGAAAACCTTACACCCAATGAGGAGCGGATAAAGAACAGGCAAGACACTGAGAAAAGAGTTCATATCAACAAGTATTGAGTTCCTACCATCAAGAAACCCAGAGTTGTCGCTGGTGGTAAAATTAGGTCCAAGATGAAAACATTAGCATTTCACCCGCACTACACTGCAACACTGCAATCATAGCTCACTATAGCCTCAAACTCCTGGGCTTAAGTGATCCTCCTCCCTCAGCCTACCAAGTAGCTGGGACTACAGGCACACACCATCATTCCTAATAATATTTATACATACTTTTTGTAGAGACAGGGTTTCACTGCATTGCCCAGTCTGGTTTCGAACTCCTGGCCTCAAGTGATCTGCCTGCCTTGGCCTCCCAAAGTACTGGGATTACAGGTGTGAGTCATCCTTCTTGGCCTTCAAAGCTTTGCTGATATTTAATACATCACTACACTAATACATGCATGTAATTTACAAACAGTTGTGCAGTTACATGCTCAAACTTTTTTTTACAAGTGGGCAATAAAAAGTTCAGAAATCTCTGGTCTAGAGAAATCAAATATATAGACATTCTTATAATATGGTAAGAACAATAGAGGGCTCTGTAAAGAGGGTTCTCCAGGGGTAGAAAACTAAAATTTCAATTTGCTGATTGAGCCTAAAGAGATGAATAGGAATTTAGTAACTAGAGAAACACCCAGGGGGAGGATTCTGCTCATTTGAGAAGACTTAATGAGCAAGACAAACAAAGGTGGGGAGAAACAGCATTTAAGAACTGTAAGTGGCTTCAATGCTGCTGTAACATCAAATATGAGCTACAGAATTGCAGGTAGTAAGGCTGAAAAGTGGGGAATGAAGCAGAGACCTTTCTTTTTCTTTTTTTTTTTTTTTTTTTTGAGATGGAGTTTTGCTCTTGTTACCCAGGCTGGAGTGCAATGGCATAATCTCAGCTCACCGCAACCTCCGCCTCCTAGGTTCAGGCAATTCTCCTGCCTCAGCCTCCTGAATAGCTGGGATTACAGGCACGTGCCACCGTGCCCAGCTAATTTTTTGTATTTTTAGTAGAGACGGGGTTTCACCATGTTGACCAGGATGGTCTCGATCTCTTGACCTCGTGATCCACCCACCTCGGCCTCCCAAAGTGCTGGGATTACAGGCTTGAGCCACCGCGCCCGGCAAAGCAGAGACCTTTCTAAAGTCACATAAAGGAATTCTGAATAAATACTCTTGACCAGTGGTTATTAATCCTGGTTACACAAACACTATCAAAATTCACTGTTGTGAATGAATTAATTTACTAATTTACCCAAATATCAGCAAAGCTACTATGTGCTATAAATTAATTATTTCAGGTACTAGACTGACAGAAAGAAAGGGATGAGTCATGGCTTGGAAAATAGTAATTGGGCAAGACCTACAGCGCTTTCTACAAAAGAACTCAAAAAGCAAGAAGGGGAAAACATGACGAACAGAAGAATTCACATATAGGCAAATTCAGAGCAGAATAATAGGCAATCACTGCCAGCACATGGGGGAGACAGAAATGACTGCTAATAGGTACAGAATTTTCTTTTTTGGGATGATAAAAATATTCTAAAATTCAATCGTGGTTATGGTTGCAGAACTCTGTAAATATACTAAAAACCACTCAAGTGTACACTTTTAACTAGTGAATCTAATGGCATATGAATTACACCTCAATAAAGCTACTATAGGAGGAGGGGTGGCAGTTGGACAGGCAGTCCATCTGCCACAGGTACCTCTATTCAACAAATCTAAAATGGAATTTATCTACTTTTTAATCTTCTTTTACATACCTCTTTTCTTACATTAGTGGCACTCCCATCCACCTAGACACTAGACATTTACAGCCAAAAATCTGACAATCATCCTACACTTTCTCAAGTTTCTCACACCTTAACATGTTCAGTCCCTACAGATTCTATTTCCTAATCAACTTTTTTAAAAACAATTTTTATACTAAAAAGGAAAAAATACACAAAGAGAAGCCCTGACTTGTGCCTACTTTATAAAATTGTTTTGAATACAGATGTAGGAGGACAGGCTGCTGGAATCTACTGCAATATCTTGAAATCATAAAGGGAAAGACCAAGCGATTTATGAAAATGCCGATCATCACTGAGCTCTAGAATGCCGCTTCCAAACTTCTTGTTATATAAAATGACTCTACTACTGAAGCTGAATGTTTAACTGACACTATAGAACAGCTAAATAAAAATGCCCACTGGAGATATAAAGTAAAAATTAGAACTCTAAAGAAACTTCTGGGATCAAGATGCAGATGTGGGAGTAAACATACATAAAGACAGTAACAGAAACAACAGGAATTACCATTTGTCATTCATGTATTATTTGTAAATTTTAATGCTAAACTCTTTATATATAATCTTATGCTTATAACAACTGCATACAGATATTATTAGCATGACTTTGCAGGACTCAGACACATTAAATGAATTGCCCAAGTCACACAGCTAGTCAGTGACAAAGCCAAAACCTGACTCAAATCTGATGGCATCACCTGAGATAGTTAAAATAATGAATGTGAATGAGGCTACTCAAGAAGTATGAAATGAAAGGTAGCTAAAGACCACCTACAAATATAAATTTAACAGGGAAGGAAGAAGAGTTGCTTCAGAAGAACAATAAGGATGAAGAGCTAGGAAGATTAGAGGTAAACAAACTATGTCCCACCACCTATTTTTGTAAAACAAAATTTTAATGGAAATACACTACACTCATTCCTGCATGTATTGTCTTATGCTGCTTTTGCATCACCACAACAACAAAGCTGAAAGACAACCGAGTTGAGCAGACATATGGGTAATAGAAAACCCAAGAGTCTGTCATTGCAGAGAAGGGATTTTTTAAAAAGACGTTCTAAGACATGCCAGGTGAGGTGTCTCACACCTGCAATCCCAGTGCTTTGGGAGGCCAAAATGGGAGAATCACTTGAGGCCAGGATTTTGAGGGTACAGTGAGCTATGATTGTTGCCACTGCACTCCAGCCTCAGCAACAGAGTGAGGCTCGTCTCTTTAAAAAAAAAAAAAAAAAAAGAAAAGAAAAGAAAAAAAGAAGACACTTAAGACACTTTGGGAGGCCAAGAAAAACAGATCCTTTGAGGTCAGCAGTCTCTACCAAAAATACAAAAAATCAGTCGGGCATGGTGGCACACTCCTGTCGTCTCAGCTACTCGGGAGGCTAAGGCATGAGAATCACTTGAATCTGGAAGGCGGAGGTTGCAGTGACCAGAGATTGTGCCACTGCACTCCAGCCTGGGCAAAACAGCAAGGCTCCATCTCAAAACATAAAAGAGGAGAAGGAAGAAGAAGAAGAAGGAAGGAAGGAGGAGGAGGAAGGAAGAGAAGGCGGAGGAGGAGTGTTGGAGGCAGGGGACGAAAAAGAAGAAGTTGTTCTAAGACAGAAACAGTCAATTCATCAAAGATAATAAAACAAGTACCTAAAATATCCATGGAATTTAGCAATTACCAGGTGATTTAACAGTGTGGTTATGACAGACACAGTCTCCAACCTATAAATGGGGTTGTAGTCTAGAAACTACTTTTAAAATTCAGTGGTTTTCAAGCACAAACTCATGAACCGCATTAAACAAAGCAAGTCAAATTTAAACAAAAAACATTTCATAGAGTGAGTAGTTTCAAAGTTTGACTACATTTTTATATATCAACATTTTAATTTATTTATTGATTGATTGATTGATCGAGATGCAGTCTCACTCTGTCACCCAGGCTGGAGTGCAGTGGCATGATCTTCGCTCACTGCAACCTCCGCCTCCCAGGTTCAAGTGATTCTCCTGTCTCAGCCTCCTGAGTAGCTGGGATTAGAAGTGCACACCACTGAGCCCAGCTAATTTTTGCATTTTCAGTAGAGACAGGGTTTTACTATGTAGGTCTGGATGGTCTCGAACTCCTGACTTCGTGATCCACCTCAGCCTCCCAAAGTGCTGGGATTACAGGCATGAGCCGCCATGCCTGGCCTATATCAACATTTTAAACATTGATTAGGGTCCCAGTCTGCAGTGGACACAGTTTACCTACATGCATCATTACCCTTCTTTTGTAACAGCTTGTGGAGATGCATTTCTGCTCACCAAAAACCCTGTTATTTCACACACTTCCTAGTCCCCTTAACAGTTCTGTAGAACCATGTGGTCAATTCTGCATAATAGGCTATTAGCTCTGTGTAAGCACAGGCTGAAGGACTTAAAGCTTGTGCACAGCCTTCTCATCTCCCTCATTCTCTACTGAAGCAACTGTAGAGGCTGAACGATGAGATGAAGATGAAAACAGTATGGTCTTGAGTTACCATATGGGCTGTCTGAATTTGTGGCACTTTGCAGAGTAAGAAACAAGTGTTTAGTTATGTTTAGTCCCTGGGATTTGGAATTTGTTATTCTGCTATGGCCTAACGCATCCTAAAATACAGCTCCTCCACTGTCATGCCTATGAACCTATGGTCAGGGTGACTATATATTAAGGTTCAAGAATATTTATGTGATCCAGGTCCATTAATCTAGGCCAACGAAACTCAATCCTAAAATTTCTGTTGTAATTCATAGGAAAGCCTGCTCTCTTTCTGCTGAAGTTGTTAAACTGATAGGACATAATCTTACAGCCATGGGGAAAGCGCCTACTGGGAAATTAAACCAACACAGAGAAAAGTGAAGCCAAGAAGAAAGATCCTTAACGATTCTCTGAGTACCTGGATACCTAAATTTTTCACTCAAATAAGCCATAAATTCCTTTCTTTGTTTAAACCAATCTGAGTTAGGCTTCTGATACTTGAAAGAATTATGAGTATTACAGAGGTTAACCAGAGAGTCATTAATAGCTTAAACATCATATAAATAACAGTAATTTGAACTCTAGCTTCTGGGAGAAAGAGCACATGTAACACAAGAGGAAAGGGGAAGAAGACAAATAACTCTGTATTTTGAGCATACAGGGTAGTCCTAAGCAATTTTAAAAATAAATTCCTCTTGCTTCCCTGTATGTAAAACTCACACATTTATAGGTGACTCATCCAAACCCCAATGTCCAGAGCCCTCAGATACCATACACAAGTCACTAGAGACTCCATTCAAGCCAACCCTGCAACTTGAAAAACTACAGCACTGTCCACGACGTTCTTCTCATATTCCACCAAATCCAAATTTCTAGGAAAACATATGATCTGAAAGAAGACACACGAAATAATAATAATTATTATTATTATTTTGAGACAGGGTCTCACTCTGTCACCTAAGCTAGAGTACAGTGGTACAATCTTGGCTCACTGCAACCCCGCCTCCTGGCTCAAGCAATCCTCCCATCTCAGTCCCGGTGGCTGGGACTACAGGCATGTGTCATCATTCCTGGCTAAATTTTTTTGTATGTTTAGTAAATGGGGTTTTGACATGTTGGGCAAGCTGGACTCGAACTCCTGGACTCAAGCAACCCACCTGCCTACACCTCCCAAAGTGCTGAGATCACGGGCATTAGCCACTGCCTGGGCTAATATGCCAAATTATTAATAGTACTCACTTCTCAGGAGAAGAACTGGAAAGGGACTTGAATTTAAATATGCTATAATGATCCTATAATGCTGGCTCACGCTTGTAATCCCAGCACTGTGAGAGGCTGAGGTGGGCGGATTATCTGAGGTCAGGAATTCAAGACTACCCTGGCCAACATGGTGAAATCCCATCTCTACTAAAAATACAAAAATTAGCCAGGCATGATGGCACACATCTGTAATCTCAGCCACTTGGGAGGCTGAGGCAGGAGAATCACTTGAGCCCGGGAGGTGGAGGCTGCAGTGAGCTGAGACTGCGCCACTGCACTCCAAGCCTGGGCAACAGAGTAAGACTCTATCTCAAAAAAACAAAATCATACAATGCTTTCATAATTAAAAAATAAATAAAACTAGGCCGCATGTGGAGGCTCACACCTGTAATCCCACCACTTTGGGAGGCTGAGGCTGGTAAATCACCTGAGGTCAGGAGTTCGAGACCAGGCAGCTCAACATGGCAAAACCCTATCTCTACTAAAAATACAAAAATTAGCCAGGTGTGGTGGGGAGCACCTATAATCCCAGCTACTCGGGAGACTGAGGCAGTAGAATCACTTGAACCCAGGCAGCGGAGGTTATAGTGAGCCGAGATCACACCACTTCATTTCCAGCCAGGGAGGAAGAGCAAAACTCCATCTCAAAAATAAATAAATAAATCTAATAATAAAAATATGCAATGAGAATTTATTCTTCCAAAGTAGCTAATCTCATTTGAGTCTAAAGCCAGCAAAAAGCCATACCAAGGCTTGAATGGTTAAATAAGTCCCACAAATGCCTGCTTTGCAGTTCTAACACAGTATGCTTACCAGCTCAAATAAATCTTAAATATATAAGTGCAAAGTATTCAGGTTGTTCCTAAACTAAAAATATTTTAGACAGTTCATCTAGTTTAAGAAATCTGCCTTTAATGTCACTTCCCCTAGGCTCTTTTTCTGTTCTCCCCTCTTCTAAATCTAGATTCTCCACCAATTATGATAGCAGTTTATGTATAAGACATGTTTTTAGTATGTTGTCATAAATCAGGAGTTAACCGAAACAAAGTTTTTGATGCACACAGTACATATTAGAGAAATTAGAATAGATTTCATAGATATGCTGGTACATCATTTTGGGAAGAGAGAATGTGTGTGTATGTGTCATCCATGTTTTTCTATGTACTTTGGTTTCATGCACTCTGGATACAAAAGAAATTAATGTTGTTCCTTCAGTTGTCTGACAAGGCTTCTAAATTCAGTGGGCATCTCCAAAGATTATAGCAATGCATACATATTAGTTATATATGTGACAGTAAAAATATCACCCTACTTAATATATATTTAAGTTGTTGATTCTAATCTTTTTATCCATTCTAGTTTTGTCATGTTTATACTGACTTTTGAGTTTCAGTAAAAATTACAAAATATTCCAAATACTTTCTCAAAACATTAGTTCACTTCTATTAAAACCTTTTGCAGCTAAGTGTCAGAATGTAAACTATCTCAAAAATCTTAAAAGACTCAGAATCACTTCTATACATTTTCAACCTTTCAGTATTTGAGAGGCTGAGTTCTAATTACTGTTTAACAGGTGATCAATATCCTATTTACTTACAAAATGGAATATAAATCATACTATTTCTTCTGGTAAAGGGCAGTATTAGTGACCTGAGACTTAATGACTAGTACCCCTTTTCTTAACCTACTTAAGACCTGCCAGATTAACACATATGGCCCAATTTGTGGGTTCAGTTAAGTGACCCAATGATAGAAAACAAAATAGCTGGGCCAACGAGATCCCTTTCTGAAAGCTGTAAGACTTTGGACCTGACACAGCGTTGAGGCCAGTATGGGAGCTGACTCTCTAAGACATAAAACTGGAACTGTGGGTGACTGTGTTTCCTGCCATGGGGAGAAAGTCAGTCTGTGCTAATAGAACAAAGCCATCAATCCACCAAAAGAAGAAGAAAAAAAGACAAAGGGCTTTGGCTGTGTTTCAGATACTGTCTTCATTTTTTTCTGTGACCTGGCTGTAGTCTAAGCCTTACAGCAGTTTGACTATTCTACTTCTTGAATTCAATAAAAAATTAAAATCAATAAATCAATAAATTTATATTGTAAATAAATTTCTCACTGTACTTAAATTAGCTCAAGCTGGAGTTTCTATCAAAGCCAAGAATCTTCTCTCATATAGTAAAAAATTAAACATAAAAGGCATTCATTGCAAAAGAAAGAAGCTGGACCCTTATAATACATACAAATATTAATTCAAGATGTATCAAAGACCTAAAACTATGAATTGTAAGAATAAAACAGGAGGAACGCTCTGTGACATTGGATTTTGCAATGATTTCTTGGATATGACACCAAAAGCAAGCAAAAAATATTAAAAATAAATAAACTACATCAAAATTTAAAACTTCAGTGCAAAGAAGGACACAATAGAGAGAGTGAAAAGGCAATCTATAGAATGGGGGAGATTTGCAAATCACATATATGGCAAGGGGTTAATATTCAGAATACATAAAGAATTCCTAAAACCACAACAAAAACCAAGTAGCTCAATTTAAAAAATTGACTTGAAGACACATTTCTCCAAAGAACACAAATGGAAAATAAACATATGAAAAGATCACTAATCATCAGGGAAATGCAAGTCAGAACCACAGAGAGATAAAAACCTCACACCGATTAGGCTGGCTACTTGCAAAACAAGGATGTGGACTAAGTGGAAGCTTTGTGCATAGCTGGTGAGAATGTAAAATCTTTCAGCCAGACAAAATAGAGTGACGAAATAAAGTGACATAGAAATCAAATTCTGATAAGGAGGCATGAGGAAAGTAAAATGAGACAGAGACTATGTATTAGTCCATTTTCATGCTGCTGATAAAGATATACCCTGGACTGGGAAGAAAAAGAAGTTTAATTGGAATTACAGTTCCCCACAGCTGAGGAGGCCGCAGAATCATGGCAGAAGGTAAAAGGCACTTCTTACAGACTAGTTATATTTGGATTGCTCTGTATCTAAGCCTACCCGAAATATTTAGGACTGCTCTTAGTAAACACTAAAACAGATGTACATGACACGAACTTAACAACCACATCACAATGATGTACATGATACCAAACTCCAGTATTAATAGAAAGCTGTTATGTGATCAAAGGTTCAGCATGTGGTCAGAAATTCTAATTTCTAAACTAAACAGAAACACAGATTATTCAATTATTTATTCATTCAACTTAATCACCCAGTTCCACAGGTACCAGGTAGGCTTGGTATGGAGTACAGAAATGCACATAATATAATCTCTGATCAAAAGGAATTCAGAGATTACTGCTTTGGCCAAAATAAGAATAGTTTATAGGCTTCCTGTCTTCCAGCCTAATTCTCTTCCACTATGCCATACTGCCATATTTGAACCCAAAAATGTATGTATGCTCTGAGGTGGAGGCTGAGGAATATAATTTCATACAGCACTATCTCTATGCTAGAACTTAATACAATTACTTTTACTAGAAAAAACTAAAATGATAAATATTATATAGGGCTCCTTTATTTACTTAGAAATCTTAATCTGTTATATAAATACAATAGTTTTTTATTAAAAGTTTATTAAAAAGAATGATTGATTTCAGTTGCATTTATCTTTGCAAACAAAAACCATTCTACCAAGTGATTTGAAGTAATCAGCTTCCATCAATCAAAATGAACATAATTCAATTGTATATAACTATGTTTCCAAATGTAATTAGATGCTTTATTTTCTATTTATTCCCATCCTCAAACCCAAACCAAAAGTCAATCAATATTAAACACCAGAATAAATTTAAATCAACACCATGAAAACACAAGAACAGAAGAGTAAAGAGAGAAAAGAAGAAAATCTGGAAGTACCAAAGACTAAGAAATTTTATTCTTGGCAATGTATTTAAAATAAAATTGTTTAACATCATAAATATAGTTGATATGATCTGACTGTGTCCACACCCAAAATCTCACCTTGCATTATAGTTCCCATAATCCCCATGTGTCATGGAAGGGACCAGGTGGAGATAACTGAATCACAGGGGCAGTTTCCCCCATCCTGTTCTCACAAAAGTAAGTGAGTTCTCAGGCGATCTGATAGTTTTATAAGGGGATTCTCCCTTCGCTGAGTAATTATTCTTCTCCTTCCGCCATGATTATAAATTTCCTGAGGCCTTCCCAGCCATTCTGAACTGTGAGTCAATTAAACCTCTTTCCCTTATAAATTACCCCGTCTCAGGTATGTCTTTATTAGCAGCATGAGAATGGACTAATAGAATAGTTATGATTTATGAGAAAAAAAGTGCTGCCTCACTATGAAAGAAATTATCCTCTGCAGTAGCAAAAAAAAAGGGGAGTTAACCAAAAGAATTTTTCCCATTAAAGAGGAGGAAACAAACAAGTCAAACCTCTTCCCTTTGGACAAAACACATTCTATAAACAGCAGCTGATAATCCAATTATTTACTAAGTAGTCATCCAAAGCAGCAAATCTCAATGTAGATCATTTCAAATTAAACATGCCTTTTCTCAACTCTTCGTTATTCTTCACACATGACCACTCCAATAATTCTGCCCTTGTTGAAAATCACTGCTATCAAGAATTATCCTTAGATTGGAAATGTGCCAAATTCTTTAAGTGTCCTTCATTCCTTAAAAGATACAAATCACTTATCTAAAGCATCAGTACATAATAAAATCCACTTTCTCAATACAAAATTCTATTTTTCATATCATAAAGTTGTGGGTTCTAGCCAACCTTGCTTCAATGAACTTAAGCTCAAATCCCTTTTTTGCAGGTAAGTGAAAATTTTAATTGTTATTATCAATCTCAGAACAGACAGAAAGCAAACAAATCTGTCATTTGATTAGATGAGTCCCGTTATACTAGCAAAACCCCGGGCATCCCAAAACCTTTGAGGTCTGGACAGTTAAATATTCCAGATTGCTGAAGTTTTATCTTATAAATTATCAATATTTATTTAATTAATTATTTATTTATTTAAGATGGAGCTTCACTCTTGTTGCCCAGGCTGGAGAGCAATGGCGTTATCTCTACTCACTGCAACCTCTGCCTCCGGGGTTCAAGCAATTCTCCTGCCTCAGCCACCCGAGTAGCTGGGATTACAGGCATGCGCCAGCCACCACACCCAGCTAAATTCTTTGTTTGTATTTTTAGTAGAGATGGGGTTTCACCATGTTGGTCAGGCTGGTCTCAAACTCCCAATCTCAGGTGATCCACCCACCTAGGCCTCCCAAAGTGCTGGGATTACAGGCGTGAGCCACTGCGCCGCCAATTTTTATTTTACAATTTGTGATAGAAATCTCTTTTGAAGCATACCCTCTTCTTTGCTTAATAACAAGTATTTTAAATTACAAAAGTAATATACAATAATTTAAAAGACTTCAATTCAGAAGTATATGAAACAAAAAGTTCCTTCCCTTATTCCCTACTCTCATTCCACAAGGGTAACCACTGTAATACAATCTGGGGCATAATCTTCTAGACCTCTTCAGAATACATATAAATTTTATAAATAACTGTATATATAAACACAAGTAAGCAATATAAATAATGATGTTACTGCACATTCAGTTCTTACTGTACATTCATCATTCAACCTGATAAATAAAGCTTTTAAGTTTTAAAATGCTGGTATGCCTGATTTTTTTTAAAACTTTATCTAACCGTCTTTTTCTTCATTCTTCTACTGCCAGGCACTTTTACACCAGAAACTTTTTTTTTCTGCAATGAAGAGATTTGTGCATACATTTTTGCACACTTGTGTTTTTCTGCAAGAAAGTTTAGAAATGAAAATGCCAGATTAAAGGACAGATTAGACTTTTTAAATATTTTGAGATACACTGTTAAATTCTCTGCCTTCTTTAAAATAATCTGATTAATTCTTTTCTTGAGGGCCCAGAATGATTCTTACCAGTATGTATTTTTTCATTCTGCCTATAATACAGTGATTCTCTTGGGGCCTGAGAAGTAGATTCACATCTCACTATGATTTGGATGTGATTTGTTTGACCCCAACCAAAACTCATGTTGAAATTTGATCTCCAAAGTGGTGGTGTTGTGAGACAGGGCCTAATGGGAAGAGCCGGGTCATGAGGGATCCACCCTCATGGCCAGTGGGTTGGTGTCATTCTTTTAGTAGTGAGTTGCATTCTCACTCTAATAAGACTGGATCACTTTTTGAGAGTAGGTTTTTATAAAGCCAGTATCCCCCTCAGGTTTTCTTTTGTTCTTCACACAGTCACACTTCCCTTTAACCCAACAAAAGCCTGTACCAGAAGTCCGTGCCATGCCTTTGAACTTACCAGCCTATACAACCATTAGTTAAATAAACTTCTTTTCTTTATAAACTACCCAGTCTCAGGCATTCTGTTATGGCAACACAAAATGAACTAAGACACTCCTGCACTAAATGTCATATATTTTTGTAATTTTTAAACCTTTTTCTTTATTGTTTGTCCCTTCACACTGCCATCACTGTATTACCTATAGCATTTTTTCCTCATTTCTTTGGAAAAACTGAGAATTTTCCAATAGAAATCTGAGAATTAAATGTGCCAACATTGAGATTAAATTAAAAGTTTAAATGAAATGTTTAATTGTCTACAATAAATAGATCTGTTAGCTGCTATTTTAATCTCTCAAAGGCCATTTCATGCTCTTCTAGATTCTAGAGAGGTAAGGTTCCCAGATCATTAACTTTTGGACAGATGAAGTATCATCAACATGATTATTAATATACTAATAGGCTCCCTGTTCATATTCTCATGTGGAAAATACCTTGTTTTAAAGAACAAGAGGAAAATGGATTAGGAAATTAGCATAATGCCACTGTTCGGTAGTAATATTTTTGTAGTATTTCTCATTACAAAATTATAAGCAAGCTATTACTCTAGTGTATTCCATCCCTACATCCAGTCAGTTGGTTACATGCACTATTATAGTGGATACATAAAGTACTCAAATATCTTCCCCTTCCTTCCGGGACCACTAGTTTAATTTTGAATAATTATCCTCCCCCCATCACTAGCTGTAAGTCAGTATTAGTGAATTGTTCAGGATAAACATTTAACCTATCCAGAGTCACTACGACAAAATACTGCTAGGATTTCTGGAGAAAAGAAGCTTGGTGCAAGCTTGCATTTTCCCTTACTTCCATCCCCCTTTCCCTTCTTCCATTCCTCCACTACCTCTTTCCCTCCCTTCCTTTCTCCCCGAAGGTACAATAGAGAAGACCATCATTTTTCTCCAGGATATGGGGGTATGAAGATGTAAAACCCAGAGCCAAAGGAATAGAGAGGATGGTATGAACGGAACCTGAGAATAAAGAGAACAAAAGGGAGCACAGCCATGAAATGGGGCCTGAAGATTATTTGACCCCTGAATCAAAATACGCCTGGACTTTGTAGTCATGCATGCCGGTTTAGGTTGGATTTTTTTTGTCATTTCAGGACACTTTTTTGTCCTAAACCCTACAGCTAGAACCTTATACTGGTGTTTAGTCTTCAGGCTTCAAGCACCATTTTTACTGAATAAGTTCCAGCAACTACTTGTCAACAAAGTTCATCAGCGTTAAGACTAAAATTTTTTTCTTTAAAACTTTTACCTTCCAACACATATTCTAAAATCACATTCATTTGTAATATATATCTGAATACCGACAGACAGAAATTCAGCTCAGCACACACTCAATTTCCAAGTCTTACAAACTCCGAAGAAAAGAGAAACTCTGAAGAAATGTTCAATACTTTGAAACGATGACTAAAGCAAAAAGTTAGAGGAATAAAAGTATAAAACACAGAATAACACCCAGATATTTCTTTTTCCTAGGATTCTGCTCCCCAGTTTTCAGAGTTGTTTTTTTTTTTTAAGATGGAGTCTTGCTTTGTCTCCCAGGCTGGAGTGCAGTGGTGCAATCTCAGCTCACTGCAAACTCAGCCTCCCAGGTTCAAGCAATTCTCCTGCCTCAGCCTCCCAAGTAGCTGTGACTATTGTGCCATCATGCCCAGCTAGTTCTTGTATTTTTAGTTGAGATGGAATTTCACCATGTTGGCCAGGATGGTCTCAATTGCCTGACCTCATGATTCCACCCGCAGCGACCTCCCAAAGTGCTCGGACTACAGGCATGAGCCACTGCGCCCGGCCCAGTTTTCAGATTTTTAAGTTTCTTTCTGGAATGAAAACTACTTGTGATCTGGCTAGTCGATATTCCTTTTGGTACTGTACTAGCCAATGACTTAATCATTAAAACAAACCAGTTACTAATTCAATCTAATTCTAATGAAAAACATATTAACCTCTGGAATATCACATTCATCTAATATTCAACTGTTTAAACATGTAATTTCACTTCTAAAAACTGGAAAAAAAATTAACTTACCTCAGTTGTTTCGCATAGTTCTGTTCAATTTCTATCCTCTCTTTGACAAATTTGGCATATCTTTCTAAGAAGTCAATTCCCCATTGTGTATGCTTGTCTAAGCTGTCGAACTGATCCTACAAAGGGAAGATAAAAATGCATTGTAAAAGTCTAAAATTTTATCCACAAATATTTTAATCAGCTTCTGGTATCTGTATAGTGAAGCAATGAGGTATAAAAGGAAAAACCTAGGCTCTTCTACTAGTCCCACCTACTTCACCCTTTAAGACCTGGAAATAAGTCCCTAAGCATAAATCATGCTACTTTATGCCTGAATATCTTTATGCACATGGCTCTCCTAGGTACAACACCCTCCTGTGGTCAACTTTTTGCAGTCAATTCTTCCCTAAACCCCCCACCATGGCCTTTGAGATTCAGTTCAGGTATTATGTCTACCAGAAAACGGTCCTAAACTCTCAAACTGAAATAAGTGGTCTTTCTCTAGGTCCCCAAGGATCTCTAAAATTACTATCTTATTCATTTGCCATACTATACTGAAGGCCAGATCACACATTATTCAACTCTGAACTCCCACAGCCTAAACACCGTGCTTGGCACCATAGCAGATACTCAATGAAGAAATATTTAGCTGGACAAAATCAAATATACCTGAGTTCAAATTCTGGGATCTGTCATTTCCAAGATGTTTCAAACTGGGCAAGCTAACAAGGCTCCCTAAATGTTTTCTCATCTTAAAATGGAAGTCCCATCACCCACCTAACAAGATTGTGGTGATGTTATTAAAAATGTTCTGCAATGCAGGAAAAACATGATAATGACATATAACAGAGTACCACTGTCCTACAGGGCTCTTTCAGTCCTCCAAGTCCTGCCAGAGTAACTACCATTTCCCTTGCTTTAAGAACAAGCTCCAAACTGACTAATAAACTTCGTGCTGTCTCCTTCTCAAATATCAAGTCTGCAATGCTGAAAAAATATTCAGGTATCATCTCTTTCCATATTTACAGCTTGTTTTAAAATCACTTGTGGTTTAGTCATGTTATTTACATATGAATTATTTCCCTTTGCCTTATATCTTTCTCCACCTTAAATCATAAAAAAAAAAAAAACAAAAACGGGGGGAACAATCAAAGATGGTCAATCACTAACATCTCGGGATTGCAGCTCCCAGTGAAACCTCAGAGAACGAGAGGATGCCACACTTTCAGACAAATTTTGGCCGCTCACAGAGCAGAAGATTCCCAGTGGAGGAGCTCCACAGGTCGCCAGCACAACTCTTCTGGCCAGCGCAGTGGTTTTGCCGGCACCTCGGCACGGCAGCTCTAGATGAAGAGTAAACGGGACTGGTTCCCCTTCTGACCGAGGTTTGGAGGAGCCACACGGGTCGCTAGCGCGACTCTTGTGGCCGGCGCAGCGGTTGTGCCGGCACCTCGGCGCGGCAGCTCTAGGTGAAGAGTAAACAGGACTGGTTCCCCTTCTGACCGAGGTTTGGAGCTCTAGGAAGGCAGAGTCGCCTATTACAGATTCAAGAAGGAAGCCAGACTGGAGATTCCTGGGCAGAAAAGCACCATCAGTCTTAACGCGGTTGTTTTGGCCAGTGCAGTGGGTTGCTCATATTTCGGCCCTGGGAATTAACAACTTGGACATCCATTCAGAGACCTAATTTGAAAGTTGGTAATTACAAAGATGACAGGTGGATAAATTTACAAAGATGGGAAGAAACCAGTGTAAAAAGGCTGAGAATACTCAAAATCAGAACGCCTCTCCCTCCAAAGAGGATCACAGTTCCTTATCAACAAGGGAACAAGACTTGATCGAGAACGAGTGCATGCCATTAACAGAATCAGGCTTCCAAAGATGGATAATAAGAAACTTCTGTGAGTTAAAAGAACATGTTGCAGCCCAATGTAAAGAAACTAAGAACTTTGAAAAAGGTTTGACAAAATCCTAATGAGAATAGACAACTTAGATAGGAATATAAGTGAATTAATGGAACTGAAGAATACAGTGCAGGAACTCCGAGAAGTATGCACAGGTTTAAACACTCGAATTGTTCAAGCAGAAGAAAGGATATCAGAGGTCAAAGTCCAACTTAATGAAATAAAACGAGAAGAAAATATTAGAGAAAAAAGGATAAAAAGGAATGAGCAAAGTCTCCAAGAAATGTAGGACTATGTGAAAAGACCAAATTTACGTTTGATAGGTGTACCTGAATGCGACGGAGAGAATGAATCCAACCTGGAAAATATTCTTCAGGATATTCAGGAAAATTTTCCTAAACTAGCAAAGTAGGACAATATTCAACCCCAGGTAATACAGAGAACACCACAAAGATATTCCTCAAGAAGAGCAACCCCAAGGCACATAATCGTTAGATTCACCAGGGTTGAAACGAAGGAGAGGATACTAAGGGCAGCCAGAGAGAAAGGTCAGATTACCCACAAAGGCAAGCCTATCAGACTTACAGCAGATCTCTCAGCAGAAACTCTACAGGCCAGAAGAGAGTGGGGGCCAATATTCAACATCCTCAAAGAACAGAACCTTCAGCCCAGAATTTCATATCCAGCCAAACTAAGCTTCACAACTGAAGGAAAAATAAAATCTTTTATGAACAAGCAAGTACTCAGAGATTTTATTACCACCAGGCCTGCTTTACAAGAGCTTCTGAAAGAATCATTACACACAGAAAGAAACAACCAGTATTAGCCTTTCTAAAAATATACCAAAAAGTAAAAAGCATCAACATAAAGAAGAACTTACATCAACGAATGGATAAAACAGCCAGTTAACATCAAATGGCAGTAATCCTAAATTTAAATCGACTAAATCCCCCAATCAAAAGATACAGCCAAAACCCAAGGGCATGTTACATCCAGACCCATTTAACATGCAAGGATACACAAAGACTCAAAGGGATGGAGAAAGATTTACCAACCAAATGGAGAGCATAAATAAATAAATAAATAAATAAAAAGCAGGAGTTGCAATTCTCGTATCTGATAAAATAGATCTTAAAGCAACAAAGATATAGTGGCAAAAGGATCAATGCAACAACAAGAGCTAACGATCCTAACACCCAGATACACAGAGATTTAGACTCAATGAGACAGAAAATTAATAAGGATATCCAGGATTTGAACTCAGATCCGGAACAAGTAAACTCAATAAATATTTATAGAGCTCTCCACTTTAAATACACAAAATATACATTCTTGTCAATACCACATCACACCTACTCATAGGTTTAAATGAAACATTGATTGGCCATTATTAATACCCATTTTTTTTAGAATAAAGCAACATTTCTGTTCTCTCTCCCTCTTTTTCTTCCTCTTTCTTCCTCTCCTTCACTCCTTTTTTTTTCTTTCCTTCTCTCAAAAAACGAAAAAAAAGAAATCAACTTGTAGACCTCTAGATCCAGGTCGGCAATGTCTCTCTCATTGCTTGATTTCCTTCCTTCCCTTCTCTCCCTCCCTCCCTCCCTCCCTTCCTCCTTTCCTCCCTTCCTAAAATAAATAAATAAATAAAAACACCTACTCCTAAAAGCAAGTTGCTACTCTTATTCTTTCAGTAAACTTTCTGATTATCATCTGGGTTTCAAAATATATTTGAATATGGCGAGAAAATGTGCTGCTCAGTAAACTCAATCTATAGAATATGAACTATCATAAATTAGAGTTCTCATCAAACTGGAACACACTCAATGAAAAACAATTCCAAAAAAAGTCACTTCAAAGCTGAAACAATCTTCCTTTATTTTTCCAAATTCTTCAAAGGTTTCTCTTCCCACAAGCTACTTCACCAAATTTTATATGACACTTCTTTATCCTCTAGATTGTCTCCAAATTTTGAATTCCAAACCCTTCAGTAAAACACCTGAACAAATACTATTATATGCAGTTATTTACATATTAAATGATATACTATTGAATTAGGTAGTTATAAAATTCACAACAGAAATTTTTAAAAGAAATGAAAATTAAATGAACATTAATTTTTTTTCATATCTGACAAACAAAAACCTTTGAGCAATGACTTTTAAAATATTATGGCCAGGCTCACACCTGTAATCCCAGCACTTTGGGATGCCAAAGTGGGCGGATCACTTGAGGTCAGCCTGGTCAACATGGTGAAAACCTGTCTCCATTAAAAACACAAAAATTATCCAGGCATAGTGGTGTGTGCCTGTAGTCCCAGCTACTCAGGAGGCTGAGGCAGGAGAATCACTTGAACCCAGGAGGCAGAGGTTGCAGTGCACCGAGATTGCTCCACTGCCCTCCAGCCTAGCAACAGAGTGAGACTCTGTCTCAAAAAAAAAATAGTAAGTTCAAACCCCACTGATACTAATTGTGATGATTAATTTTATGTGTCATCTGGGCTGTGCCACTGTGCCCAGCTATTTACTTGGTCAAACATTATTCTGGATGTTTCTGTGAAAGTGTTTTTTAGATGAAATTAACATTGAGGCCAGGAGTTTGCAACCAGCCTGAGCAACATAGCAAGACCTTGTCTCTACAAAACATGAAAAAGGCTAGGTGGCTCACATCTGTAATCCCAGCACTATGGGAAGCTGAAGCAGGAGAATCTCTCCAGTTCAAGAGTTCAAGACCAGCCTTAGCGACATAGTAAGACCCAGTCTCTACAAAAAAAATTTAAAAATTAGCCAGGCATGTTAGCATGTGCTAATAGTTCCAGCTGCTTGGGAGACTTGAGATGGAAGGATCGTTTGAGCCCAGGAGGTCATGACTGCAGTGAGCGGTGATCACTGCAATTCAGCCTGGGCAAGACAGAAAGACCCTGTCTCAAAAATAAACATTAACAAATTAAATAGATAAATAAAATTAGCCAGGTGAAAAGCAGGGGCAGGAAGATCCCTTGAGTCCAGGAATTACAGTTACAGTGAGCTGTGACTGTGTCACTGCACTCCAGCCTGGGTGAGAGTGAAATTCTGTCCACAGGAAAGGAAGGAAAAAGAGGAGAAGGAAGTGGGGGTAAGGGGATAAAAATAAATATTAATAAATTAAATAGATAAATAAAATTAGCCAGGTGAAGGCAGAGGCAGGAAGATCCCTTGAGTCCAGGAATTCCAGTTATAGTGAGCTGTGACTGTGTCACT